TTTAGCTATCATTATTTCATTTTTAAGTTTAGCAAGTCTAATTGCCTTTTTGCACGCATTATTTGCTTCCTTATATCTTTTATAAGATGCATCTGATTTGTCCGATTTAAATGCTTTAAATGCCCTTTTCTTAGTTTTAAGAGAGAGAGAGAAAGAGAGACAAGGAGGGGTTGGAGAAAGAGAGAGACAAGGAGGGGTTGGGGAATGAGAGAGACAAGGAGGGGTTGGAGAACGAGAGAGACAAGGAGGGGTTGGAGAACGAGAGAGACAAGGAGGGGTTGGAGAACGAGAGAGACAAGGAGGGGTTGGAGAACGAGAGAGACAAGGAGGGGGTGGAGAAAGAGAGAGACAAGGAGGGGGTGGAGAAAGAGAGAGAGAGACAAGGAGGGGGTGGAGAAAGAGAGAGAGAGACAAGGAGGGGGCGGAGAAAGAGAGAGAGTGTGACAAGGAGGGGGGAGAAAGAGAGAGACAAGGAGGGGGAGAGAAAGAGAGAGACAAGGAGGGGGAGAGAAAGAGAGAGACAAGGAGGGGGAGAGAAAGAGAGAGACAAGGAGGGGGGAGAAAGAGAGAGACAAGGAGGGGGAGAGAAAGAGAGAGACAAGGAGGGGGAGAGAAAGAGAGAGACAATGAGGGGGGAGAAAGAGAGAGACAATGAGGGGGGAGAAAGAGAGAGAGAGAGACAAGGAGGGAGGAGAGAGAGAGACAAGGAGGGAGGAGAAAGAGAGAGACAAGGAGGGGGAGAGAAAGAGAGAGACAAGGAGGGGGGGAGAAAGAGAGAGACAAGGAGGGGGGAGAAAGAGAGAGACAAGGAGGGGGGAGAAAGAGTGTGACAAGGAGGGGGGGAGAAAGAGAGTGTGACAAGGAGGGGGGAGAGAGATTAACATCCATCACACACACATAATCACACACAATGCAACCCTTGCACACAGAAAAACACACAATGCATTACACACACAGAAACACATACACAAGCAATGCAACCCTTACCCATAATGCATCCCTTACACACACAGAAACACACAATGCATGCATTACACACACTCAATGCATCCCTTACAGACACACACACTGCATCCTGTACATACACAGAAACACACCTTGCAGCCCTTACACATACAAACACAGATTCACACAATGCATTCCTTACACACATATCAGGACATCCCCTACACACTCCACCCCCTGTGAACAAACTCATTGGTGGAACATGAAGGTGGACCCTGGGACCCAGACCTTGAGCTGTGTAAAGGACCCCCAAAAAATGGAGCTGCTTCCCGTTCTCCCAGAACATTGATTTTTGTGACCACAGTTACAAACCGCCTCCAGAGAGCCTGTTCTTCACCAGACCAGTGGAGCCAGACTGCAGCTAGAGCCCATCATCATCCTCATCTGGTTGTAAGTAGGCAATCTAGTATATTATTCGTGGCACTAATCTCTAATTTACCTCACATTAAAGAAACACTATAGTCCCCAGAACCACTGCAGCTTAATGTAGTGGTTCTGGTGTCTATAGCCTGTTCCTGCAGGCCTTTTAATGTAAACACGACGGCACTGCAGCACTGGCGTTAGGTAACATGGCAGATCATATGGGTGGGGCATTGTGATGTCACATGGGGGGGGCGGCAAACTTTACTTTTGCCTAGGGTGGCAAAAATCCTTGCACCGGCCCTGGGGACACTGCATCTAAAACTACTCAATAAAATGAAGTGGTCTGGGTGCCTATAGCGTCCCTTTAAGTTTAATTAGGTTCAAAAGGTAAGATTTAGTTACCTTATATCCCTGGCTCTGGTCTCACTGCAGCCGCACCACCGACTTGACTGAGATCATCAATCTTGATCTCAGCCTCGCATTCGTACTAGCTTCTCATTGCTTCCCTATGTAGGCTAGTGTGCATGCGTAGCAATTAACTAAGTCTAATTCAGTTATTGCAGCTGAAGCGCCTTTAGTGGCTGCCAGTAAGACGGCCACTAGAGGTGTGTTTAACCCAACAATGAAGGCAATGCTGTTTCTATAAAACGACAATATTTTAAATTGTGTTTAGAATGACAGGAGCACTGCACCAAGACCATTCCATTGAGATGAAGTGGTGTGGTTGCCTTTATTAGTCCTTTTAATGTTATAAAGATATTCACACAGGACAATAATGATGACATATCATTAAGTCAGTCATGTGATCCATATGAAAGAAAAGGTCAAAATATTCAGTGCTTGCAAAGTGCATCATTAATTAAGAGGGGACCTAGCCAACAGATATTCAATCATGAGGATAATCCACTTTTTAAAATTCACTATCCTCTGAAAAGTCAGATTATGCTTTCTAGCGGTGGAAAGCCAATAGTCTGCTAATTAAAGGGACATGGATTACTGAACCAATCATCTTTACAAAGTTGCATTATGGTTTAAGTTAAAACGGTCTCTGTCATGCATAAAATATAAGAATTATTTTTTGCTCATCAGACAATTACATCTATTTTTGCAATCTATACATTGTGCTAGCAGACTCACAAGAAAATGTGCACATTCATTTACGGATACACTAGATGGACAAAAGTATTGGGACACCTGACCATTACACCAACAGGGATTTTATGACATTGCATTCTAAATATATAACATTAATATGTAGTTGGTCCCCCTTTTGCAGCTATAACAGCTCCCACTCTTCTGGGAAGCTTCCCACAAGAGTGGAAAGTATTACCCATACATCCAGTAGAGCGTTTGTGAGGTCAGGCATTGATGTTGGACAAGAAGGGCTGGCTCGCAATCTCTGTTCCAGGTTCATGCAAGGTGGTGGATCGGGGTAAGGTCAGGGATCTGTGCGAGTCAGTCAAGTTCTTCCACACAAAGCTCATCCAACCATGTCGTTATGGACCATGATGTGTGCACTAGGACTCAATCATGCTGGAATAGTAAACTGTTCCCACAATGTTGGAAATGTAGTATTGTCCAATATGTCTTGGTATGCTGCTGAAGCATTAAGATTAAACGCCTCAGCAAACGTTACAGTTCTCCTGGTATTCGCCGAACCTTGACCCACCCATCAGACTGTCAAACCGAGAAGCATGATTCCATGCTCCACAGAACACATTTCCACTGCTCCAGAGTCGAGTGGCGGCCTGCTTTACACCACTCAATCTGACACTTGACTTTGTACTTGGTGATGTAAGTCTTGCATGCAGCTGCTCAGCCATGGAAACGAATTCCATGAACCTCCCACTTGACAGTTTTTGTGCTGATATTAAGGCCAGTGGAAGTTTGTAACTCTTCAGCTATGCAATCAGCAGCGTGTTGGCTACTTTTATGCACCATGTGCCTCAGCACTCGGTGACCCCGCTCTGTGACTTCATGAGGTCTTCCGCTTTGGTGGAGTTTGTAAATGCAGACTGCATGGCTAGGTGCTTGATTTTATACACCCGTTGCAATGAGTCTGATTTAAACACCTGAATTCAATAATCAAGAGGTCTGTCCCAATACTTTTGTTTATATCGTTTATAATTGAAATAAAATACCCTTCAGGGTATGGGCATTCCAAAGATGCCTCTGATGTGGCATCTGCTCGTGGCTTGGTTGCCAGTTAAGTGTGGGGTAGATATTTTTATTATATATAAAAATCTTGGCATATGCCAGCCATTCAGCTAACTCTGTACATAGATCATTTACAACTTAATTTATCATGGCATTCATACCAAATGTCCATTTAAAGTGAAGACTCAGCTGTACGCTTAATATTGGATTTAGCAGGCAGGGAAATTCAATTCACAGGGTTATTCACTAAAGTGTGAATTGCCAGGAATTTACAATGAATTCAAAATGAATAAAATAAGTTGTGCTCTACTTTACCACTAACAAAAAAACAAACGACTTCATTGATGACCTACAATGTGCAAAATAAAAAACTGATGGTGTAGTATATCTTAATACACAGTGATATACATGTTCTGATCAAATTTAATTCACTCATTATTGAGCCCACACAGGGCCTGTGCTCTGCAAAAACTATAGGCTTCTGGAGGAATCCTCTACACTATTTTCAACACCTTCTCTTCTTTGCTTTTTTCCAAACATTGTGTAAGGTTTAATCAGAATTAATAAATATTTAATAAAGAGCATAATGGGTGCCAGGGTTACATAACAAAGGAACACAAATAGTCAGTCATGTTAAAATACATAAAAAAAATAAAAAATAAATAAAAAACATTAAAAAAATATATAACAGTAACCAAACAAAACAATGAAAAATAATGTATTTCATATAGTCAGTGCTGCATAAGAATATATAAACTACTGTTTGGAGTTTCCCTGATATTTCTATTTATTGGCCTCTTTTCTGTGCACTATTTAGTATTACATGAATTCACAGTGAATTTAAATCTTTATCTGGTCGTGAATAACGCGTTTGAATAAATAAAACACAGCACTTAGTACAAACAACCTGTATAATCGGGTTATTTGATGTCCAAATACAAAAAAATAAACATATGGTCAAAAGCAGGAATTCTAATTCCATAATGTTGAACTGTGATAACATCACTGGTTCACTTGCTTATGTAACCAATTTTATGTTTAAAGTAATGACATCTCAAAGGTCACAAGCAGATACAGCCCTCTCTAATTCATTCAAGTCATTAAAAAACAAAAGAATCAAAACAAATAAAAATGCTTTATCTCCATCTATCACCTGTGGGCAAAGAAGACGTTCAGCCTTATCTCTTCTGTCCTGAACAATACCTTATGCTAATCATAGCTGCACATTAGGCGATTGGCTTGTTGTAAGCTTTTTATATTGATGCTTAGTATTTTGTAACCAAAAGCGCACACGGCCAGTGATTTATAGTCCCCTTCTGTTTCTTTTTATATGGGCTAAATATAAAAAACAATGGGGCCGTGAGTAGTTATGCATTCAATTAGTTGGCTGTTACAGAGAGAGTAGTAAGCAGTGCATGTAGGCATCATATGTGTGCAGCATCCTGTAGACCTCAGATGTGGTGTCCACCGTGAAGATGTGGCTCTTGGTTCTAGCACTTTGTACTCTGGTTTCCGTCATTTGTGGAGATTCTCCTTCTTGCTCAAAGTATCAGGTTTCATTTGAGAGCTCATGTTATGAGTTTGTCAAGTTCGAACGCACTTTCCAGAGTGCTGAAAGCTGGTGTGAAAGAGGTGGAGGTCACTTGGTCTTTATAGATCAACAGAAGACTCAGGATTTTTTAGCTAAACATTTATTGGACAATAGAGATTGGTGGATCGGTCTTGTTGGCGACTTACAAGCTGGCAATGATACGCATGAAGGTAAATAGTAACAACTATTGATCAGGTGCCCATTATGTTAAATCAAGGAGAGAATCCTAAAGAGTATTAATAAGGATAAAAAAGCTACATATGATATAGATTTTTATGAATATTGTACTATTTTTCAAAATGATTTGATTAAATGTATTTTTACAATGCGCTGTTCACTAACATTGTGACCACCTTGTTAGGACTTTTTTTTACAGAGATTCAATCAACTCACAATGATATCAAAACATATATATTATTTTTCTCTGCAGAATCTATGGTTTGGCTAGACACTACCAATATAAGCTACAGTTACTGGGATAGTAGCCAGCCTGCCACATATGGCAAGTGTGGATATTTAACGAAAGAAACCAACTACCGCTGGAGGACTACTGACAATTGCACCCAGGAACTCTACTTCATATGCCAGTTTGGTGAGTAACATTTTCCATCACTTTTAAGAGGTATACTTACCCAGATCTGTATAATAGAGAACATCTATCTATTATGGTAAAGTGGAGTCTTTTTCTGGTTTTGTATTTGATGCTCTGGAAAGGATAGTTAATGCAGATTAAATATTCTGTGTGTGTCAGATTGAAAAAGAATAGATATGTCGTCCTCCGTGATACTAATTCTGTTTGGCAAAACACTGTGTTCTAACCTAAAATGTAAATTCTGATGAATATCCAATACTGGCTTAGTTTGGTGGAGGTTTATGTATGTGATGGATTGGGATAGAAAGTTAATTAAGGAAGTCTAGAGCAGTGGTCCCCAACCCAGTCCTTAGGGACCACCAACAGTCCAGGATTTATGTATATTGCTTTTTTATTCCAATGGAGATGCTGACAAAACCTGGACTGTTGGTGGTCTATGAGGACTGAGTTGGGGACCACTTGTCTAGAGGAAGTTGTTCATACAGGATACAATTAGAAAAGCCTGAAATTCTCTCTTCTGATATTTTCTTACAATATATCTGTTGCATATTTACAATTAGCACTTGCCGACTAAAAATGCAACAAAGTAGGCTCCATTTTACAAATAAAATAACCCTGAAATCTAGATACAAATTTCAGTACTTTCCTTTACTATAGTATCGTTTGCATTTTAACACATGCACTTTATACCATTACATCTTGTGTCATGTTTTATTAAAGCTGCTATTCTTAAGGGTTTTTTGCCAATTTTGGATTATGTGTTGCGATATTTGCACGTTTTGTGCTATTGCCTAATTTGTTTATTCAATTATCAAAAAAATTGCATGTTATCTTTTTATTGATTGTTTCTTTTCTCTCTTATTTTATGAGAATATCCCAAAATCATTGGCAACTTAAGTGACTGAGGCGCCCTGGTATTGATTTGATCTTATTCAGTTGTATTTACGTACAAATTTCAGTACCACTTGCTCCTGGCTGCCATAGTAGCCATACCTAGACTTTAAAAATCCAGAAACATCTTTATATGTGGTATCTTTCATAGACAACGGAGCAGTTAGAATAGCTTTCCAAATGATTTACCTATTGAAATTCCCACAGACGTTGATTGTGACTTCTGTAGATAAGTCATTTGCAAAATGTTTTATAATAGATTGTGATCACTTGAAATGCTTAACCAAAAATGTTAAATTAATGTCTATAATGGGCAGATAATGCATCTATTATCTATCACCTGAAAAAGTGAAAACAGATATTTTTTAAGATCCCAGATAAATTTTGACCCAGTGTCCGTCCATCCATAACGCTACATTGTAGACTTCTGTGTTCTAAGACAACATATGATGCTGACAAATCAAAGCAGATCTACAAAGGTATTTCCAATGGCGAGTTTTTCTACTAAAACAGGTTAAGTGACAGAGACACAAGAGGTTCTGAAAACCTTTCTTGTTTTGTACCGTTTAGAGACTGGACGTACCATAGCCTGCGAAAACAACAATGCCACAGTACAGTGTGGGTCGGGTAAAGTGGTACAGATCAGCGATAGTTTCTATGGTCGAAAGAGCCCCCACTTCTGTACCTCGGAGATCCCCTTACAAATGGCAAATGGCTGCACATGGACGAATGTAAGAGATCTAGTTGCAGGTAAAATGACAACACGTGCAAAGATGAAGAATTTGATTATTTAATAATAATATGATAACAGTTGATTTTTCAAGGGAGAGAACTAAAGTATAATATTTTATGTTCTGTGATGGAATGAAGCATCCACAGAATTAGCCGGTAGTAATGTTTGATAATTTAACTATATGAACCATAGTAGGTAGTAGCGTTTAATAATTTAAATATATAAACTGAATTTAAAAATCTATATTCAGCTGTTTGGATTACTGGATTGGATTTGTTTGTTGTGTGTTTTTATGTTGTTGTATCTTTTCTCCTGCCATTTTAAGCTATTTTCAAAGTAATTTGTTGGGTTAAAGATGAGTTTTTTGTCCTGAACCTCTGTAAATAATAAAATAATTATCTATAGGCAGGGTCAAATGACACAAGACATGACAGCATAGTATTAATTCTAAATTGAGTCTTTATTTGACTGGGGTAACTTGGGTTCTCCACATTTACATTCTCCTGGTGGGTGGCTGCTTTTATGTCAGAATCAGTGTAGATGTGTTAAAGGAGCACTATAGCATTAGGAACACAGATACTATATTGCTTCTGTCCCTAGTTAGATTCAGGGCCCCCGGTTTTGGGTGTCAAAACCTGTTTAAGTTTTTTTACTCTCTATTTTACAGAGCCGAGACTCCTTCGGCAATGCTTACCTCTCCGCCTACTACGATTTCATCAAGAAGGCATGGCCTCCTCATCACTGGTCTAAATCAATGCTCTTCATAAAGGAGCATTGGGGACCTGATGCACATGTGTGGGAAGTGCCATGGGCCGCTCCAATGCTTCTCATAAGAAAGCATTGAATTCAATTGACCGATCCATTGTTAGCCTTCCCTATGAAAAATGATATTTTCGCTAAATAGGTTATATGTAACTAAGCAATATCCTCTGATTTGACAAGTACCTACCAAACAGAATTAAATGTACATTGATCTTTGAAATTAGGCTAGATCTCACGAAATATCTGGCCAATCAAACCTGATCTAATGAATACCTACTAACATGAATAAGATTATAAGAAAATGTTTCTTAAAAGTCGCTAGACCCATCTTCAGTCATTCTCCTACCCAAACAAATATTTATTTATTTCATTTGATTTAATTAATGCCCCTTGCATGCTGGGTATTAAGATACAAATTTGGTCTATCCTGTCGTAACATAAATCTGTTTATGTTAGGACAGGATAACAAAGGTAATAGCTCTGGGATGTATTTATTTTTTTCAAAATGTTGTTGGTGTGGTTGATGATAGGTAATTTACCCCCCCCCAAAAAAATAAATAATTCCTTATCTCTCCCATTACATGTAAAATCTAATGTAAAACTTGATCATGCCTGATCTAACTAAGATCTAACCAAGTCAATAATTTCTTTATTAATACTTTAATTGTGGTGGGGCTAACTTGGCTGATATCTTTAAATAGGGTCTGGCGTGCCACTGTATCGAAAATGAGACTTGTTGTTTTTTTGTCAGAAATCAATAATAACTAATAACATCCTTTATCTTTTCGAGGGCAATGCCATGGACTCCAGGCTTGTCAGGTTGCCATGGATGCTACGGTTTTTGGGGCGCCCTGTCCAAATCTTGGCAGTTACTTGTCCATTAATTACTACTGTATGGAAGGTAAGTACACAGATAAACTAATGTTTTATATTTATTCAGAATATTGTAGCTGACACTTACCTCTTAAGGGCCAACAACATTTATCCAGGCATAAGCAACCTTTGGCACTCCAGATGTTTTGGACTACACCTCCCGTGATGCATTGCCAGCATTATGGGTGTAAGAGCATTATGGGGGCTGTAGTCCACAACATCTGGAGTGCCGAAGGTTGCCTATCCCTGGCAGTCATCCCAGTGTGGTCCTTAAAGAATTAATGACAGCATGTCCCATTCGGTAATAATCAGCAGCTCTATAGAACCATGTGAGTGCTAAATGAGTAGGGCATTAAATGTGTGAATAGGATTTCAAAGGGGACACTCTAAGTAGACTAACCCCTACAGCTCATTGCTAATAAAAATATAAGGTTAACAACCTTACATATAAAATAGGGAAGTCATTGCACAACTGTACACAGCTTCCAGGGAAAACCACACAAAAAAATCCACAGAAAATATGTGCATAACTACTATGCTCCAGTCTTAAAAAAAACCCAAAGAAAAATGAACTTTCCATCTGGATTCTTTTTGAGTCCCCTCTTATCTGTCTCGTCTTTTTACCCTTTGAATTGCCCCTCTTTTTACAAGTATTATTCATCATGAGTGTGAATGCTACATATTGCAGGGCAACACTTTTCATTCATTGCCCATTAAAAGTAATGGGCATTATGTGTCCTGGAAAACAAGGCAGATATAGCAACCATACTTGACCTTTAGATAAAGAAAAGTGTATACAGGTGTAAGGAGGTGGGGTAATGGCCAGATAGGCTATTTTAAAAATTGGCATGTGACTGCCACAGTCTGAAGGGTATCATAAGGCAGACAGTCTCTAAATCCCTCTGTCAATTCTGTCTGTGTAGGAATTATACATCCTGTTAGGCTATGCTTATTCCACACAACTCCCAGTGAGTGGAATATATAAATAGCCATTTTTATTGGACAATCTGGCAAAACTACTGGAGAGGAGATTGAAGGGATTCAAAACAATGTTAGCTTAATGAAGCCGTTGTAGGGTATCGATCATGCTCCTGCAGCCTCACTGCTTAATTCTCTGTCACGTTGGAATTAAATCATTTTGTTTCTGTTTATGCAGCCCTAGGCGTTCCTTCCTTGGCCATTACTGACACAGCTAACATGACAAAAAATATTTCATTTTTAATCAGATGTTAACTTTCTTCAGAAGTTTTTATCTCCTACTCTGTAAATTAATCACAGACAAAAGGCTCCAGCAGGCTCTAGAAGGCTATTAACAGAGCAGGAGATAAGCCATTCAAAATTAAACAGAATGTGCAATAAAGGAAGTTCTCCTTACAGGAAGTGTTTAGGACGGCTGTGCAAGTCACATGCATGGAGGTGTGACTAGGGCTGCATAAACCAAGTGATTTAACTTCTAAATGGCAGCTAATTGAGCAGTCAGACTGCGGGGGTATTAAACTAAAGTTGTTTTGGTGCCTATAATGTTCCTTTAGACATGTAATTACAGTAATACAATATTTATAGTCAGTTTATGGAAACTAATTCCTCTATATATTTCTAAAATTTGCATTATAATGTTTATCCAATAAATACCAAATTGTAATGAATTAAAATACCAAATTACGAAATGTAGGCTGTAGAAAAGCTGTGACTGGAGAATTTTGCCAAATCAGCTATTTTTGCCTAAAGTTTCCAAATCTTTGTTCAATTCACTGCAGTTTGGTTTGAAATGAATCATTTCTGAAGGGTCATCTCTTTCACTGCCTCAAATTTCCCTTTAATTCCTCTGCGTAATAGAACCTAATCGCACTAATATCTGATTATTTCTTATCCAGGCTTGCAACTTGATTTGGTGGACAGGTGTGTGGTGTTTGAAAATGTCACACTCACTGTGAAATGGCTTTTAACCCCTTACACCGGAAATCTTTCCTGTATTATAAGCTTGGGAGATGGCCAGTCTATTGATCCCTATCAGCCTGAGAAGTAAGTCAAAATTATTAAGTAAAATATTAATGGCCTTATTCATTAAAAGTATTCACATCTGAATTGTAGCAAATTTAAATATTTTTTTCAAAATTTTGCAACTTGAATTTCCATTTGCTACAGTTCAAAGTTTAGTTTTTAAAACCTTAATTGTTGGGAATTTAAAAATAATATAAAATTTTAGGCCTCGAGAGCCAAATTGGTTATAATAAAATATAATTTCAATTTGGCTTTATTGGCGTAAACTTTTCTGACATCTCACATTTTTCTGAATAATACTGCTTACGGTATATATTCAGTAAAACAGTAAAGATACAGAATATAGAAATATATTCATCCAATACAGAAATCTAGTCATAAACAGGACTAAACATAGCCCACAAGGTCACACATTTAGACTGGAAGAAAGGAGATTTAGTCTGAGACAAAGGAAAATATTTTTTTACAGTAAGAACAATGAGGAAGTGGAATTTTCTGCCTGAAGAAGTGGTTTTATCAGAGTCTGTACAGATGCTTAAACAGCAACTGGATGAATACTTGCAAAAACATATTATTCAGAGATATAATATTTAAATTGTGGGGTAATAGCTTCTTGATATGGGTCAAGAAGGAATTTTTTACTAGTTTGTTGCAAAATTGGAAGTGCTTCAAACTGGGTGTTTTACTTTCTTTTGGATCAATGGCAAAAACATATGAGAAAGGCTGAACTTAAAGGATGCATGACTCTTTTCAGCCTGTGTAACTATATAACTATGTAATGAAAAAGTTCAGAAAAAAATGTTTACTTGCTCTTTTAAGTTATTTAATATTTTTTCTTTAACTGGTCAACAAAACCACATAGCCTTTTCCCCATATCTTCATTATGTCAATGCTTTGCAGTGCATCCAGCATGATAACATATAGTTTCACATCTCCCGGAGAATTTGCTGTGTTTGTGGAATGTTCAACCAGTGAATGGCACGTGACTGCTCAGGAAACCATCACAGTAGAAGAGAACAATGGAAGTCTCAGCATTACTGGCTGCTACAGCAAGTATGACGTCAAGGAAGGGTTCTGTAGGACAAAATATGGAGAGACTCTTTGGATACAGGTAGACATGAATGCAGGTGAGATAATTAAGTCATCATTTGTTTTGTCAAACCGGCCCCAGAATTCAATGTACATGTATTTCCTCCCCTGTTAATGTCCCAAATCTGTTGCATAGATGTAAAACCACAAACATAATCTTGGATGCTTACTTAATCTCTGCTAAATTCAGATTCGAGCAAATTGATATGGCAAAATGTATGCTAAAGTCACCTGTTTTTGCCTAAATTTTTACGTTCAAGTTTCAATTTGCTACATTTTTAAAGTTTACTGAATAACATTTCTTTTTCACAGACTTATGTTTAATTAAGCTTAATTAATTTTACAATTATTGTAATATTCATATATTTTTTATATATTGATATATTTTTCTATATGTGATATATTTCTTTTTTTTATATAGTTTAAAAGTTTTAAAAAATTACTTTAAGGGGGGTGGAGCCTGAACACAGAGGCGAGCGGCTGCACAAGCTTGGAACTCCGGGCTCACAATGGCAAAAACGACATATATTTAGAGCCCTTAATTTCCCAACTAGGCCGAGAGAGCCCACCTTGTCGACCCAAACAACATAGGGCTGCAGATCCAAAAGAACAACGCCAGATAAGCCCACACTGGGGCTTACTATTGGAGACATGTGGAAGCAAGAGCATGGCGCCAGTGGGCCTAAGATGGCCGCTCTCTCAGGCGACTGCTCAGATTTCTTGGACGAGTTCTCTGGCGACGCTGAGTAAGACAACTTACCCATGCCTGCTCCAGCTCCAGTGCAGATGGCAAAACAAAACAAACCAGGTGCAGACTCCTCTCCAGTGACCACTAGTGATGTCCCGAACGGATCGCTGAACGGTTAGCCACGAACGGTTCGCCACGGACTCCAGTCAGCAGACACATTCCAGCCAATCAGCAGCAGACCCTCCCTCCCAGACCCCCCCACCTCCTGGACAGCACACTAAGAATGCAGCTTCAAAATGGATGCTGTCCAGGAGGTGGGAGGGTCTGGGAGGGAGGGTCTGCTGCTGATTGGCTGGAATGTGTCTGCTGACTGGAGTCCGCGGCAAACCGTTTGCGGCTATAGAAGACACATGGAGAAGAAACAACCTCAAGGTCAGCGGGGTCTCAGATAACGTCCCAGAAGCAGAATGACCACAATTCATAAGATGGATGCTGTTGGCCTTGCTACCATCTACGCAGGTTAAAGCTAGCACCAACTACTGCCTCAAGGGACCTAATAGTCACCTTCCACAGTGGGAATGACAAAGCAGCGGTCCTCACAGCCTTAAGGGGCAAAGTGCCTTTCCACTTTGAGAACATGGCGTTATCATTCTATGCCAACTTGTCGAGTGCCACTCTTGCCTGGCAATGGTTGCTTTGACCACTCACTTTCTTGCTCCAACAACAAGGTGTTCGCTACCACTGGCACCAATCCTGCGTGCTTATGGTCCAGCAAGGGAATGATACGCATTTTATTCAAGACCTCTAGAGCTCAGCAGCACTACTGCGGGATCTGGGCTTACCCCAGGACTCGCTGAAACAACCGGGGACACACAATACTACCCCCAGACCCACACCTGGGATCTGGCAAGAATCACCACATTCATCTTTTAAAGGGCAACACCTGGCTCCTACGCGGCTGTCACTACATAAGAGAGACATATATGGCACCGGTGGCTATACTTACTGTTTACAAACTAACGTTTCTAGTTGTTATGTTGAACTCACTCAATTTTCTACCCCCACAACGCCCTAGCCAACCCAGTACAGACCACTCAATTTGTATATCGCCACTAACTAACCCCAATGAGATAATTGGCTAGTCAACCACTGTTTCCGGCTCTAGATATAGCCGTGATCTGCGGGGGACTGGCTACCACTAAGCTCCAGAGCTATTGTTTTATTTTGATTTTGACACATTGTCTTTTCACCTTTATGTTCTCTCGCCAGTAGCCATACTACTGACATAGATGCCAGCATTTAGCAGTGTGAATAATCAGATATGGTTACTGGAATATTAGCATACAAGCCTAATGTAGCTGTTATAAACCTTACACACCTTTACTAGACATCACCTGTAAATCTTAAGTTTAGAGCTAATGTTCAGCCTATTTATAATGCTTTTTGCTCTTTACAAAAAAAAATCAAAAGTGCACCTCATTTACATGCCATGATTCTGCATTCACGTGTAAGATTACAATTTGCTTATCGATGTTGTTGTTTTCTCTAAGCACAATGAAAATAAAGAATTTAAAAAAAAAAACACATTTAAAATTGCATTAATTCATTTGAAATGCGAATCGAAAAATATTAAAGGCCTAAGTTGTAAGTAAATAGTAAAATAGAATAATTTAGGACACTTTTTTCTAACTAGGCTACTAGGTTTGGAATTTCCAATTCAGTTGTCAATGTGCCATGGTTTTCCAGAGTCCTTCACCCTAGTTGTTGGTAATTCAAAGTGAATTCAGAATTAATTAAAAATTTTAGGCTGAAAAAGCATTGCTATTTTAATCCAAAATTTGAATTCACAATGTGCAATTATAATAAAGGGAGCTATCGTAAATATTAATTTTGGATATGTTGTAGCATATTTATAGATGTCTGTTTTCACTGAGAATTCTACTGACAGCAGTTAGTCTGTCTAAAGTTTGGAAAGCTGACATCAGCCTAATACACACATCAGACCTGGCACTCCGTCATCGGCACACTCATTTTTAAAAAAAAAATAGATTCTGTCAAAAGAGGGTGTAGAAAGCAATAAAAATTCATATATCTTATAAACAAAAGATCTATGACAATGACCATTTATTAAAATGTAAAAAATACATTTGTTAATACGTGTATATTAAAAGTGTATTCTAAAATATAAAGGACACAATAATAGTGCAATATACAATAACAATAGTGTAGATATTTCTGTAGTGCCAAAGAAACACTCACACTTTGTAGAGCTATATAAGCTCTAATTATTGAGCCTGGACGGAATAATCCCCGTATATGGATTTCTTTGTGGATATCAGCAGTGCTTGGCTCTCAAATAGATAGAGGTCATCACATATAAAGAGAAGAAAATAAACCCAATGGTATAGTATGTAGGTAAACAATAAATGGAAAAAGGATAAACCTACTTACATTAACTAGAGCAATGACCTGCTCTAGTGTGTAGAAATGTAGGTGAAATAATCCCCACCTATGGATACACGTGGACCTGGAACAGCAGCAAAGGAAAACTGGATGCGAGGTGAGTATAAAAATGACTGTGTATATATATTGAATAAAAAAGTACTTTATTATAAATAAACACAGAGTTAAAATTAAGTGAAAACCAGTCCTATAGTATAGTCCTCACTCCTCACTTGACGCGTTTCGCCGAAGCTTCAACAAACATGAATGCTTGCAGGTAGGGTCCCCGTGGTTTATGTAGTCTCCAAATGCTGCATTTTGGTTCCGGTGTGTTTTGCTGCTATTTCCAGTTTCCGTCAAGGGTCTCGACGTCGTTTTGTCAGTTCCTGGACATTGTAATAGTAATGCGCGCGGCACTTCGTAGTGATGTGTGCGGAAGTTCCTTGCAGGCGATTTTAGGTCAGGGTGGCGGTCCGGTATGGGAACACATATAAAAGAACGTGAAAGATTAAAAATTAAATAGACACAGTCATATAATATACATTGTTGATTAATATAGGCACAAGAATATCATTGTGTTACAACATTGTGAGGTCGAAAGAAATTATATGAGGGGCCGTCGTGTATTACATCATTTTCACGGCATCTTAAGTATTGACAAACGTCTGGAAACGTCTTTTTATTTTAAGATATACATCTTCAGGTTTCGCTCTCTCCTCTTTACGTTTGTAATCTATATATTTAGCGCTGCTCACCTAATTGTTTTTATCTGCTTTGATTTGTTTTTCACAAAGTTAAGGGAACTCCTTGTTGGTGAATTGCAGCTATTATCAGATAGAGAGCACTTATCTCTGTTCTATTGTATTTTAAAATATGCTGCAGTCTAAAAAAAAATTTTTTTTTCCATATTCCCCTTTAAGTAGCGACATACATGTAAACATTGTATTTTTTTCCAACTCGTTTGGTTACAAGAGTAGTCAGCCACAGTAGCATAAAGGTTTGGTTGAAAAATGTTCTCTGAGACCAAATGACGGGGAATTGTATGATTCTCCAATCAGAAACAAGAAGTGAAATTGAAATGTAACATAACATTTTAGACTCTAAAATGAGGCACTTCAAATTGACGGCCCAAATACGAGGCACTATGAAAGCTTTCACAAAGGTGTGGGAACCATGGGATAACCACACAGATGACTAGCAAACCACTAGAAACGTCCAAGACCACCCCTCCCCCCCCTATCCACCCCCACCCCCCTCTTTTTAGGTTAATCTACCCCTTCCCCAATACCAGGTCGGGCCTTCCGGTAACCCGACCTAGAAGCTCAACACGCCAAAGCCGCTGCACCGCGACGGCAACTCAAAGGCCCTGTTAAAGAGTAACTTCTTATGTTATAAGTTATAAGTTATCTAAGTGTTGTTCTTACTGTAATGTTGAAAAACGATGACAGACAGGTGTAATTCTCAAACGATGTAACTGTAATAACGTATAAGCTGCCTGTATGATATCGTGGCTTCTGCGCAAGCCACAAAATTGCATTGCCTAATTATATCTGTCATTGACAAAATAAAGAATTATAAAAAAAAAAAAAATGAGGCACTTGTATGAGTGGTAGGTCATTATGGTTGTGTCAAGATATAACCAGATACTAAGCCATTTCTCCTCTGCATGGTTTTAAATAGAAACACAATAATTAAATTTGTAGCTCTTTAGCTCCATAATAATGCCTATTATATTCTTAAGAGAACATTGAAATATTACAGGTGTTTCATATGTGATACAAGATATAGACTCATCTAAAGATTATTGAGCAATATAAAATCGACATGAATTTAAAGTTAAGATTCTCTTTAAAATATTCCACAGGTTAGTAACAATTATCATTGCTGTGCACCTTTAATTCAATGTTAGTGATTCTAAAAAAAATGCCTTTTAAAAGACAAAAAACAATATCCTGCTCAAAATTTCCCTTTTTTTTATTGTAGGCAACCATCTTAACTACTCTCTAATCGCAAACAATGTAACTCTGATTGAGTTCAGTGCAATAACCGGGGATGCGTGTCATAACCTAACACTGGACGCAGTTGCCCAAAACCTACTAGGTCCAGGAGTGCACCAGATACACATCATGGAGTCCAACAGTAATTCAAAAACTAAAGTCAACAACACCATTATCCTCCACCTGGTTGAGGCCGTTTCTGGTCTACAGGGTCATTTATCCAACACCACAGTTGAAGCTGGAAAAGAACTATTGATAAATGTATCAGTTTCCCACGGGGCACCTCTTGAACTGACGTTTGTGTTCCAAGGTTCTGATAAAACTTTCAATCATACAAGAGACTATCCAACCGGGCTACCGACAATGTACAACATTCCTGTTAATGTGGAAGGTACTCACTATACTTACTGTAAATTCATGTCAACTCTATATCATCTTGGGTTTGCACAAGACTAGGCTTCTATTTGGGCAGTTTCCTAGCCTATCACGCTGTATAAATAAGGACACATTAAGAAACTGGATTAATATTTAAGTCTTAATATCCCTTCCATGCAAATTCTATTGCTATTTGCCTTTTATCTTTTTTCAGGAACCTATTCGATAACTGTTGTAGCTACGAATGCTTTCTATAACATAAGCCAGGACATTGGAAATGTCACAGTAGTAGACAACGACACTCAACAAAAAGGTAAGAATTGTGAAGATTACTGAGGAGTGCAGGCAGTCATCAAGTTATTCCTTATGGTGAATTGAAGACTTTTGCAAGGTGTATGTAAAAGTAGTAGCACCAGTTAGTTCTTCTTTTTATCTGAGTTTAATTACATGAGCACTATTAAGCTGGGTAATTGTAAGTGATTATTTAGTTGCTCAAACAGTTCAAATGTAGCAGTATGTAATTTAACAGCTGACTGTCTGTTATCGATCTATATGTCGGATGACTATAAAGTCTCTATAACTGTCTGTCTCTCTCTCTGTCCCTCTGTCTGTCAGTGTAATCCTTAGAATGAAATGTCATCTGGTTGAATTTGCCAGTAGTACAGAAAAGACCAGACATAATTTTGAAGAGCCTCTAAAATATTAACTGTAGATGAGTTTACCAGTTAAATATAATGTTAAATCTTGAAGAAATATTTGTGACAGTATTTCTAATCAAATACATTTCAAAGACAGGAAACATTTGCTTGTAATTCTTTTTCCTTCAATATAATTGGGGTAGCACTGTTTGGTGCACTATAAGTGGTGCACTGCCCCATTTTTTGTGCTTTTTGAACATTTTTCTGATTTTGACTGTTGGAGCTACAGCAAAGGTTTTCTAGCAGCACTATATGAAATGTTCATTTCGTGTTTTATGTACATTGTCTGTTTTGGGTACTGTAGTAACCCATACCCCTACTTTATAAATGTGATCAAATAAATTTGTGCCAGTATTTCATATTTGCTTTATGTATTATTTATGTTTAATCCCTCAGTAAATCAAGACAAAACAGGACCAAAAGCTGAAAAGGTGAGATTTATGGTCCGGTACTGACCGAATTTAACAAAGCACACTCTCATGTTGACTTAAATTTAGTTCCTTCCCACTTCCCGTTCATGTTAAATCTGCATGATTGCATACTGTATATATTATATTATATTATTATTTTTCGAAGTGGGGGAAGACCTAGTAAGTAATTTGACCCATGCCACTTGGTTAACAAAACAGACACTTCTACATTTAAGGGACTTCACGTTGACAGACAATATCTATGTATATTATACCTTGTGCTGGTCATCTTGTGCTGTAATGTAGAGTTTAATTGTGTAGAGCAGGGTAGGTGACCTTTGGCCCTTTAGATGTTGTGGACTATATCGCCTGTGATGCTTTGCCCGCATTATGGCTGTACAATTATTATGGGAGATGTAGTCTTTTACAGAAGCACACTACTCCAAGTGGGCAGAGTAGATGGGCCAAACGGTTCTTATCTACCGTCACATTCTATGTTTCTATAAGTGTGCTGGTGACTTGGTTTTGGGAGTAAAAGGTTTAAAATTCACTATTAGTCTGCGCTAGACTAAACTTAAAGATAAAATATTCTGCTTAACACCCCCACGTGTTTAAATAGCTGGCAATTTACCAAGGCAATTTATAATGGAATGCCTTCGGTTGCTCAAATAAGAACAGATTTATAAAAAAGCAAACCAAAAATGCAAAACAACTACATTATCAAAAATACTATTACGTAAGGTAACTTCAGTTTTGTGAATCCAAATACTAGAGCTCAAAGACAGAATTAGATTATTATTATTAATAGCAAAAAGACAAACAAATGTTACACAGTGCCAAAAATGACATAAAGCACAAGGACATACAGAACTATAATAGACAAATGTCTTTATTCTTTAAAATAAAATTAGACTTTATAAAACAAACCAACACAAATGCTAAATCTTACAACAGACAACGTGGGAACACCTAGTTAAGTCTTATCCGATGTTGTCCGAAATAAAGTCCAAGAGGAGTTCCGTCTCATCTGGCCTGGCATTCTGTTATATGAGAGTCCTGTCCGTTGTTACCAGAGGAACCAGCCCATATGGCCAATTTATGATAACTGGCCCTTGACATGACATGACTTACTCTTGATTGTTATCTGTTTTTTTATGGCCGAATCCTGACTGCAGGCCCAGTATGCCCAACTTCCTGCCAGAACATACAAAGATGCTGAATCAAAAAAAATCAGTTTAAGCCTGGATGCTAAACAACAAAACAAACAATTCAGGTTAACAATGCTGGAACAGCATCACGCCCACTGTGCATGACATAGTCCACAACATCTGGATTGACGAAGGTTGCTTACCTCTGTCTTCGATCATTGTAATTCATAAACAGGGCTATACAAAGGACACAAGGTCACACATTTAGGCTGGAAGAAAGGAGATTTCATCTGAGGCAAAGAAAAGGTTTTTTTACAGTAAGAGCAATAAGGAGATGGAATTCTCTGCCTTGAAGAGGTGGTTTTGTCAGAGTCCATACAGATGTTTAAACTGCAATTGGATAAATACTTACAAAAACATAACATACGGGGATATAATTTATAATTAGTGGGGTAATAGCTGCTTGATCCAAGGAGACATCTGACTGCTATTTTGGGGTCAAGAAGAATTTTTTTTCCTAGTTTGTGGCAAAATTGGAAGCGCTTCAGACTAGGTTTTTTGCCTTCTTTTGGATCAACAGCAACAACATATGTGAGGAAGGCTGAACTTGATGGACGCAAGTCTCTTTTCAGCTATGTAACTATGTAACTATGTAATATGGCAAAGTATAGGTCAAATGTCTGTTTTCCTCTGTCTGACAAATTAGATTTTATTTTAGTTTTTTAATTATATATTTTACTCAATACATTCATTTCATTTTGATGGCACTAAATAGATGTTGATCTTATATGGAATGCTAACTAGATCTCTTTGTGACAAGATCCTTAAACCAAAGGTTAGAATCTAACCCACTTAAGATTTGAGAGTAGGTCATATACCATGTGGTAGATCATAATGACTTTTTTTTTTATTACATGACCATTAATGACAAAGACTCACTTTTATTTTGGTGCCTTTCATTAAAAGTATTAAAACTGTTAGCAAGCATAAATTTAAAAAGACCATAATGTGCAATATTGTCCAGAAGCAATATGTTTGCAGAATGGGCAGTAAGATCCAAGGCTGCCCTGTCCATTATCCAAAAGCAGTGATCTAGCGAAACACCATACAAAAATCCCATTGAAGAATTATAGGAAAAAATCACGCCACATTGTAAATGCTGCCTCAAGTCTTGGATACATCTTCATTAAAGCACATCTAACCTAAAAAAAACAACACATCTGGGGTCCCAAACCTTACTTATTTTATAAAAAAACATAGTTTTCTCCTCCATAATTCCGAGATCTTTTATGTAAATCATTTAATTTCCTTAGGATACTGTGAAGAGGAGGCAGATGATACAAATAGAACCTGGCAGACATGTGAATCCTTTCACCATCGTTACCCTGCACTGGCCAAACCTTGTGAGCTACAATATTTCCTGGTCTTGTGGTAGGTACTTCTCTGCTTGTATTATCTGTGTTATATATATATATACCTGTATCATGCTTCCAGCGCACTCACCCACTCACAAAACACCAACTTTAAATCCCACAAAATGTATTATTTAAAAAAACACCTACAAACATAATGCAGGTTAGTTACAGTATATGATCATACATTGCACAAACCTGCCACAACGTCAATGTACCCCATTTTTGTCAGGTCTTATTCTAGCAACCTAACTATAACGTTAGAATACAAATCTGTATTCGTTATAGTGTTCCTGTCCCTAGTAGAATTACTAGCCCTGTTCGGCATGAAGGGGTTAAAAACCCTTCAATACTTACCTTCATCCAGCGCAGAAGGTCCCTCGGTAATGTTGACCTCTCCTCTCCAGGAGGCACTGTTTGGTTCAATCCAATTCTTTTTTATAGAGGAACATTGGGGACCTAATGCGCATGCACAGTGAGCACTGTACGCCTATTCAAAATTCCCAATAGGAGTTCTACTCGGTCTGTGCACTGGAGCGCCTTTAGTGGCTGTCAGTATGAGGAGTTAATGTATTGCAATGCATTGCAGTTTCTCAAAAATGGCAATATTTTACATTGTAGGGTTAAGGGGACAGGGACACCGTACCCAGACTACTTCAATGACATCAAGTGGTCTGGGTGACTATAGGGTTCCATCAAATAAGGCTCTGGAATGAGGCACCTGTTACAGGTTTCCTATGGTTTCATATATATTTAAATATGAAACCATAGGATCTGCCAAAAATGGAATATATTGGCATTGTGATAGTCTTATGCAATATACGATCATATGCTGTAACCAAGTCCCCAATATTTTTGCCATATTAGTCAGATGTTTTTTCAAAAAAAATATTACATTTTGTGAGCTGTGAAACTGATGTCTAGTGAGTGCATTGGATATTCTATGTTTTAATTGACCCCACCAGCTCCCTTATAATGTATGCATATTTAAGTGAGTGCAACCCTCTTGGTTTCATTTGTCTTTGTCTGTCTGTCTGTCTATCTATCTATATATCTCTCCATACAAAGTCCCTATATTGACCAATGATTTAATTCCAAAATGCAACCTAGGTATACATCTTTTCTATGAGCGTCCAATCCAGAGAGACAGGTTGCTCAGATGTCACAATACATATTCGTGGCACTTCAACTTTCTTATCTCTAAAGAAAAACTGTTCTATATCAAAAAAAAAAAAATAACTGTCATATCCATTGCATCCTAGTGGTTCTTTAAATGTTATGGTAAAAAAATTTACATCAAAAACCTGTATGTAAATTCATGATTTCTGATTACACTCTTTGCACAGGAGCTTGCTGGCCTGAATGGTTTGACTGTGTTCAGCAGAATGTAATATCCACAAACTTGCAGCAGGTTCTAATTCCGAGAGACTGTCTTCCACCTCCGAGCACGGCCTTCACCATCAAAGCTGATGTGACGCTCAGTGACATGGACTCTGTTCAGGATGAACAGTGTGTTTATGTGACGGCTAAACCCACACTCCATCCCCAAATCAGGTCTGGACAAGTCAACACATTCTAATTAACACCTTTTCATTCTGAATCACAAAAGAAAAGTATCTTCTTGATTTGCTCAAACTTAATGGGAATTAACGTACTAGTATTAAGGGATGACTTTTCTGGTTGTGTTAGCCATTATAATACGAGGTCAAGGAAAAAGGTTAAAGAATAAAAATAGGTGGAAAATATGAGTAACCTGAATCACTAGGAAATCTTGAAATTTGTTTATAAAATATTTGAGTATCTCTAAATGTTGCTAGCCCTTTATGTTGTTCTTTGCACTCTGACACTTCATACTTCCTGTTTAAGTTGTAAGAAGAACTGCAAAGAAATTAATGTCAATGAGGACCTGGAGTTCACTGCTTCTTGTGACAGCTGTAAAGGTGTGAAGTACAACTGGTATATCGATGGCAATTTCCCTGTGAAGGTTAGTTCTCTGAATATAATCTAAAATCTTATCCGTAAAGCCTCACTCACCCTCATTTATACTCTAGTTATGATTACCAACCTGTAGGGTTTCATTTCTGTGTAAGAAGCCAGTAGTCACTAGTATAATGTCTGCAAATTTGCTGAAAATGTCAGCTCACCCCCTGCTTTCAAACAGTACATGAAGTTTTAATTGATCATATTATTCCAACAGTCAGCGATAGGGAAGGAGCGAATGGACTTTACCATTTCACTGCTGGCATTACTTAACACTCCAGAGACTGATAAAGACTGCTATAGCAGTTTTAAATACCTTTATTTTAGTAATGTTTGATTTATCTGTATTTACTGTATGCAAGCATCGTGCTCAAATGCAGACATTCTTTTTACATTGTCCCACTTTAGTTCCCTGGTGTACCATATCTGGATGCCTACTCTGCTTAGGAAAATCATTCACTAAGCAGTGCATTCTAGAATATTAAATCAGAATTGCTAAATTTAGGCTAAAGTAGCCAAAAATGTGACTATAGCCGAATTGGAAAATATTTCAAAATTAGCTATTTTGCTATTAGGATTTAGTTTGCTAAAATTTAATAACCCTTAACACGCAATGAGTAAAATTGTGAGAAAACAAAATTGTAAAAAGGTAGATTCTTCTTGCGGAGCCTGACTTTTGAGCGGACCAGACGTGCTCAACACCAGCTCCTGCGTTAGGTACCGAATATCGGGGCATACTGCCTGACCACTTGTTCCTGCATAATTATTGCCTGGGGGATGACACTGAAACCGAAGATACCTTGCACGGGCTTCCCCAGCCCTTGAACACGCATTGGAGGCTTGCGGCCTAAGCGAGTATAGGCCAATGAGAGGCGGACGCTCTCCTGGCTCTAGAGCTATGCTTCCCTCCAAAATGGAGGACGGACCTTCCTCATCCGAGCAGCGAATGTTGCCATCTGAATCAGCCCCACAGGCTGGATTGGAGCATATGCTGCACCGCTTGGATGAGCTCTTTACTGGACGCAACTCGTATTGGAGCTGGAAGGGAGCACATCGAGGAGATGATGGGAATGTGATGTGTGTACCCCATTCTAGGTGCAAGTACCCAAAAAGCTACTGTATCTCGCAAACAGGGCCGATTGGGGTACTCACCTACCGCATCAACCACGAAGGCAAAAGACCCTTTGCCGCAGGCTGCATCAGACCACCAGAGTCTTTTGTCACAACCCATCAGGGAAGGACTTGGACTCTGCCACAAGCCCCAGAGTCTGTGGTTTAATAATGCAGGCCCTCAACACGACCTGGGGATTGAAGGATTCCGCACAGTGCCCTTGCTTTGTAACGCCTCCGGGCTGCCTTTGCCTGTTTCCGAATCTCATTGTGGACTGAACATATCAACCTGGATACAGGACTGATAACACCTTGCCTGCCAAATATAACACCTACCGACATGATCCTGTCTTTATGTTGAATATCTGCACAGTTTACTAGTGTCTATTCTGTAAGAGTGTAAAGCTCCTAAGTAGCGATTATGCAGTCGTATTCATGATATATTTTCACTCTAGTGCAGCCATCACGACCATTAGCGTTTACCTAGCACAGTACCTTGCAGTTTCAGGGAGAGTAGTCTCAGTGGTTCTCCCATCTTGTATACCTAGCGAGGTGCGCAGCATACACTCTTTCCTAAGCATAGAACTATCACTACTGCTACACTGTTTAGCCTGATAATGCATGCATAGTGTAACATGATGGATGCCTGATTTTCCTAGAGATTCCTTACAATTAGACAGACAAATCACCGCTAACACTATTAGTTTAACCTGCAATGTTATATAGTGTAATATTCTAAAAAAAAGAGGCTGTTCCTCACTGGAGTTTAAGTACCGATGTTGTCTATTCTATACCATGTATACCATGTGTTTTATATGCTATAACTCCCTGATTTACATTCTGTACTGTATTATCTCATGCCTCAATAAACACAAAGATTGACAACAAAAAAAAAAGATTCTTCTTGATCTCTTCAATATATCACAATTGACAGAAATGAAATGAAGTACCTGATTTCACAATGGCACTGGTTACAATGTTTCCACAGCCTCAAACTGTTACCATAACACTAGACTCTAACGCTGCGTATACAGTATATTATTAGAGTTTGTGTATAATTGTGCCTTTTTTATCCCTGTGGTGCGCTGTACAGCATACTCATGTTGGAAATATGTTGCCAAAATATTTTATCTGCATCAAGTTTATTAAAAAATACCCCGATTTTCTTATTCTCAGACTGTTCCACTTCCTGCGGCCTGTAACCTGCGTGATTTCAGACGGAATGCCTTGATACTGCTGCAAAGTAACACTTCTGATCTTGTGCTCAACAGCACTTTCCTGAAGAGCCAATCGGAAGCTGCCTTTAGGATAAAGTTGATAGGTAGGTAGTCACTCATGGGTTAAAAGTTGGGCTTGGTAGAGGTTTATAGTACTTACCTTGCAGGAATTTTACCACAAATTCTTTGTGCAATAAATAAAGCAGGGCTTTGTTGAATGACTTGAAGAAAGGGTTTCGAAGGGGTGAGTTTCTCAAGAATCAAAAAGGGATACTTAGGAGGTCATTGAGCGTGATAAGTATAAACTTCCCTTATTTTCCACTCAGTCTCTTCCTCTTATATTGAAGTGCATTATTTTCTTGTTCAAGGGAACCGATAGTCCTGAAAATAACAATCATTATTTCGGGACTATAGGTTACCTTTTGTCCACTCCTCTTTGCAGTGTAAAAATTAAGTAAAATAAATATTACTCACCCCGTTTCCAGTGCCAGGACTCTGTTGCAGTCTCCAGTTCCGCCTCTGGTGATGTCAACAAGCATGCTGATGTCACCCGCGATCTCGTCCAATCCAGGAGAGCGGAGTTATGCCACGCATGCACTTTCCAATTCAAGCGATGGATTGGAGAGTGCATGCGTGGCATAATGCCACGCTCCTCCAATCAAATGTTGCTATCAGCAGCATTTGATTCCTAGACCGAATGGTCATGGGGAAGACAGCAACTAGAGGTAGACTGAACCCTGCAAAGAAAACATTGCAGTTTCTACAAAACAAAAAAAAGACGAGATGAAGTGGTCTGGGTGACTGCAGTGTTCCTTTAAAGGGACAGCTATTCTGTTGCGTGCAAAAAAGCACTTTACATTATGTCCAAATAGAATAAAAGGCAATTTTAATCAATTTGAAGGAGTACAGCAGTCGAGTCTTGCATTCAGGACCCGATGCTGGTGGTGCATTGTATGTCTAGTGGGAGGCGAACGCACCTGTCTGCTCTCTCATCAGGTAGGATCATTTGTTGTTTTTTTTGTCATTTATAACCCTTTGCAACTTCACTATTAGATTTCTAATAGTTTTAGGCCTTGCTATCACTGATTTTTTGCAACTTTTACTTTGCTAGACTTTTCTAAGGACTCTAATTGTAGTTTTAACTTTGTTTCAAACTCTGGAAAAATTATATCAGTTATAAATTTGTTGATCATTGCAATTTAATTATCTTATTTCTTATTTATCTTTTCAAGTTCTTCAGTCATATTTAACCACAGGTTCAGTGAATTTCATGGAACATGATGCAGTAATACATATTGTACATTCCCACTCTTTTTGGAAAATCATCTCAACATAAATTATATGTAGACCTCTGGGAATAACTTATTTTTCTATATCTCCCAACCTACTGCCATTTGACTTTTGTAAAGTTTTTTTTTTTCTAACTCACAAAAAGCATTCATGTTCTTTCTTCTTTTTACCTTTGTTATCAGTTTAATTGCTCATCATTAGGGTCTAGACCATAACTGAGACACAAAGCCATTTCTCACATCTACAGGGTGCCATACCTCATTTACAATGCTTAGGAGAGCAAGTAGAAATCATCAGGGTTTCTGTACCTCAAGACAAAACGTGAATATGTGGTTTTCTGTTTGTTTGATTTTTAGCCATGAATTCTGAAGAGTATGGAGAAGAGACAATGATCATTAGCACACTGCCCGCTCCAGAGGTTCCGAGCTGCTCTATACATCCCAGTGAGGGTTCCGTTCTAACCAGATTCCAGATCTCCTGCTCTTCTCCATGTTCTTTAACAGGTTCCTGCTCCAAGGATGAGCGAATGACTCTTACCTATTGCATCTTCCCAAAGCCAAGTAAGCCTCCTATGACCAATAGACATCTGAGTCTAGATCTTCAGCAGTGTTCCTCTGTGTTTGGCACATGTGTTCTAATGTATTCCTATTATGGCAGGGCTTGAGAAATTGCATATATTTTTTCCACGTGGAATGTGCAGTATTTGTCTCTTCTCTGGCTATGAAAAAAATAGAGTGGTTAAGTAGACATTGCTCTACTTAATACTAGTATATGACATCTTTATGAACACTTGATTTCCCACTCAAGTAAGTATATTGTGCTACCGAGTATGATGTATAAGGTTCCCTGTTTTTGTGTCTGTGTCCTTTAGCATATAGTTTTTGAAAACTATTATGATTCCTGGATTTCTGAACAGAATTTGTGAGCTTAGGTGAAGATGCTCTAAAGACTGTCACATCATGTATCCCAGCCTGACACAGGATGTTTTAATATATTGCATATGTTATCAGGTCTTCTTCGGCATGTTGCATTTGCTATAAGGCCAATTCAATGTGTTGCTTACCTAACTCAACTTCATTTGCATCATGAACTCTCTAGTTAATATTTAGAAGTCTGTCAGTTGGATCGTGTTTATATTGTAAATGTAGACCATAAAAATGATTTTTTGATCTCCCTGCCAGCACAAGGAGGCCAAGTAAGAATCAGAGCTCCATCCTGCTCTTATGTCCCTTCAAGTGGCACTTAGAGCATATGCCATGTCTGCTGTACCCCTAGGTACATCACCAAATGTCCCATAACCTAATTATACTTATCATGAAGCCCAGGAAAGATTCCTAGTAGTGTTAGTTCAGCTAAAAGCTGTCACAAGTATAAAGATGCTAAACTGAAGTACCATAATGACCAGCTGTGAGGAGGAGGTTGTGCACAGGGAGGATTTTAATGTGCAAGACAGACACCCCCATTTTCCTGTAATCAAAGCAGCTCTGAGCTAAACTTACTGTTTAAATTCCATAGACCAGATGAAGAGGCTGCTGATTGGCCAAGATACTTCTAGAAGTGAAAAGTCTGTTTTAATCTTTTTTTGTAGATTGCAACACTAACTCATTTGTGAACTACAATTAAAGATGCAAAATAAATACACCTAACATAGCTGTATGTTCTTTCCTCTAAATAACAGAGAGTGACCTGTGCTCTTCCATCACGTAATGTGAGGTTGTTTCAGGCCATGGATCAAGGACCTCATTGTAGAAATTAACTTGTATTTATTTGTGGGAATTTCACCAAATGAACTAGGAGTCATATGATGTACATTTGTGGTGGACAAATAACAGTTGTCACGTAAATCATTCTTGCAACTAACAAGTATTTTATTTTGTTCTCTTTAGACTCACAGCTGTATTGTGGCCCAAGTCTAGATTTTCCGTCAGTTTATCTGCCTCTGGGAGAGGAAGAACATGACTTTGTAGTAAACGTTACCGTTCTTGTTACATCCAACTTTGGGCATTCAGTCAACACAACTGTGAAAGCTAAGGTGAAGTATTACTCTTTACTAAAATGTGACATCTGTAAAATAATTACACTGATTTGAAGTGGTTATGGTGCTTGGATACAATATGTGCAGAGTTTCACTATACAGGTGCAACTTCAACCTCAGCAGTCATTGGGGCATCATTAGCTAGCCTGGAGCAGGAGTTCGAGGCTTGCTATTGTCAGTTCTGCACATGTTTGGTGTCTGATGTAAGCACGCACAGCATGCTAGTGACAGACAGCCAATTGGGACACCCCTACTGCCTATGTCCTCACCTCAATCCACTGTCCCTGACATCCACCCTGTTCCAGCACCGTCAATAGAGGTGGATCGGGCTGCTGGGAGATCTTCACCTTAGTGCTGGAACGTAGGTGCATTTGAGCTATTTGGGTTATGGATCCCCTTGTTAAAAAAAATAAATAAAAAAAATTAAAAGTTGCAGAAAGCACCTAAATGTACCTAATCTTGCACTGAGACAACCTCTCTCTGCTCCCTGATCTATCCACTTTGAGAACATGATTTGTGATCCAATGCTTTTCATAAAATCAGCCATTAGAGGCATGTGTCCCTAACATTGCCGTATCTCAGAAAACGCAACTTTGAACATTATCCAGAAAAAAGAGACCGCATCTCTGCATCAAAACCAATACATTAAAAGGACACTCTAAGAACCATAATCACATCATCTCAGTGAAATAGTATGGATTACCTGTCTACTTTAAACATGTGAAATATCAAAACATATCTCTTTTATACCTTCCAGGTCAAACATGATGAGACAAACGCTAACAGACAAATCCTGGCATCATATGTGGCCGAGAATTCACGTAACATTTTGAAAAAGGGACCTACTGGTTCTTCATTAATCCAGCTATATAAATCAGTATCTTCTGTCCTAAATCAGGAGATGCCCGCATTCAGACAAAATTCGTCATGGCAAAGAGACAACAATAAAGAGGTTTGTCCAATTTGCAGACAGAGATCGCTAAGTTATGTTTCTTTGTAGTTTATTAATTATTGGTTTAAATCTCTTTTATATTACTTTATGGAAGTCATGTAAACAGCAATGTTAAACTGCTGTCTAATATTTTAAAGCGTGTTTTTTCACACCTCATGCAGAGTTCCGGGCTCCTTGCTTTGTGTTTTCTCTGTGTACATCTGCAGCTGCTGTTTGCGGCTTCTTGGTATATTCTCTGTATTTTGTAATCATTGTGATATAATAATGCATGTACAAGCGATGGTGATGTTCATAAATAAGGATCTCCTAAAAATAAAGAAAATCTGAAGCAGAAATCATCAGATGAAGATATTTCATTTAAAAGAGCTCTGGTACACACCTCTGTGAAGGATAAAAAGGATGCTTTTAAAACCGTGGCCAGCAAAATAATAAAATAATCGGGGGACAGATAATTGTTCACCACCCTGCCAGGGACGTATTAGCCACGAGGCAAACAAGGCATTTGCCTTGGGTGGCATTTTCCAGGGGGCGGCAAAAAAAACCACCCCCAAATGCCCAGGGCAAATGTCTTGTTAGTCTTGTGGCGGCACTGGCGAGGGAGCACTTTCCCCTGAGCTCTCTGCTCAGCTCCCTTGCGCGCCGCAGAGTGATGCCGGGAGCCGGAATATGATGTCATATTCTGGCTCCCGGCATCACTCTGCGGTGCACAAGGGAGCTGAGCAGAGAGCTTACTAAGCAGTGCTCCCTCGCCAGTGCCGCCCGCCCAGCAGCCCAGCAGCCCAGCAGCGCAGCAGCCACTGGACCCCAGGGAAAGGGAGAACCAACCCCCCCCCCAGCATTCCCAAAGGTAAGGAGGCTGGGGTGGTTGAATAAAAAAAAAAAAAATGTGAGTGTGTTAATGTATGTTAGTGTGTGTTGGTGTGTGTGTGTCTGTTAGTGAGTGTGTGTGTCTGTTAGTGTGTGTGTTAGTGTAAGTTAGTGTGTGTGTTAGTGAGTTTGTGTGTCTGTTAGTGTGTGTGTGTTTGTGTGTGTGTTAGTGAGTGAGTGTGTGTCTGTTAGTGAGTGTGTGTGTCTGTTAGTGTGTGTGTTAGTGTAAGTTAGTGTGTGTGTTAGTGAGTTTGTGTGTCTGTTAGTGTGTGTGTGTTTGTGTGTGTGTTAGTGAGTGAGTGTGTGTCTGTTAGTGTGTGTGTTAGTGTGTTTGTGTCTGTGTTAGTGTGTGTGTCTGTGTGGGAGTGTGTGTCTGTTAGGGAGTGTGTCTGTTAGGGAGTGTTTTTCTATGTATGTGTCTGTTAGTGAGAGTGTATGCGTGTCTGTTAGTGAATGTGTGTGTCTGCTAGTGACTGTATGTGTCTGTTAGTGAGTGTGTATGTCTGTTAGCTAGTGTATGCGTGTCTGTCAGTGAATGTGTGTGTGTGTATTTAGAAGGCAGGGCATGGGTGAAGGGTGGGGTGGCTCAAGGGGGAGGGGATGCCTGAGTTTTGTCGTGTCTAGGGCAGCACAAAACCAGGATACACCATTGCACCCTGCCCCCACCTATGGTCAGTGGGTGGGGGAGGGCTAGTGTCCTATACATGGGTGGCGGGTGGGGACTATTATCTTAATAACCAGGGAGTACCTAATGTCCACCCATGAGTGGAGACTTATTTAATAATCAATGCTACTGTACACCCTCTCCCAGCCCTGGGAATCGGGCGGGGGTATTAAATGTGAGAAGGGGGATGGACATGCAATTGTCCACCCCCTAAAGTTGGGGCCAATTCTCTTTCTCACCTGATTGGAAAAGGGTTCCCTAAGCTATTAGCCACCCCAAATAAAAATTGTTCCACTTAAACCCTTCACTCTAATAATAGTGAGGACAGGCAATACATTTAATACATGTAAGAGAAAAAAGTATAATTGCCTTTAGAAGTATTCTTTTCTTTAGCCACCATGAAAAGGCCCAAAAAAGATGGCTTGCCATGGGGTCATTACCCGCCATGGTTGCTATGTTTATAGCCTCCTCCTGCCATCTTACCCTGCCATTTAATGAGTAGCCTCCAACTGAGAACCATGCCTCACCCACTGGCCATGGTTGAAGACAGGGAGGTGGACAGTGATCTATCCACCACCCATTTTGTCATTTAAAGTCCACATTTGATGCCCATGGGTGGTGGCACAGGGTTCCAAGTCCCCCTTGTTATTTTAAAATCCAGACCCAGATTTGAAACACCCGGGCCCAGATTTCAGCTATCCGGCAGCTTTTGTTCGGCTTAAATCTGAACCAAATTCAGGCTTGTTCAGTACCTGCATTGCAAAATCCAGACCTTGTTAAATGGCCCGTACAACAACGGGTGGTTTTGCCCCATTCCGTATGGTACAACGTGGACTTTAGTGAAAAATCCTGTAAGTGTTATCGGGTATCACATAATGGTATAGAACTTGTGCAGGAAACTTCCCAGAACTATTTATGGCATTATATTACAGGTGTATATCACCCCACGGTCCCACCGTCCCACTGAAAAAATACTTTTCATTACCTTCTATACTAGTAAATGTCTTCCAGGCATGTTCCCTTGCATTCAGTAGAGTAATGCAACCACATAGAACAGTCATAGAGTATATAATTTAATTATGCCTAAAAACATTTTTCATGTTGTAGAAAATGTCCATGGGCTTTGGATCTGGATGAGATATTTTTGTTTTGTTTCGTATTTATTTTTATGACAGAAAAAATCATTATGCAATATGCGTAAACACGTAGTGTGTGTGATATCCTTTTATACAGCAGGGCTTAGCATGTGGGTATCATCACTTCACTAGATAAACAGAATTTAAAAAAAAATCGTTAAATCAAATAACAGAGGTCAAAGTTTTCACTCACACAACTTGACAAACACCCTGTTGTGTTTCCACACGGGTACATTGCCTTGTACTCGTGATTTAATAGAATAAAAATTAATTTTGGATATCTTACCCAGTGTGTAGAGATTCTGTATATTGAATTTATACTCGAATGGATCATTTCCATAAGTTCTGATGGAAAGGTCCTGTAGTGTAGAGGTTTCTTTCTAAAACAAGCAGGTTCATAGCTTACATTTATACTGTGCTTATCAACTGAATATTATAGTCACAATCATAACAATTCATCAGAGATAAATTTTGAAGAGTACCCCCATTACACTAATCAAGAAGATGGGCTAGTTCTAAATAATTGGCCAAGAGAGCCATTTAACTCAAAGTTGCAGCAAGAACATCTTCTTAAATCACTGTAACTCCTTTGTTTCTTTAGTTACGAGAGATAATGCTGACAACTCTGTCTGCTGTAAATGTCACATCTCTGCAAACCGCTCTTGAAATGTCTGAGGTGCTGAAGGACCTTACTTGGAGGAGTGAAGAGCTCTCTGCATCAGCTCAGGTGAGGACAATATCCATAGAGTCATACTCTGAATTTCAGACATGGTGTTGCCATGTATAACAAAGGGTAAGGATGAACGAGAAGACACTGTGGTGGCCGATGTCACCCTTATATGCACCTTATCATGTCCACGCACATTTCCCTTATAAATCTGTTTACATCATGTGTGTACTCAAATTCACATTTTTGTGTCTGGCTATATGTATGTGAATATATATGATTGTGAATTGTGACTACCTATGTGTTATGTTGATAACTTCAAGGTCTATTCCCATCACTAAAGCCCCAGAGGCTAATAATCACCAATAGGTGTGGAATGACTCTCTCTGGATCTGCTGCTATATTTTCTTGGACAATAGACTGCTGATGATTTAGAAGGCCTGGTAGATGCTGGATCTGGACTATGGACCAGTATCGATGGACTTACTCTCTACTTAAACTCTCACAACCAAAAAGAAGGAAGGGGAATCTGAAGTTGTGCAACTCACTAGGGGTTTGCTCAGCTTGTCCCTCGTGGTTGACAGAAGAGGTCTGATGGGGTCTGCTGTACGTTATGTAGTAACATTGTATCAACTGCCTGAGAGGTAATACGATACCCCCAGGGAAAAAAAACTTTGTAACCTATAAGCATCAAGCATCATCTTTATATGTTAGAATATTTTTGGGGGTTTTTCCTGCAGTGCTAAGAGAATGTTGTAGTAAATTATTTATACATTTAGGGAATGGAATACAGTAGACATTTCAGATTTCCAATACAAGCACAGTTGTAAAAACATATTTTTAAAAAGTGCTAATTTATTATTATTATTATTTTATTTTACGGTTACTATGTCCTAAGTACCATAAGCACTACAGCTCTTGCAAGAAATCTCTGGATGTATCTCCTGTTTTTTTAGTGGCTTCATAAACCTAAACTGACCTCTGCTTGCAGACAAAACCCTGCCATGATCTCATCCAAAGGACATGTTGGGTACCAGGAAAGATTGATGGAATCTGAATACACCTTAGATCAGAACTACTACAGCTGAGTGCAGTGGTTATGGTGTTTGGAGTGCTGCCTGCCTTAGATGGCAGAATCTCTGGTAATCACACAAGGGAAATTAAAAATGAAACCCCCATCATTAAAGTGATGGTGCTTTAAAGGTTTAATGTTTTTAGCATTAACCTCGATTGGAAGTAGCGATGGACTATAGCTATTGGAAAAGTGCTCCACCTGCTGTTGCTGTAAGGAGTGCTGGATTATTATTTACTCCCAGGAGCAAAATCTTTAATCCCCTCCATACAGCAATTGGAATTTACTTAAAAATTATATACATTCTGAGCGGCATTTCATTGCAGTTACAGAGTTAGAAAAGCTGCAGATGTCAGTGCGGTCAGACTATGAAAACACACAGAAATAAAACTATTTAATTGCATATTGCAGCCTTGGACACTGGTACCTCGCTGTGATTACTGCAAGTATCAATTTAAACAATATATTGTATTATTATTATACAGTTAATGGTTCCAATGTGCTCTACTCTGAGCACAGAGAGGGAGGAAGAAGTAAGAACAATGATTCTGTCCTGGTAATTCAATGAAGTCAAATGTACTGAATGAGGCCCGTTTATTAAGTAGCCACCACATGCTTTTCTCAATATAATTAATAGTCCCTACTCAGGGTCCACAGTTAGGGAGAGGAATGGGGACCAGGTCGCCCCCTATTATTTTTTACAGGCCCTCTCTACCATGGGATGGGGTTTTTTTAGTGACTGGGTAGCAATGCACTTGGGGACATAGGGAGTTTTAAAACGTCCTTAATAGTAGTATGGTGGTTTTATTGACCCCCAAAACTTTGTTTTTTTTAGACACCCTTTTAATGCAGTTTCAACATGGTTAACCCTTGCCCTGCTAAAGTTTTTTTTTAACTATTTGCGTGCTTTTTGCTAGTGCGAAAAGCAATTGCTTTCACTAAAGTTCAACTAAAATTTGTATTTAGTCTCTAGTCATTATAAAATTGGTCCTTTGTACATTTTCCAAATACTATACTTACTATCAATATAAAGCACTGATTTGCAATCAGAAAAAAGAAAAAAATGCATCCAGCAAATAGGTGGCCGCCAAGGGCTCTGCTTAAAGGTGGGCGCTAGCGGCGACTTTGCTGCACATTTGGGCTGCCCCTCTATCAAGCTGGATTCATTATTTAGAGTGTGCTGCTGACCATGTTACCGGGCACTAGAGAGCACTTACATGGCTGCTGACTGGCGCCCAGTAGTGTCTGATATCCACAACAGCTAGCAAAGCCAGGCCCCCCTCAAAGACATCCACTTGTACAAGGATGCCTTATTTGCTGCTCCCACCACTTGCCCTGTACGCGCGGACAAGGGGTGGTTGCATAGCGGGAATTGGGGCTATGACTGGGAGACTGAAGTTCCCCTAGAAAGCCAGGCACACTGAAGATGCCTAAAACACATGAACAGCAAACTGATATGTGAAATGAAGGCAAGAGAGTTAATGGGACCTCGCTGTGTGTGTGTGTTTCAGAGAATCTGTGTCAGTCTGCTTCAGTCAATATGTTTGTGTATGTCAGTCTGCTTGGGTCAGTGTGTGTCTGAATGGATCTGTCTATGTCTTCATCGATCAGTGTGTGTCTGTATGTGTGTGTCTGCATGAGTCAGTGTGTGCCCAGATGGGTCAGTGGGTGTCTGCATGGGTCAAAAATCCTTGCACCAGCACTGCCAGCTAACTGGTGCAAATTTGTTTGGGCTAACTGAATTCTGACTGGAATTAGTTTTAGTAAATTTCCAAATTTCCATTTCAGTCAGAATTTGACCAGATTTTTTTTCATCTGGACAACATCTCAATTTATTGAATTACCCTGTGTATCTCCTCCTTCAATGTAATGTGTTTCCTGGAAGTGCGTGGATTAAACTGGACAATGATGTCAATCGCTAAATCATTAACATACATTTATATATAAACAGAGCATCACATGGAACATATTATAAGTAATGTTTAATGTTTTCAATGTTTTATTCAGTGCTGTAATTAGCAGAGAAGTGATTGTATTAGTTTATGATCTTCTACTCTCCATTCAAGGTGGAAGCCAGCGGTTCTTTGAAGGATGTCAGTGGGTCCTTATTGACTATGAGTGATGAATCAGACCAAACAAGGAAAGATGCTGTAAATCATCTCTTTAATGCTGTCAGCAATGTGCTAGAAGCCACTGCAAGCAATGGGAGCTCACATATGGCGGAGCCAGGAGGTGCGCAGGTAATTTCATATATAGTCTTAAATATCACTGAGGCAGATTTATCAAGGAAAAAGCAGTGAAATTAGGGGCAAAGATACAATGTAATCACCATGGAAACAGAATGACTATCAACATATTGCACTTTGCACCAAATAGAGCACTTGCTTTGCCTTGAGTAATCTCATTCATAATTATTTGTATATTAAAACTGTACCATTCCATTCAGGGCTGGATTTGCCACAAGGCTACCAATGCCATGGCCTCTAAGTGACAGGCAAAGATCTCCCTCACTTGCCAGCCCATTCTCCTGTGTCTCCCTCGCCTGTATTATATCTAAGCATTGCTGCAGCACCACTCTGATATATTCTCTCTTTCCTGTCTGTAAGCATCAGGAAGAAGGGAATACACTTTTATACCACCCCAGTCACCCCAGTATAGCCCCAGTCACCCCACTACAACCCCTGTCATCCCATTTCAGCTCTGGTCACCCCACCATAAACCATGTCACCCCACTACAGCCCATGTCACCCCACTACAACCCTTGTCACCTCACTACAGCCCCTGCCACCCCAGTATAGCCTCTGTAAAATACTCCCTTATAAACAACTCAAGGAAACAAACTGTTACTGTGTAGTCCCTCAATAGATACAGTACTGTCAAAAATAAAGAATTGTTACTTAATCTGGACCTCTGAACCTCTGAAAGTTGCAAAAAAATACAGTATCACTGCAAAGGTGCATAACTCAAATGAAATATTGTCTTTGAAGCTGTGACCCCCACAGAGGTCAGATGACAGAAGGGGTAATGTAAATTGCATAGGATTGTGAAAAGGGAAAGATGTATCCTGTGATTAATCAACAGCTCTGCAAGGTGTTCGATTCTACACTTGAAAAGCCTGAATGTCTGGCTTCAGCCATATGGCCTGTACTTCTTAATTGATGGGTCTATCTCTTTGATATGTTAATGGCCATTAGCCTTGTTCCAGTATCATATCCAAAAGAAAATAACATTAATATTTACCCACAGAATAATAATTAAGCCTCAGTTTTGTTATATTTGGAATGTGACGAGTGCCATCTCCTAAACAAGCCCAAACACGTCTGGCATAACTTAACCAGGAAGGAATTGTGATGTCCACTATATTGGGTAGTGTATGACATATCTATGGAATGGAAAAATAATAACAAATTTGTAGATGCAATTATTAGTTCAGTGGCAGATACATAAGAGAAGATAGAACCAAATGTTTCCATTTGGATTGATTTGGGTCTGGACACAAGGGGGTGGTCACTATACATACTCCTTAACTCCACCTCTGGGTAACATGTGGTAATCCACAGGGTATATCTCTAGTGATACTGAAGTGTGCTTGGTACTTGCTTGAGGGGCAGAATCTAATTCTAAGTGAGTCACCATGTTTCCTACCAGAGACCCCCTGTGGCAGAAGTATTTACTTTGAAGAGCTGAGTAAGTGATTAGGACTTTTATTTTATCACTTTTCTTCTTATCTGATGTTGGTGTAAATCATTTTAATTGTCATTTATATTTTTGTGTGCGCTGTGACTATTTTTTGATCATAATAAATATTCCTTTATTTAGTTCTGCCTTTGTCTGGTAAAGAATCACGTTACCTGAAGAGACTAATTAGTATTGTTGCAATTCCTTGAATATTGTGCTTAGTTATATGTGGTGGGTTTTTATTATTGAATTACCTGGGGGACCCAGGCACCCCATTTATAAATTGTCTTGGTGGTCACAGCGCTAAAAAAGTAATAGTTATATTATTATGCTTAACTGTGGGTGGTTTTAAAAGGGATTTTGTCATTATTTCCGGTCTAGTGCAGATAAATAGTGAACTTTAACTCTTTCACCGCCACAACTACGTCACGCACACTCTTGAAGTAGGGTGCGTTCGTGACATACAGTAGGTTAAAATAAATGTAGGTCCTCCTCTGTAGATAGGTAGTGTGCACCTTAGACAAACCAAAAAGGGGGATGGAGAGTATAGCTTACACGTTATTAAATGATTGAAAATCAGAAGTAGAAACCCTCACATTATTAATTGGTGATGGTATCAAAATCTACTCACAAATACATATATTACAATAAAAACCTTCAAACAGTACTCCAGTGGGTGGTCATGGTGATCACCCAGTCGATGCAGCACTGACTGAGACTGTCAGTAGACCAAATGCAACTGGCTGTCTCACCACTACCACATAATGTGCCATGCAATCTCTTTTTGTTTCTCTCTTCAGAATACAGTGTCACTCCATCTTCTAAGCGCAGTGGAAAATCTGCAGAGTGCGTTGCTAATTGGGAAACTGCCAGATAATGAGCCCATAATCCTGACTACACCCTCTGCTACCATGTATATAAACAGGTGGGTGAAAAGAATACATTGCTAATTTATTGAAGCAACCACACAATTGTAAAATATTTTGACATGTGGTCTCTGGCTCATCCTATTTCCCTTAGGTCATTAATTATTCAATTATTCAATGCTTTCCTATGGGGAAAATCTGACGCCGAAGGTCCGTATGGACGTCCAGCGTCAGATAATGGACCAAGGTCCGTTTGGATTCCAGAAGCCCTCAAGTGGCTGTCTGTTGAACATTGCGGTACTAAGTGCAAAAGGGTCACAGCACCCAGACTACTTCAATTAGCTGAAGTGGTCTGGGTCCTACACTGTACCTTTAAATGATGCTGGACGTCTTCACACTCTGAAATCCCCATAGGAGAGCATTAATTCCCTCCATTGGATGACATTGGACAAATTTAGATGACTTACTAACAACAATGTATTTAAGAACAATGTAACATATGTGCACTGACTAATTTCTAGTTCATATTTATTGTCGTTCGAAGACACATTACTGCGAGTATTATTGCTGTGGAGCTCTGTTATACACTCAGACACTGCAACAATATGGAGCTTTTAGAAAAGAGGGACTGTAGGATTTAGACCAAAATAGGGACCTCCTTAATAGGGACACTTGGGAGGTATGGTTGACTGTAACTGCTTGGGGTAAAGATGGTAAAAATCTTAACAGGAAGGAAACCAGACAGAACCACTTGCATTTACAATTACGGTAAGAAGGTTGAGAAGACTTGTTTATGTAACGCTTTCTTGTTAAATATTATCAATTTCGAAAGCACACTGTAAAATAATCAGACATCGTAGAAACACTATCATATTAATCATCTTCCTTGATATGGGACCAGAGAAGTTTAAATCCTCCTATCTAACTGAGAGTTCTAACATCTCTGAATCATTAGCTTTACTCGGCACAATCTGAGTCACATACTGGTACAGTGTAATCACTTTTGTAACTCAGTATGTCAGGATTCCTGTGTGCTGCCCGCAATCACACTGCCTGTTTGTTTTCTAGATTCATTACCATTGAGTGGGATGTGTGTTTTGTTTAAACAGAATTTCGTACGGAACCTGTGGCAGTGTGGGGACCACATTGTTATGAGACTAATCAGGAGCTTAAACTGTGTTACAGGAAGGAATTAGTAACAAGTTGTACGTCAGTATTGGAACTAATAAACAGAGGGCCCTAGTGCTTTATTTAGTGCCCCCTACTGCTCCAGAAACCTCTAATTCACCAAAAATGTCCCTACTTGCCTCTGCAAAACAACAAACTCTATAGTCACAAGACCCTACATCCCCATGCCAGTTCAATCTCTCCTTTCCCTGACAATTAACCTTCTCCCTGACTAAATTAGGTTTGCCACATTTGCCTGCCTATGAACCCTCTCTATTCCACTATTCGATTTGCCACACTTGTCTGCCAACTAATCATCTCTCTTTTTGATTTAGACTGGCACATACAACTGCCGATGAACCTCCTTCCTCCCCCAAATACGTGGCCATTTTACCCCCTATATTCTCATATTCCTTGTTATCCACATACTGTGGAAGGGCCCTATGTTGGCTCCTAAAGTGCTTGGCCCTGTCATGTTTTGCCCTCAATTTCTTTCCTTGCCCTCACTGCCTGGCAGTCCTATCCAGGCCCTGACTGGACGGGTCCTAATAGTGGCTCAATAGAAAACTTGCCAATGACACTTAAGCACACAAAATGTAGTTTAGACACACATTCACACACCATGCTTCTTACAAACACAATCCATGCAGTTCACAGATGCAATCCATGCAGCTCACAGACATAATCCATGCACTCACAGACACACCTTCAGTGTACTATGCAGTTCACAGATCCCCTCTATGCAATTCAAAGACACCTTTCACTCTCTGCTGTTCAGACACACTCCACGTAGTACACAGACACCCTCCATTTCACAGACACACCATGCAACCATTATGGTTGTCATGCCCTGATGGCTGCCCTGATCAGGCCCTTTTTTTCTGGCATACTCAGCCACCATAGAGAAGTGTTCCTTCCTTTGCTGCTGTCCTGAGGCTATACCCATATCAGGCTGAAACAATTGCTTCCATCATCATCCCGCGAGGAAGGCAGCCTGCATTCTGGAGTGAGATTAGATAGACCGACTGAGTACCTCTGCCAATCGGTGCTCGCTAAGGACTCCAAGCACTCCAACTGACACCATCAGCACTGCAGACCCCACTTCCAGCAATGCAGCTGAGCTGGGGTCTCGCTGTCTCCACCCACCCTGGACCCAAGGCCAGGATCCAGTGGGTTAACCTCTCTTTCCCCAGAGAGCAGGAACAGGAACAAGCTCTTAGCAGAGCTTAGTGATCATACCCTGGGGAGTATAGTGATTATAGCAATCTCCAGAGTGTAGTTCTCCAATCAATAATTACTGAACAAGATGGGTTAATGTAATTTATCACAGGCAGGAAAAATACACTTTTTACACATACTCTGTAACTTTAAATATATGCATCATATTCACATATTCAGAATCAGCATACTTTAAATATAAACATAACCAAAAATCATGCAAATCCTTCCATTAGTTCAAAAGTTAGTCGAAAGTCCTTTGTGACCAAATGAAGCATGGCTTTTCTGCCCAAAACCAGTTCCACAGAGTCTTCTATCCTGGAGATAATTGGGAAGTAATCCAATTATCTCCAAGGACAGAGGCAAAACTCCATTGAACACATGGCAGCAAAAAGACAATAAAAGACATAAAATCACACAATTACTACATAAAACATAAACATGCAACATATCCCCAGATAGCTTAGATCTGAGCGCACATTATTACGAAATGGCGCTCAGATCACATACATACAGTTCAATCGCCATGGAGCCAAAGTCTTTTCCATAGTCTTTTGTTACACGAATAGGCTCCATGGCATAGCTGTCCGGGGTAGCACTACTACCATACTGAAAGTCCAGAACGCCCCGGCAGAAATACACAAACAAACCTCTCTGCAGGGGAAAATACAGCTATCAGGGCCATAGTCGGAAGGCAGGAGGCTAGCCAGTAGTCCCCTCCAGACACAAGTGGCGAAGGGCACTTCGTTACAGGCAGCAACTGGCTCAGAACCCATTCCTTCCTCCCACTCATGAGACCTTGCCTGATTGTAATCAAGAAACCTGTATGTGTTCTCACCTCAGCTCACTTCTGCTGGTGCCCTCACTGCTCTCCCTCCCCTCATGGGTGGCAAAGGGTGAGCCCATAAACTCTAGTGTGCCATTGCAACCTGCTACAACTGTAGGGATTCTGCCCCTGTTACAAATGGTTAATGGCAACAAAAAAAGCAAACAGAAAAATTAGAGGCAATTTGCACAAGAACATCGAGTGATTTCTAAATCCTCATTGATTCAATGTGCATTAGTTCCCATCCTTGTGATGATGTCAGATTAGGCAGAAACAGAATATGGTGTAAGTTTTGGGGGGTTATTCAACCATTTAAGTGCTGCAGTGCGGGTGGAGGGCATGGGGGCAGAGGAACACTATAGTGTTAGTAATACAGTTTCTGGGATCTGCAGTTAAGCTAGCTGCTTTGATAAGTGGAAAGTTTGTAAATAAAATACAAGTAAAATTAAACCTGTGCTCTGAACAGAACTGAGGCTGTGCACAGAGAGCTTTAAACACTGCTACATAGACCCCCCCCCCATACAGCATGAATACAAATAGGAAGGCTGACAGAATTATTTCTGGGTTATTACTGGGTTATTTTTGTGTATAGGCTAGTGTCTGTTATTCTAATTTGTAATATAAAGAGAGTTAAATAGCCCAGTCTGCACTTTAACTGTTGAACTATACTTGCTTTTTCAACTGTTCTGTAGCACCATGTCTCCTGATTTGGCTCATGCACACGGATCCTCTCCTACTGCTCCATTGGTTGGTAACCTGTAATACGAGATTGCTTAGTAAATAGGAAAGAAATAAGAATGGCGACCGTACAGCTACTATCTTACGACCTCCTCATTTAGTTTCATGTTTAGACTTGGCTGAATGTTACTAAGTAGCAAGGTTACTTACAGTCCTGGCTCTTGTTCATGATATAATTTATGTATCTGATAATTTATCTGCATGTTCCGTTGTTGGTTTTCTGTTTTTTTGTTGATTGTATAAAAGCAAATGTAAATTCTTCAACACACTTTAAATTAACAAAACAAAAAAGCAACAACAACAAACAATCTTAACGTACTGTTATTTTCATTGGGTACAAAGTATTACCAGATAGTTCAAACACTTCATTTATGTTTTTCTACACAGCAGAATGCTCAGACCTCATTTTATTTAAAACAGACTCTTTAACTCTGTTGTGTTGGAGTTATTTCTTTATTTGTGGTTAACAAGTTAAATATATATAAAAAAAAACATAATTAGAAAAAAGGCTCAAATTTGAAGTTCGGGCATTTTTTTTAGCAGAGTTTATGCAATAAGATCCCACCATATCTCAAAGAGGCTCAATCAGTCCTGCTCACTTAAAGGGACCTTCCAAGCATTCTAACCACTCCAGTTCATTGTAGTGATTATAGTGCTAGTAGGGTGCAGTCGTATTTTGATTCATGGATGAACCCATCAGCTGACATCTCAATCCTAAAATCCCAATTTATTTTTAATCAATTGATAAGTGATGGGAGCGTTTTAAAACTTTATGAACAACACTGCTGAGAAAAATTGTTACATGGGATTTAAACATGCTGACACAAATTGACAAGGATATTTTAACGTTTAATAGTTTGTGCTTTGCAGGTTTTTTGTTTTTTTTTTAGATAAAAAACAACTTGCTTAACCTTTTGCAGCCACAAACATGGCAAATGACTGTAAATATCCATGGAATTGCAGTTTGTCTCCAACTAGGAGTCCAGCCATATGCGATAGCTCTTGGTTACAAACAATCTTTTGTTTAGAGTGTTCCAATCCACTTGGTATAAAAGCCTCTTATTGATAATGACATGGATAAGCATAACAGGTAACTGGGTTTCTTTGTGCAGCCTTGCTGTATTCATTACTGTTTTTAATAACAATCTATTTTTTTGGCCTTCCTACAGACTGCAAACTGACCATATGGATGGGGCTTCTGTGAATATTCAGGACTCAAAATCAGCCGCCTTCACCTTACCGCCTCTCTCTTCCCTTAGTTTTTCTACAGAAAGTAATGATGCCATGGATCTGCGGGCAAGTATATGATCTGCGTGAGAATACAAAACATTTTCCACTAGTCTTCCAGACTGCATCAACTTCTCTCTTGACAGCCACTGTCACTTCTGTAAAAATAGACATTCAGATGATGGGTCATTTATCTCTATCTGTTGTACGTTTGAGAATGAATCCACACTACTTATGCTCATTTTAAAGAGCATAATATTTTATATGTTATAAAAGGCTAGCACAACTATAGATTGGGAGAAAAGTCTATTTACAAATAAGTCTCCCACCTGACTACCAATTCCTCAGCATAGACCTCTGTGCCAAAGATCTGACTGACAGGGAAAGCAGGAGAGACCTCCTACAGTGCATATGCAACAATCATTTTTACTCCCTAGCCTATGCGGCTACCATTCACTTCACTAGCTAACAGGTTCACCTTAAAGGGGCACTGGAGGCACCCAGACCACTTTAGCTCATTGAAGTGGTCTGGGTGCAGAGTCCCTATTGCCCTTAAAACATTGTAGTTTTTGAGTAACTGCAATGTTTTTACATTGCGGTACTAAGAAAGCCACCAGTTGCTGTCTCCAGACGGCCACTAGAGGCACTTCCTGGAATTTACCAGACTCCAGGTCCCCTAACTGACACTGGAAATCCTCACACTCTACATGAGGACATCCAGTGTCAGTGAAATTCCTATTGAAATGCATTGGGGCAATGCTTTCCAATGGGGAGGGCCTAATGAGCATGTGGTGCTTGCCGTGCGAATGCACATTAGTTTCCCCCATTGGATGACGTTGGAGGAGGCGGTGTGCTGAGGAACAACAGTGCTGTAATCAGGTGAGCAAATAAAGATTTTTTTACCCTTTGTGCGCTGCAAAGTGGGGCCGCGAAGGAGGGGGTCCAGAGGGCACTGTAGAGTACAACTATTGGTGCAGATGGGCGCCACATCATTTCTGGTTCTACGTGGACCATTCACACACATTTTGAGGTCACAGGTGTTACGTGGACCAATCAAATAACACCTAATAGGCCCCATTTACTGTACCCTATCGTGGTGTCTGATCTTAGCACCCGTTTATGTTCCTTGTTCCTGTCTTATTTTTCTGGTATTGACCTTGCTAGTTCTTGACTCAGGGTATTTCTGTAACCCTTAACTGACTAGTTTATACGTCCTCATATTCTGTTTTGCTGAATATTCACTGCAGGAACATCTTAAATTGATGAACGTTCTAATACTGAGAGTCTAAAAGAAGTATTCACTAAACTCCAAAATTGTGCGACTTATGGCCTCAATGTAATATCTTTGCATAATCTTTTGAAACGATTTAATATTCTTGGATAAACTTTTAAAATTCTTTTTTTTTTCAAAAATATAAAATTATCAAATATATCATATATAAAACATATATCGATATATATAAAAAAAGTAATAAAACATTATACAAAATAATCAATCATTTGAAAAGCTTTATCCAAAAATATTATATTGAGGCCTATATCTAAATTGAAAAATTGAGGCCAATCGGACAGAAAATAAAATAGCTTGGTTTATTTCGTACCAGGCACAGCAGCTCCGTGCTTTGTAAAATCATATTTTTTCACTGTCTGAACTCCCATGATCTTATTATTCATCCTGCTATGCTGTATCTATTGCAGATGGTGAGTTTCTCAGTAAATCCATTCCCCTCGAGTGGCACTCTTGACGTCAGTGGATCTGTAGGAGGACTGAGCCTTACCAGCACTAATGGAACAGTCATACCTGTTAAGAACCTCGATGATTACATTGAAGTGAGAAGTTCTTCATTAACTCATTACCCGTGCGCACTGAATCTTGTATTGAAACAATGTAAACATCACCGTTACTGATTTGTACATGATAATCTATAGACTGAGGCAAACAGGATACCCCTGCTTTTGAGTAAAAACACAAAAGCTAGTTTGCAAGTACGACCCTAGGACATACTTGAAAATCTGAGATAAGCTAACTGTGCCTTTCCTGGTTTAATACTTTGATGTTATTATTACTATTATTATTGTCGTGTATACGGTATAAAAGAAAATAGTGACGACAGAGTTTGCAATACGTCTTACAATGTAATAAATTCTACAATGTGTAAACCGGAACTTTAGGATAGAGCATATGTTTGTATTTTTGTACTATTAAAAACTAATATTTATGCAAACGAAGTAGCTGTCACTAGATATTACCTCCATAGGTGTATCAGGGGGTGGGAGGGGCAATTGCTCCCCAGATTATTTCCTTTCTCTGTGATAAGTGTCCCTCTTTTTAACAGGAACAGTGTTGCTAGTCCCTAACTCAAGGATCCGACTCTGTCCTATTACCATGATACATATGAAACCATATTTATTAGGATTAGAGGACAATCCTGGCCCATTCTGGGCACAGTCTAATTCCATTTGAATGATGACCAATAACCTTTACACTGTTTATGACTGATTGCTTGGGCGTACAGTTCACCCATGTCCTTTACTGCTATTTTATTTTTTTTCACAGATAATACTGCCAAGAGGTTCACCAGTCGGTGAAGTGAAGACTGTTTTAAATTTGGACAACTTCACAACTCTTCTAATAAATGTGACCTCTGTCAGCATCCCTTTGGTGTTTTATCTTGAGCCCAGCAGGGATGTACCCTTCTTTCTCTACTTGGGATATGAGTATTATCCAAACGAAACTAATTATGACATCACTACTTATATGGCTAATGTTGAAGGTGAGAGTCAATAAATTAGGAATAAAAAAAAAGTAGTACATGTATTGATCAAGGCAAATACCACTTCCTAAATATTCTTTCAACATCTTCTCCAAAGAAGCTCAGAAATTAAAATTTTGTGTCTATCCAGTTATTCTGCTTTCTTTGTGGGATACTGTATAACTAATAACCAGACTCCTCGATTTAATTTCCAACTTTGTCACTTAGTGCCTGCAATAACCTGTCTCTGATAACAGCAGCCGATAGCAAGTAGTCGCTACTAATCTCCGATCGGTTTCCAAACGTGTTGGTTGGGTTTTGCAGCCTGGCTGACAATAACGGCCACTCATAGATGAGCCATTTGCTGCTAATGCTCAGAAACCTGCGTTGTGTATGTTGTCACCATAGCAACCACAACTTGCTGGTAAAAAAAACAAAAAAACATGCATACTTTATTTATGATTGGCCTTAGCAACAGTGTATTAAACCGTGATTCATTGCTCTGCCGGGTACTATCTTGTCCAGTCTGCTTTGTCATTCGCTCATTATCTTGACAAGTGCACATATATAAAGAATAATTTCTTGTTTTACGTCATGTGTCTGGCCTTTAATTTTATTGCACTTTGATATGGTTTGAAATCTTCTTTAGAGATTTGTTGTAATACCATATAGCCTACGCGAATTTTCCCAGTCGGATAGCGAGTTCTTGATAACTTCTTTGCCCTAGGCAGGAGGCTGGTGAAAAGCTTTGTCAGACATATTATGCCTTTAAACATGAATATGTAAAAAAATATATAAATTTTTCATAATTTTCACAGAATATTATTTTTAATAGTTTCTCCCACAATTATCCATTCAGCTTTCTGGCTCAGAGACAGTCGGTAATGAGCAGCAACAGGGCTGGAAACCATTCAGTAGAAAATAAATCATTAGCTGCTACTACGCCACTTACTTTAAATTGCAGCAACCAGTAACTTCCTGTTGCTGCTGATAACATTTTGCATTCTGTAAATAGCCACTAGTCACTAGCATTTTAGCCAGAAGCAAATGGCTGGTAAACAGTAGCCAACAACGGCCTCGATTTAATAAGCTAATATAATTTTAAAATATATAATTTAATACCGTTGGAAAAAAATTCCAAATGATTAATCTACAAAAATTCCCAAAGATTATAATTTTAAGTGGTGGCTTCTGTAGGTAAATCATTTGGAATGTTTTTTCTAACAATATTGAATCATTTGAAAAGCTTAAGCATCACTCTCACCATCTGGGGACTCTGCTGAATTCGCAAGGTCCCCCAAATGTGACATTATCGCTAGTGGTCCTGCGGCTGCAGGGAACAGGTAAAAGGGAGATTACTTACATGAAGCTGTCCCTTGTGAGCTGTGCCACTTTTCTCGTGTCAGAAGCCGACGCCACTGCCGTACCCTAGTGCATGTGCAAGAGTACAGCATTGAGGTCTATGGGGGATCCCCCAAGATTGCAGGATCCTCCATAGACACTGCCAATTCCTTGCAGCCGTCACTCTTAGATTAACTCTTAGACTCTGCCATATGTCTAAAAAAGTCAGGTGGAGGAGAAATAAGAGCCAAATTAGTCTATATATATATATATATAATTATATATATACTAGTGTACTTATCACTGGCTAGTGTATGTGTTTTTGAGTACCTCTGGTTCTTTGACCAGTAATACTCCATTCTAAGGACCAGTAATACTCCTTGACTTGGCTTGTTCATTGCCAACAGTTTGGTGTTCTGTAGTTTTTTTAAGCCCAACAATTCTAGGGACCAGTAATATTCCATACCTTTTAATGTGTTTCTGTCCCTATCAGGGTTTGACCTACACCTAACATAAAGGGTTGTCAATCAGTCTTTATACACTGTCAAGATATGCCAGAATCGATTTCAGTCGGGACTCTGACTTTGGCCTCTATTGAAACTCTCATTTGTGCTTTCTAGTAAATTGCCCATGCCAAGTCCATGCTAAACCCTCCAGAACTCCAGTGACTTAGCATTGGATTCTACATGGACCATTAATTATCTAAAACACAGTTGCTGGACTTACTTTAGTCAATACATGAATTGATTACCTGCATGTAGTCAAGATTAGATTTGTGTATGCTATTAAGACACGTGCATTGGGTGATGTTGTTATTTTTCATCTTTGGTATTACTTAGGTAATTCTTATTCTTGGGTAATAAGCCCAGAGGATCTTTTTCTGGGGGAAGGAACATATTACTTGACTGTGAAACCTGACCTGGATGAAGATAAGGCTAGTAAAAGCAATCTTACCATAGCCATAACCTCCTTTATGTCCCAGTGTGTGTTCTGGGATGAAGTAAATCAAGACTGGAATAACACTGGATGCAAGGTAGGTACTTTTCATGTAGAGTCAGTTTTAGGAATACTTTTATCCAACACACACATTGAATGCCAATGTACATTCCAGTCATTCCTTTAAGGTTGAGCGTCAAAGACTGAAGAAGAGAACAAAATAAAACAAACAAAAAAATCACGTTACTGGTGTGTGGCCATCTTTCTACCTCAATACTAAGAATTAGGATGTGGTGGGCAAAAATAGAAACTTGTTAGCAAGATATTTTTAAGACGGTGAAGTAACTTTTTTTGTCAAAACCCATTGTATAATATTAAGTTGCTCGATTTATTGAACTGTGACTATGGCCTCAATTTAATAAGCTTAGCAAATAATTCAATACTGTTCAATGGTTCAATACTGAGAAAAACATTCCAAAATGATCAATCTACTGAACTCACCATTAAAGTCCATTGGAATTTTTGTAGATAAATCATTTGGAACGTTTTGTTTTATTTAACAGTTTTGAATCATTTGTAAAACATTAAATTAAGGCTCATGATAGGTTAAAAATCTTTGGATGCACTGATCCATGCATTGATGTCTGATGATGCCTTCTAAGTGCTTCTGATTTGTGGTAATAAAATATATGCATTATTAATTTGACTGGGAGATATTGACCAGTGCTATCACGATTAGTCTAGGATGCAACAAACATTATCCCATTCGGGAGTTGTTGCGTTAAGATGCTTAGATGGGAATTGTAATCAAAAACTTTTATAAGCATACAAAACAGAAAATAAAGTTTTAAATAAATTAAAACTGTAATAAATAGTTGTATGTATTATAGTTATGTATAAAAGTTTAGAAGTTTATGCAAATTGATTTCTTCCTGCTATAACTGCTAAATGGGTTTGAACATTCTGTGAATGATTTTTTTTTATTTAATAAGGTTGGACCTAAAACAACTCCTACCAGCACCCATTGTGTTTGTAATCACCTTACATTCTTTGGGAGCTCTTTTATCGTCATGCCCAATGCTATCGATGTCACCAAAACTGTTGAACTCTTTGCTACGTTTGTGGACAATCCAGTTGTGGTTACCACTGTTGGGTGCATCGCTGTTCTTTACGTGATGGTGTTAATTTGGGCCAGAAGGAAAGACATCCAAGACAATGCCAAGGTATATTCTTAGCAGATACTATACAGTATAAGAATTAATACATTAAAGGGAAACAATGCTTAGAACATTTCTATAATGAGTGAATGTTCGTTCAGCTTAACACTTTTTATAGCCTTGGTGTCCTTTTTGCTATATACACTATATGTATTTTTTGCGAAACGTGTTGAAATTGTGCAGGTTCTTGATTTTGATGTACCATCTCAATTTTTATTACATCTTATCATAAGATTGTTTCTTCTTTGGTTCAAATAAATCATGGTACACAGATTGTACATCAGTTGTTCACAGTATTTCTATTTATATTTCTAAAGGTCACCTTTAATGCTTTCTTTGAATTTTGTACTTGGATGTTTAACTTCCTTTGTGAGCAGACACAAATTTCTGACATAATGTACTGTGCATATTTGATACAGGTGAAGGTCATTGCATTGGAAGATAATGATCCATTTGCTCAGTACCGATACCTGGTCACAATTTTCACTGGTCATCGCAGAGGAGCTGCCACAACTTCCAAGGTATATAGTGAGGCTCTCAAGAATTATAAGTGCTTGGCTTACTAGGTCTCCTTATCTTAGGAACTCCTGATGTTTCGAACCTATGTAGGACATCAAGAGCATGTGACCCAATAGCTAGCCAATGGTAGCTAGCCTTTATTAGTCCATAAGTTGTGATCCAACCGTTTATTCATGCTAACCTTTAGCTCTCCGGTGTCTGGAGGACTTTGTGTACCAAGATGCATCACCAATGGAACTGCTGATTGGGATTTATGGAAGATGGAAGAACCACAAGAGTGTCAGTGGTTACCCATCACTACAAAATGTACTTTTTAACACCAGTGCTTAATTACCATTAATGGTACATCAGTTATCTGTATACTAATATGTATTGTCTGTATACTGCTTTAGAGACATTTAGGCTGTTCCAGAGTGTGAAGCAGCAGGGAAGCATTGTTTAAATTTGAGTGTGTGCCTTCTTTTAGAACTCCTATGAATTAATGTAAAATCTTCCTCCAAGGTGGCCATCACCCTATATGGCTCTGAAGGTGAGAGTGAACCTCACCATCTATATGACCCTGATGGAGCTGTGTTTGAGCGAGGTGGATCAGATATCTTCTTGATCACAACCCTCTTCCCACTCGGGGAGTTAATGAGCATCAGACTTTGGCATGACAACTCTGGAGACAAGCCATCATGGTAAGACTGGATTAATAAAGTCTACAGTAAAACCATTCCTCTTTTTGACATAAATTACACATTAGTTACTATAACCACATGGACACTATACATTGGTTTAAACTTATCTCAGTGTTCTGGATGTAAATGTGAAATGTACTTAAGATAAATAAGTCCTTGTGGTGATTTCTGTATTGTTCTCCTGTGTAGTTTAATGATACTGATCCTTCCCATCCTGTTTGCAACTTTCTATCTATACATGGGTTGTGTACTCATGCTGTACATGTTAGAGAACAAACTTGTAAATATTTATTTTGTGTGTTTCTCGAAATGTACGTTTGTGACAGGGGCGGACTGACTACTCATGAGGCCCCTGGGCAATAGGAGATCATGGGGCCCCCGTGTACCCACCAACTTGCAAGATACACAAATATACATCATGCCCACATACATATGTTACAGGAAGGGTTGTAATGTTGGGGGGAAGAGGCTTCAGTGGGGGACAGGAGTCATAATGTGTGGGACTGGGGCTGTAGTGGGCAGATAAGGGCTATAATGGGCAACAGCATCTCTAATGGGGGGAAAGGCGCTGTAGAGGGGGTGTAGGGGTTTTAATTAGAGATAGAGACCGTAGTGTGAGGTAGGGTGATTAGGGGCTGTCATGGGGGATACGGGCTGTAGGAAGGGGATAAGATTATAACAGGAGGATTATAACATATGCAAATAGGGTGCTATATTTGTTGCATAAGCATATGGTGTGAAAAATGTAACAAAAAACTATGGTGTCTGGAATACAAACATATCCCTGACACTGTTGTTGTAAGAACACATTTTAGATCCCTAGCCCTGCTTTTCTCGCGTTATAAAGTTATTTTACTCACTTTTTCCACCTAAAGTAGAGGGGGTGCTGGTGCAAGATTTTTTTTAGGTCCACCTATCGTAAGGATGGAGAAAAAGGTAGATACCCATCTTTCGTACAACTACCACAATACTTTGCCAGATGGGCAACTACCATTTGCCCATACTTGCAGTGTTTGTATGCTTGAATATAAGCATGTTTTGAATGGAGTATGTGTGTGTGAATGTAGGGATGTATTTGAGTGTAGTGTTGGAGTTTGAATGCTGAGATGTACACACACACACACACACACACACATACAGACACAAGCATTGACACGTATAGATACACACGTGCAGACTCACAGATACAGACACTAACACACGTGCAAATACACATACACACACCAACACATATACAGATACACAGACACAGACATTGACAAAGATACACAGACACACAAATTGACGTACAGACACACAAATTGACGTACAGATACACAGACACACATACAGATACACAGACACACATTAACGCACATAAAGATATACACACATACTAATAAGCATACAGATACCCATACACACACTAATACACATATAGAAACAGACTTGTACATTAACAGATACAGACACACGCTAACACACATACAGATACAGACACACACTAACACAGATACACAGACACACACTAACACACATATAGATAGTTACACATACAGATACACAGACACACATACAGATACAGACACATACTAACACAGATACACAGACACAGACTAACATACAGATACAGTCACACACACATACAGATACACAGACACACACTAACACACATACAGATAACATGCGCACACACACATACAGATACACAGACGCACACTAACACACATACAGATAACATGCACACACACATACAGATACACAGACACACATACAGATAACATGCACACACAAATACAGATACACAGACACACACTAACACACATACAGATACAGACACACACTAACACACATACAGATAAAGTCACACACACATACAGATACACAGACACACACTAACACACATACAGATAACATGCACACACAGATCACATTACATATATTAACCACCCCCCTGCTTTCATACCTTTTTGGTGGAGGAGGGTGGCTTCCCTGGTGTCAAGTGGTGTCTGGCTGAATGTGATGGCAGTCTGGCTCTCTCTTCTCTGTTCCTGCCTGTTAATCTCCCTCCTCTTTCGGCTTGCAGTGCAGGGGCCCAGTTGCACTGATGAGAGGCACCTGATTATTTCTGTAGCGACCCGTGCAGGCGGCGCACTTCGATGCGCATGCATGATGTCGCCGTTGAGCGCCGACGCACACAGGGCGGAAACAATCCTCTGCTCCTCCAGATCCAGCTCCACTGCTGGTAACCAGTGCCGGTGTTCCACTAGGCCCGAGAACAGCGCAGCTATCGCACGTTGCACTCGAGCGGTCGGCGCAAGTTTTTCTGTGTGTTACAGACAAATTGGATGGGTGGTGGGCCCCCTACCTCGGCCAGGCCCTCGGACCATGTCCGAAGTGCCCGACCGCTCAGTCCGCCCCTGGTTTGTGACTTTCACCTCATGTACTTTTTTATGAATAGATAAACCTTTAATAAACTTTGTTGAAATACAAAATAAGTAAATGTACGTTTGTTGGCATCATATATTTGATATCACTTTTCATGGGGCATATTTTCTGAATGCTGCTGGTCTCCGGTGTGTCAAGATTAATGATCTTAGTTAATTCAATGCTTTCTTACTGGAAAGCATTGGGAGGCTAGTGCACATGGACGGCAAAGAACTGCTCTAATCAGGTGGTCTGTACGAGACCATCTGTTTGAAAGAGTTTGAAAAAGTTTTATTCCACTATTTTGGCAAAAGCCCATCCAGTGGCTGTCAGTCTGTCAGTTCCTGCAGAATGGCAATGCAGGATTAAAATGGGTGGGGACATGGCACCAAGACCACTTCATTGAGATAAGTGGTCTGGGTGCCTTTTAGTGTTCCTTTAAAATTAACCAACATTGACAGGGATGTTCACTAAAGTGAGAATTCAAAGGGAATTCAATGGAAATTTCAAATTTGATGGCAAAATAACCGAACTTCACTTCTCTTTCAGTTTTGCGACACTGGCCTAAAATTTTAAATTCATTTTTAACGCTCACTTTCAATAACCCAGTTAATCTCTAGTTTATGGGTTTGCCAAGTAGACCTACATTCCAGGGGCACCATGTGAAAGTCAGATATGTCTGATAAAGTGAGGGGACTTGCCAGTAATGCATTCCACTGTAGCCCTTAAGAGAACGTAATTAATGAGAGCTACCAAAAATATGGCATTTCTGCATTGTGTTTTCTGCCAATCACAACACAGTAAAATTCAAACTGATAGTGACCAGAGAGTGCGATAACTAATGGCAACTTCCTGTATCTTGTAAGTTGCTGACTTAAAAGAGAAACGTAACTGAATATAAACTGATGTAATGGTGTGTACTACTGCTATTTTATCATTAGATTTTATATAATGTTAATATTTTCCATAGCACCGATTATAGCAAAAGTTTGATATTATTGTATTTTTAAGGAGCAAATTGGGATATACTTTTATAAAATGAGTTCAGAAACTTCCATACAGCAATGCTAAAGATAACTTTTAAAGTTTAAATTTGCCCTTAAGTGTTACATGACTCTGACATTTCCAGGTACGTTAACAGAGTGTTGGTTCATGACATGGAGATGGACCAGAAATGGTATGTCCTTTGTAATTCATGGCTGTCCATAGAAGTAGGAGATTGTGTACTGGATAAAGTGTTCACCATTGCAACCGAGGAGGACATGAAACAGTTCAGGTAATGTTCAGCTTTTACAACTATTTATCCCAACCACTATAATCTTTCCAGAATTTGTATTTGTGTTGTAATGTTTGTAGTATTTTCTTCTAGAATGAATGTATGATCATCAAACATCTTCAGTCTTGTACTAAACCAGTGGTTCCCAAACCATGTCCTCATGGCCCTCCAATAATTCAGGATTTATATGTTTCCCTGTTTTATTCCAATGGAGATACTGACAAAACCGAGACTGTTGGTGGGACTTGAGGACTGGTTTGGGAAACACTGTACTAGACAACTCAGGTCTATGGTTTATTAGTGAGTTGCATTTGTTGCAAAGTCTTTGTTCTCCCTCTTTCTCCAGCAATCTATTTTTTATGAAAACTTCCAAAGGTTTCAGAGATGGGCATATCTGGTACTCTGTTTTTAATCGATCTCCCAGAAGCCCTTTCACTCGGGTACAACGGGTCTCCTGCTGCTTCTCATTGCTTCTTTGCACAATGTTGACCAGTATTATGTTCTGGGGAGTTCCCACTGACCCAGCCGAACAGAAGATGGACTTAGGTAAAGATCTTCTCATCATCTTTCTTGTGGAGAAATTGTGTTACAATATTATATATTGGGAAGCCATTGTCTAAATGTATGAATGGTTCTTTTTTATTGACATTTATTCTAATATATTAAGAAAATGTCCCTCTAGCAAGAGAGTCCCCTCCTTTTTTAGAAAGAAGATATTTTCAATTTTAATTCTACAATTTGTAAAATAGCAATTAATTACATTTCAAGATAATGAATCTGATACATTAAAATATTTAAGTATTTAAAATATTCTCCACATATTCTAACATATAGCTCTATTTTATTTTATTATTATTAGTCTAAAAAATGTTTTGACTTTCCTCTGGCATCGAGTAACAGTTGGCAAAATGTTCACAATCCAAATTTTAAAAAAACACCTGTAATGCTGTCAAAGTCAGAAAAAATATTGTTATCTTAAAACTGTACCTTAAACAGGACTTTCTAATATATCTTACACAGCAGAGCTTAATGGTCCTCCTATACCGTGAAATTAACATGTAAAAATATTGGAGCCTTTGTTTTTTTTAAATTAGATCTCAGGTCGAATGTTATATAGAGCCAAGTGCATTCACGTTGCTGATAGGGGACCTGAGTGTAATTAATCAATTAAGTTTCATATGGACAATTCCAGTGCTTTAATTGCTTTACTTATTTATATTATAGCTTATGATGTCCACATCATTAACAGCTTATCATCAGTTGTTAATTTGTCAATAGATATTGGATGTGACACTGTAATATCCATATATATTATTCAATATTCCCCAAGGTAAGATCGAATTCACCTGGCAAGAGGTGATGATTGGATTTGAAAGCTCCCTCCTGATGTTCCCCATCAACCTCCTCATTGTTCAGATCTTCAGACACATTCGACCAAGGCAGTCTAAGGATTCCACTGACAAAGAGAAAGACAAAGTATCTATGCCACCAGCTTCTAGGAGATCCCCACCAGAGATTTTCAGCTCATCTCTCACGTCTGAGTCTGTGATTAAGGTATACAAATATATAGGAATCCTGGAAGCACCTACAACCTTTTTTAATACTATTAACACAGATGTTGCACATTCGCATTAGTTCTATCAGTTACGGCATTATTTTGCTGTCATTTACCTACGGGCAAGACACCATGGGAATCTGAGAACGCCCTGTGTTTGTTAAAGAGCTCATAAACGATTTAACTCACTCAAAACACACAAACCTTAATTGCACCATAACCACCGCATTGAACTGTCACATTTTAAAACCTTACATTTTATGTTCTATAGAATGGAAAAAAATGCTACTGAGAATTTTAAAGAATATGGATAATACAGAATGAACGAATGAATTAAGAAACAGTAATGTTTTCATTCAAGGAAAGTTCATATAAGAGACCACTTATAGGAGTTCAAAATATAAGTAAAAGATTAGGGGCATGACTTATTTTGATTTTAGTTTCCTATTTTTTCCGATTTGACAGCAGACTGGAGACTTTAATTAAGTTATAATTGTCTGTGAATTTTCTGGTCATTGACAGAGATTTAAATCTCAGCAGCATTCTGTATTGAAGGCTCCAATCAACCATTTAGCAAAAAAATAAGAATTCACCTTTTATTTCAAACAGGTCTGTTAATTTGCCTTGTTCTCTTATTCTTGGTAGAGCCTCTCACAAAAATGCAAGGGGTCTTGAAGCAGTAGATTGAATAAAACAAAATCATAACCATTGCATTCATATAAAAACTCATTGTGCTTTTTTCATTTACAATTTAAATTAAATAAGATATTTCTGATTCTCTAAATATGAGCTTGTTAGGTTAATGAGACATGTTCCTATTTTTAATAACAATTATCCTCATATTCTTATAATGAATTACATCTTTTTACATTAATTGACACCAAATCGGAGGATTCCTTATGGCCATTTGCCTCATTATGTACTTCTACTATATGTAATGTTTAATTTCATGGGTCTCCTCTTTCATCGTTGACAACCTTAGAGATCACATTGAAAACGTAGATGTTCATATTATTTCATGTAGGATATCCGGAAAATTGCTAGCTCCCTGTTTAAAACCCAGAAGACAGCCTTGCCTGATATAAATCTCGCCGAAACTGTAGATATAAACAGCCTGCTCTCTTTGGTGGAAGATATCGTCCTTAGACAAAACCGCGTTGGACAAGACTTTTATGAAGAAGGGAAAAAGAAAGATCAGAGTCTTATTCTCAGCCTGGGCTCAGTGAACCTTCAAGGTACATTACACAACAGAATTCCAGAAGTAAATGTATAAATGTCAATAGTGTCAGACTGTAGATTTAGCAAATAACATGAACAATGTGTCTTTAACGTTCATAGACAGAAAGGTTCGGTAGAGTATATATGCATGTCAGTGGTGGCTCTTTAAGGGTGCCTTGTAACCCAAAACAACTTTGTAACCCACATTAAGCCAGGGAGGAGAGGATGGATAATTAATCAGAGAAATAATTACAGGGTTATTTACTAAAGTGGGAATTCAAAGTAAATTTGAAACTTAAAGCAGAACTAAAAGCAGTAGTGACTTCAAAAATGTTTTCCAATTCGGTTTAAAATTCACTTTGAATTCACTCTAAATTCTCACGCTAGTTAATAACTTCCATGATGCCTAAACAGCTTAATATGATGTACTTGGCAAATGGATAGTGAAATTCAAAGAAAAAAAACGATAGGAAAGTATCTGTTGATCCACATTGACTAGAATTGTCCACTGCCCCTTTCTTGTAATAGACTGTGTATGAACGTTGAGGCCTCGATAAAACTCTAATTGATTAGCTGTTATTTTTATTATATGTATTGAGATGTTCAGCTTGGTAGGAAGCAACTGCCTGTATGCGTATACACCTACTTAAATGGTGATATGCCTGGAAGCACTTAAAACACAAAACAGAATGACACATACAGAACTATATCAGTGACTACATTGAATATTTTATTAATGGACCCTACTAGTTACTGGACCTTTGTGCAGTCAACATTTCTCCTTTTCAGATGAAACTAGGAGCCCATCTCCAGAGCAGAGAGTCAACGCAAGACCTCCACGCTGTGATCAGAGCCGTTATCTTTACCACCAGCTCCAGCAAGTGGAGAGGAAAATGGAGTTCTTGGGGCCGCACCAATTCCAAAACCGTCAGAGTTACGGCCAGGCTATCAGCCAGGTGCAGCACATGAAGGAGATTTTGGAAAATCGGATCCATTCCACCTCTTCTGCCAGTGAAATGTGAGATGTGATTTTACTCCATGAAAAGATTCCTGCTGTGCAGTGATTTCTTTTCACCACAAGATGACGTGTGCTCCATTGCAATACTACCTCTTTAGAAATAACAGGGATATGATTTAATTTAGAAGTGGTCCTATGGTAGATCCCCAGCTATTGAACTACAGCATCCATGATACCTGACGACGCGTAAAGCATCTTAGGAGTTGTAGTTATACAGCATCTGTTGAAATTCCTCTGATCTACTTGATTTATTTATGTAGCTAAAGACATATCTATTGTTGGACTGCAGTGCAAAAGGCATAAAGAATACAATGCTAAATTACTTAATGAAGAACAGTGAGTGTTTTAATGTAGCATGGGGGAGTTCCAACTGGCTGCAAATGTGTTGTCACTTCCTTGCTGCTGAGATGAGAATCATCTAATTCTAAAAGGAGAGGGTATTTGTGTTCTTTTGTCCTGGTTATGTATTGTGTTCATTTATTACTTTTTAAATTACTTGATGATGTCAACATCCATACAGTACAGGATTCTAAAACACCATATGCCCAATTAAATAATAAATAGCAGAACATGGCATAGACTGCTGAGGTTTAATCCCAGTGAGCACTGGACAGCTGGATCATGTACATACAACAGAGGTTAACATGATCACGTGACGGGTGGTGGAAAACTGTAGTAAAAACTGTGCAGTGGATGATTAATTTCTAGCGCACCATGAGTTTGTCACGCATGCAGGGGGACCAGGAGGCAAGATGCCAACCAAAGGGAAAAGTTTTTAGCCACATTTAGATAATCCACAAAAATGGTGTCACTTACACTACTCTGTATTCTATAGATGTTCATCCATGGGCAGTCTCTCTGAAGACGGGAAGAAGAATGCAACCAAAGGACTTCCCTGGTGGTTTGTCTTTATCGGCTGGTTTCTCGTTGCTTCTACAAGTGGTGTGTCGGGATTTTTCACTATGCTATATGGGTTGCATTACGGGAAGGACAGTTCCATCAAGTGGCTCATCTCCATGGCCATCTCATTCTTCGAGAGTCTCTTTATCACACAGCCTTTAAAAGTAACTTTGTTGCAATGTATTTCAAATGCTCTTTGACTGTCTTCAATAAGTCAACAATTAAAGATGAACTGTCACTTTCTGGGATTTCTTATAATATACTAATTTATCAAACAAACTAACTACTGGGTATTTCACAGAAGTGTAAAATAAAATTAAATATAGAAATCCACACCATTTTTTTAGGTACAATCAAAACGCAAAGATGGTGGTTCAAAGATTTTGGGAGCTCTAAAAAAAAAATATTGGAGGGGTCATCTCTAGCCGAAGTGTTTGGGATTGCCTAATGAATCAATATGTATGTCCATCGATTAACAGGCATTTGATTTGTACAACACAGCTTAAAGGAATTTGTGCAAAAGTCTAGTTAATTATACAGTAGTGCCACCTAATGGTAGTGTGTTTAATTCATGTGCACTAGATAGGGCTGCAGATGTCTATTCAGAACCGAAAATAGAATGAGATAATGGGAAAATCAGGTAGAATTAATATTTGAACTTCCAACATTGTCACGTCTCATCCAATTGCCTAGTGCTGCCTGAGGGATGAAGGAAAAGGGAGATATACTTACCTGGATATACTTACCTGAAGCTGTTGGCTATATTTTGACACGCACATACGATGAAGTAGTCTCTGATTTCTTTTAAGTATATGTTTTGATTGCACTTGATGTTCAGTAAAATAACATTTTAAGTAACAAATAGGAGTTTATAAAAAAAAAATAATGAATGAGAAGTGACAGCTTGACAGGTGCTCTTTAATGCTAACTTTTGTTTTACGGAAGGGGAGCTGGTGGTGTATTGATGTTTTCAGTAATACTTAGTAAAAAGCTCAGGCGTGAGAACTTTGAATTTTAATACTTTTTAGTCAAGTCATTGGTTTCATATGATGAATAATTGAGACAAACATATGTTAATCATATAGTCCCAATACTGACATAAATATGAACAATACTTTAACCCCTTAAGGACCAAACTTCTGGAATAAAAGGGAATCATGACATGTCACACATGTCATGTGTCCTTAAGGGGTTAAATATCATTTCTAGCATTACTTACAGTATGATTATGTATACAGCGCCAATGAATTCCGCAGCGCTTTACAATATTATATATTATAAAGGTGGGAGTGTAACAACAAATGAGACAAACTGCTCCAAATTTTGATAGGAACAATAGTTTGATGAGAACCTGCTTGAATGAGTTTGAGTATTAACTTTCATTATTGAGCCTAAGCAGTGCACTATCAATGTTTCCATAACCTACCTTTCACTGGATGCTATCTGTTCTAGGTGCTGGGGTTTGCAGCATTTTTTGCACTTGTCCTAAAAAAAGTTGAACCAGAAGATGAAGAAGAGACATCTCTAGGTGGGAGTCTGTCCGTACCAGGTATATAGATCTCAATCCTCGTTTCGTTAAAGGAAGTGTTAGCATATTTAATGTGGTGACAGTTGGGGTGAGGGAAAGCAAATTTCAACATTAGAAGGATAGTTGTGGTCACTTGAATACATTAATGTTCTACCTGAATTTTTATTAAATGGCAGCCGATTGTCAGACAATAAGCTGTGTTATTCATCATGAATGTTCGGATATAATGTGCCCAGTTATTCTTCGCTATCTGGGACTAGATATTAGCTTCTGGTGCCTAAGAATTTTTAACCTCCTGTGTTCATGAATATAATTTCCCTGGCCCTAGATGGTCCTGTAATTAGTTCTGCATTATTACGTGTAACCACAAAGCAAACTCCATTTCAAAACTTTTTTTTTTTAAATTGCATTCAACTAAATGTTTGTATTTAACCATAGTGTCTGGACAAGGGTTACACTGCATACTAATTGGCTTTCTGCTTTATCTAATCTAAGTCCCAGTTGAATAAAACAATTACCTTTTTATTACAGATGATGTGCTTAATCTGACTGCATTTGCCTAACTCCTTCTCCTGAAATGATAAAATAAACCCACATATTATAATTAATAGCATTTATATAGTGCCAACATAGTCCGCAGAGCTTCACAATTATAGATGAGCTTACAATCTATGAGGCTTTGAGGTTGGCTTTCATTAGGTGTCTTTCCTAAGGATGTTTACTGATGACGTGATCTGACCGGGATTGGATCCTGAGTTTCCCAGTTCTAAGATTTACTACATTGAATCCTGCGTTTAATTAAATTTTCCCATAATTTGCCTTCTTTATAGGTAGAAAACTGTCTTAACTTCTTTGTGAAATGATCTCTTTAAAGATTATGTAGTATTTTAGCCTGGATAGTCCGTATCGGCTGTAAATACTATATTTCTGTATTCCGGATATTCAGGATAACATGAGTCTGTATTGTGCAATCAAATGTGAATTTGAACAGAAAAACATCACGTCGTTAAGTTAATTTTAGAACATAGAAGTCCATGTTTATTGCATATCACATGCCTCATCTAGTTTCATTTGTGAAAATTTGAATGAATAGCTAAGTTGGTTAATGCACCAACACCCTGAGGAGGATGACGTGGTCTGACCGGGATTCGATCATGGGTTTCCCAGTTCTAAGGCAGAGATGTTACTTTAGATTTACTACATTGTATCCTGCGTTTAATTATATTTTCCCATAATTTGCCTTCTTTATAGGTAGGAAACTGTCTTAACTTCTTTGTGAAATGATCTCTTTAAAGATTATGTAGTATTTTGGCCTGGATAGTCCGTATCGGCTGTAAATACTATATTTCTGTATTCCAAGGACATCATTGATTTGTTTAATCTTATTTCTGTCTGTTTGTTTTGTATCTGTAAAGGGAGGTATATCCAGTAATGTGATATTACATAACAAAGCTACACCTGCTCTGATATATACGTTTCCCACAAGGCCTTAAACTGCAGGTTTTTTTATTATAAATTTGAGAATGCGTCTCCTACAACTGTCGTGCAAAGATCTGAAACTAAATCATCCTCACCCCAGTTAAAAGAATACTCCAGGCGCTACACCATTCTGGCATCCTTCTCTCCCCATTTTAGAATGGTTTGATTTCTTACCTAAAGCCTTCCAGGGACTGCTCCCTGCCTCCACTACTACCAACAGAGAGCCAGAAGTTCTCTATCTGAGATAAGCCCAGCGGTGCAGGGTCTAGCTCACTGTCTGAGAGTGATCAGCTGATAATCTCATTCAATAAGCTAGCCTCGCATTGAAAGGCATAGCTCAGGAGAGCTAACAGAAGCCCCTGCTCGTCAGAGGTATTGGCCTAGCAAAACGCAGGTTTGAAGTCAAATCTTTCTAAAACAATTTAACTACTTACAATGGGAGGGCGGCAGGACACTCCTGTTCCCATAACCACTACAGCGACTGTTCCTTTAAGAGTGTCATCTACTATTTATTATAGTTAAAATTGAATTCATCTATTTCCACATTAACAATGTCTCCATGACCAATAAAATATGTGATCTACAGGTTTTTTTTTTTTTTTAAATGATGCCAATGCCAATTTTGAATCTAAGCTTGGTATTTGTATTTATATATTTATGTCACTGCGTCTTTAAAAGGCAAGTAACCCATTGCACACGACTTTTAAACTTGTGATAAGGCCAAAGGTTGCTTGTAGAAGTGCACTCAGCAGGAAAGCAGGAGATAAATTAGGAATATTGTTGCATACATTGTTAATATTTGCCAGATTACAGCTATATGTGGTATCATAATATTGTATAGGTCGCTTCTAGAGACAAAAAGTTAAACATTCTAAGAATTCCCATAACTGACGCCAGGAATCTATATCTCAATAACCTATCAGTGTTAGGTATCTACATGTCAGGGTACAAAATTAGAACACTGGGATAGTATCAGAATTATGGGAATATCAGCTAACTCTGTGCACTGGCAATACATCAGAGTTATTCAGTAAAATATGAATTCTAAGGAATTCAAAGTGAATTCAAATTAAACTTCAAATTTTAGTTCAAAATAGCTGACTTGGAGATGTGATCCCCAAATGTGAAATTTGCTGAATGGGATTGCATTATCCTAGGTAGGATTGACCACACTGATATAATGGGATATCCATAATTTTGTGACCTTTCTGTAAAGTCCACCTGACATACTAGTAGTTTCGCTGGGCTTTATTTAAAGGATGGGCACATGCCGTGAGATTATATTGCAGGACAGAAAAACATGGATTTAGTAGTGGATGAAACAGTAACAATCATATTTGATTCTGCAGGTAATCCCAATCCTTTTCTGGAATCACGCAGAGACAGTAACATCTACCAGCCTCCTCCTCCCACCGATGTCTCCAGGATGAAGAACTATTATATAAAGGAACAAAAAGTGTTTGGGTTAATTCGAGAAATACTGGGTAATGTGTTACTATTTGGAACCTGACCAAATTATTAAAACAGAATGCCACCCTCTTGTGGTCCCACACTGCACCTTGATTCCCTATGTTTTAACATTGTTGACCCCATGCTGTTATCTTCCTGATTTTGGTGAGCCCTGCCCACGTTGTTCTCCTTCTAAGCTACAGTGTCTATGTCCCACATATTTTACCTGCTGTCCTCTTGGGCTACACAAGAGGTGCCCATTAAGTTGAGAAGACATGTCATAACACTTAGCCCAGACTCAAGCACAGGTACTTATCCTATGGCTGCAACCCTCTTTGCTTTAACATCACATCATATTTGTTCATGGTTGCATCAGTTGTAAATGAACTACAGCTCACTGTCTATTAATGAACTCCTTTAGATATTTTAGTGACAGGTGATCATAAAGGAAAAATGTGGTATGAAAGAATTTTGTAGAGTGTGGAGCCTGTTTTGCCTTACATCACCGACCATCATTCTTTTGCAAATCTAACGTTTTTATTCCCAAAACACTGAAGAATAAATGACAGAGCATTCTAAGCTAAAATGCAGAATAAGGCAAAAGGTGCCAGACTTTGACAAATTCCACAATGTGTGAATTCATTTTGGACCTAAATTGGGAATTCACAACAATTCACAATGTAGTGAATCAGCCCCTTAATGTCACATTTACTAAAAATCTCCCTTTTTTGTGTGCTTTGCAGCCTACCTTGGCTTTCTATGGATGCTCCTGCTGGTTGCCTACGGGCAGAGAGACCCCAACTCATACTACCTTAATAAACATATCGAACACAGTTTCACCAGTGACCTTGAAGATGTTTGCAGCTATAAGTGCTTCTTTACCTGGGCAAACACAACCTTAATCAACAACTTGTATGGGAGCTACCCAGGTAATGCACAAACGTACAAACAAAAACGCTAAAAGAATTTTCACTATTGGGGTCAAGTTTGAAATCCTTCCAAATTAAGTTTATTCATAATTTAAAAAATGTTTTTCTTTCGAAATTCATTTATCAGTTACTTACAGTTCAAATTCTACTTTGTAAAATATTTGTGCTATGAAATGCTGATAATAATAATTAAATAGTTTAGTCTGGGAATGTACTAAGTTGTGTAAAAGAGACGGACTCAGATATTATATTATACCAGTAGGTATTTTAGAACATTATCGGTGATGCAGTCTCTAGGATTTCGAGTAGCAGAGATAATTGATCCATATGTTACATTATGGGTTATGGATTGCTAACCTTTGAAATAAGGGATAAAGCCCCCCTTTAAATCATCTGACAATGCTTTGGTATTCAGCAACTACTTAAAAATACCAACTTTTATTACATAGCAACTGGAGAGTTTTCTCTCACTAAGGACATTTTGTGGTATTGATTTGAAATAGATGGCATTAAGATCCCAGGGATGCTTACCATATGTAATGCATATGTTACATTTTTGCTTAATTCTCCTGCTTTTTATGGTAAGGGCTGCAGCTGTGATCGTGGCAATTCAGGATAACATGAGTCTGTGTTGTGCAATCAAATGTGAATTTGAACAGAAAAACATCACGTCGTTAAGTTCATTTTAGAACATAGAAGTCCATGTTTATTGCAGATCACATGCCTCATCTAGTTTCATTTCTGAAAATTTGAATGACTAGCTAAGTTGGTTAATGCACCAACACCCAGAGGAGGATTGACCATAGGGTGACTCCTAGGGTCCAGGTGTTAGACAAGGGGTGCTGAAACCATGAATGATAACATTTATAGCCCTGGAGATACTTGACAAAATATAGAAATCTCAATATATTTTGTCTGATACAATACTTCTAACCTTTTTATAAGGTTTAACGGTATTCAGTAAATGTTCGAGGCATGCATCACTAAGGGAACTGGGACCAGACCTTTTCCGTTGGATCCAAGGTGTCAATTTAGAGATTTATACTCTAATGCCTCGTTTCCACTGAGCGGATCGGTTCGGGTTGGTACAGTTTGGAAGGCTTAGAATGGTCCAGCCCATTCTGGTGAGCGTTTCCATTGCAAGCCAGACCTTCAGGGGCCATGCAGGGTTTAGAAAAAATGCTCTTCCTGTCCACCAATAAATGGGTTGTATAGTAGCTCCGCCCTAACCAAACCGTTCCATTTCCTATGGCCCTACATCTGAAGCAGGACACTGGATCGGTACAGTTCGCTTATATGGACCACTTTCATAACGGAAACACCCATATAGCGAACCTTACCGAACCAAACTGAACCGATCCGCTCAGTGGAAAACGAGGCATGAATGTATGCTTATCAAATACGATAATTGAGACAACTGTATTTTTTATGATTATTGACTAATTCTCTAGAATTTACCAGGGAATTCCAAAATTGAGGTCATAATAGCTGAGGTGGAAAAATAGCAGATTGTAGAATATTTCAAATTTGAGTATTTAGGCCTAAAAATTTAAATTCTCCAGTCAATGCCCAACAATCTCAATATTAAAGGGTTACTCTAACCCTTTTGAGATAGGGTACCTTTCCGGTGTAATATGCCCTACTGGGCACTGTGGAGAACGTCCCCCTCTCAATATGTAGTGAACCCTGCAAAAAAATGTTTTGCTTACCTGGATCCAGCACCGGTCGATGTTCCCGGCGCTGATCTTCTGACGTCACTGGGGCCACGTGCGTTTGGACCATTTCGCCGGCCGAATTGGTCATGGTGGTTGGAGTAACCTTTTAAGGAACCCTCCTGATTTTGTATTCTTTTCAGATCTTAATTCCAACATGATTATCATTCATTTTGCTTCTTTCATCACTCAAAAACAATTATTGATCTTCATATTATGTCTATTTTGTTCTATGTGATTCAGGCTTTGTAACAGATGGTAACTCCAAGCTTGTTGGCACCACAAGACTCCGTCAGCTTAGAGTAAAGCGTGATTCTTGCCCGATTGTGCCAGCACTGCGGAATAAAATAGAAAACTGCCGTTCACCATACTCATTGGATACTGAAGATATGGGTCATTATGAGGAAAACTGGAATGTGTCTTCCGCAACAAACATTACGGAAACAGACACTGCCTGGAGCTACCAGAACCAATCCAAACTCAGGGGTTATCCAACATGGGGAAAACGGGCTACTTACAGGGGAGGGGGCTATGTGGCACATTTAGGAAATGATCGGAAAACTGCATCCAGGTAATTCTCATTAATCTCACGTTTACACGTATCTTACCATTCAGACAGGTTCATGTTTTAATGCAGATTTTGTAAGGAGCACATAAGATATTAATGCAGAAGAATGACAGTCTAAATACAGTTAAAGTAATGAGCTTCAGGTATCTTCTATGATCTACGGTATGTTGCTAACAAATGATGAGCCTGTGACTGTCATTGTGCTGTCTTAGAAAGCCAGCTGAGCACATAAATAGGTCTACATTGTAACACTTGGAAAGAAAACCCATAACATCATCATGTGAATAGATTAGTGTGAAAAGTCCTTCTTGTTAGATAACTAAGGGTTGTAGTTGTATAAATTTCATGTTAGCTGATCCAGCCAGTGTTATTGAGAAGATCAGTGAGTACATTTTTATAATACCTGTATCTTTAGGTCCAGTTCTGTCATAGCCTTCATTCATAGTAACAAGAGTGACCATCAGCAGTCAGATTTGTCACTCCACTACCAGTCTAGACCTCAGTTTCTTATATCGTACCCCTGATGTGGTCAAAATTAGTAGTTTCACTGCAGGGGTTAATGATATATGATGGAAAATGTTGCAATTAAAGGTTGGCATAAGTGGTACATGGCTGTAAATATATGTTATGTATGGTACCCAGAAGAAGGTTTACAAACACTATGCTAAGAATTCTAGACTCGTGTCCTGTCTAGATCTCGTGTTAGCAGATTCATTTCAAAACAGCTCTGAGTAAATTGGAACCAAGTTGCAGCCAAATTTCCTGGCTTTAAGAAAAATAAGTAGCCCTTAAGGCAATCTCCCCCAGAGGCTGATGGCCTACAACTCCTAGAATTATTTGAGGGTAATCACTGACCAGAATATCAAGGGAGCTGCAGTTCAGCAACATTCCTGTTTTAAGGTAAGAGGAGGGTTTAGAGGGTGATATAGGTTTGGGGTATTGTTACGGAGTGATGGGGTCTGTGGTAGCCTTAGGGTGGCTTTGGGGAAAGGAGGTTAGTGTGAATGTCAGGTATTCCCCAGGTTTGCATCAGAAAAAAACACATCAAACAAATGCAACTGATCTTGATGTATTACAGTTGTTTGTAAATAGCTAAAATCCTAAACCTATACAGAGAATCAGCTGATTTTAACAGTTAACCAAATACAGCAAAAATAACCAAATTTGCCTTTTTTCAATGATTTCACACAGCAAACATATGGTTAAAAGAGCTAAATATGCACACCCAAACACCATTCTGCAATACTACTAGTACTTCAGATAAATATATAATAAGACTCAGCAGCCCAACAAGGAGTAATGGAGAGTACAGGTAGATTTTCCTACACAAATGATGTACCAAGTCACAGGATGCGCGCGCGCACGCACAAACACACACACGTCAAACCCATATTCAACATGATTACTGTAGAAGAATCGCAATACAAGGAAATATGTGCTTGGCTTTTTTTTGCCACAATAACATAGATTGATGTTATAATCTCTGCTACTTTTATTGGTAGTTAGTAACCATCGACTTATTTTTCCAGGGTTTTGCAGGACCTTTTTAGCCATGTTTGGCTGGACACCTACACCAGAGCCGTCTTTGTAGAGTTCACGATTTACAATGCCAACGTGAATCTCTTCTGTATCGTCAAACTGATATTTGAGACCAATGCATTGGGTAAGAGAAACTTGTTCGGATTCCCATGATATAGCTGAAATATGTAAAAGATGAGCGTAACAAAAATGTTGTTCAATTAAAACAACCATGTAGTGCGAGTAGTTTGAAATGAAACATAGAAACATAGAAACATGTGACGGCAGATACTTAAACTCCTTTACTGTGTTAACCTCTACCACTTCAGCTGGAAGGCTATTCCATGCATCCACTACCCTCTCAGTAAAGTAATACTTCCTGATATTATTTTTAAACCTTTGTCCCTCTAATTTATGTACTCTTGTTGTGGTAGTTTTTCTTCTTTTAAATATAGTCTCCTCTTTTACTGTGTTGATTCCCTTTATATATTTAAATGTTTCTATCATATCCCCCCATCTCGTCTTTCCTCCAAGCTATACATGTTAAGATAGAAACATAGAATGCTTTGCAATGAGGAAGGAACCCTATCCTGATAAGCATGTACTACAAGTGTGCAAGATTCTCTAGTGGGTTGGTGGGAAACAGAACCAGTTGGACCAGTAACTGAGTTCTTTGCTCAAAGAGTACCTGACGTGACAATACAAGTTAATCTTAAATGATAGAAAATCAGATTTAATCTATACAATATTCTAGTAGAATTGGTGGTAAATTCAGTATATGCCAATAGGCTGTATTATAGAAACACTCTGTACAGATCCACCCTTTCTCTTTCTTCAGGTGCGTTCTTTACTCACAGTGAACTTCAGAGCATTCGTCTCTATCCATTCACGGACGGCTTACATATCTTCGTTGTTGCTGCGGAAGTTATTTATTACCTGTTCATTATTTACTACATGGTGGTGCAGGTAAGACTGGCAAAGCTACTAGTCTGAGGATTGCTAGCTGTAACCAAAGGTCCTCCAAAATGTTCCACAGGCCTCTGAAACATATGCATTGGGCAGAACATAAAAATCTGCATGTAAATCACCCAACACAGACACGCAGTATGTACTTACATGTTGATACACAATGATCTCTCCAAATCGATTAGGCACATGAGGAAAAAATAGAAATAAGAACACATAATATAGACTGTCACCAAAATGGTTCAAAGGGTTACACCGAGCATCACTACCGCTACCTATGTTTCGTGTATGGGGGTGACGTGTCTTACATGAGGCAAATAAGGCACCAGGCTTGGGCGGCACTTTGCAGGGGGCGGCAAAAAAAGTCGCCCCCAAAGGCCCAGGCAGATCCCTTGCTTGCCTTGTGTCCTGGGGGGCTCAAGAGCTGGCCAGCTGGCCACTTTTGAGCCCCTCCCCCCCCCCGAGGCAGGTGGCGGGCAGCGAGAGAGTATACTCACCGGGAGCTCTTCCTGCTCAGCTCCCTCCGCGCCGCCTAATGAAGCCGGGAACCAGAATATGACGTCACTCCGGCTCCCAGCATCACTAAGCGGTGCGCAAGGGAGTTAAGCAGGAAGATTAAAGCTCTTTCGCCGCCTACTCAGACTGTCTGCACCCTGCCTACCCAACCAGCAGCCCCATTGGACTGCAGGTAAGCAATCCACTCCAGCTCTCCAAGGGAGGCTGGGTGAATTTAAAATAACATTTTAAAAATAATAATTTGTGAGTGTTGGTGGAAATGTGTGTGTGTGTGTCTGTAAGTGTGTGTGTGTCTAAGTGAATGTGTGTGTGTGTGTGTGTGTGTGTGTCTGTGAGTGAATGTGTGTCTAAGTGAATGTGTGTGTGTGTCTGTAAGTGAATGTGTGTGTGTGTCGGACAGTGAGTGCATGCATCTGTCAGTGAGTGTGTCGGTCAGTGAATGTGTGTGTGTCGACAGTGAGTGTGTATGTGTCGGTCAGTGAGTGCGTGCGTCTGTCAGTGAGTGTGAGTCTGTCAGTGTGTGACAGAGTAATAGTGTGTGTCTGTCTATCAGTGTGTCAAATCAGTGAGTGTGTGTATGTCATTGTATGTCAGTGTATATGAGAGTGTATGTCTGTCAATGAGTGTGTGCGTCTGTCAGTGAGTGAGTGTCTGTCAGTCAAAGTGCGGCTTTGACAGGAAGGTCTGGGGAAAATTTTAATTGGGGGGGTTGCCTGAGCACTGTCCTGCCTATGGCAGCACAAATCCTAAATACACCACTGGCTGAGGAGCTGGAAGAAAGGTGCGTAAAATCAACTTTTTAAAGTATAGAGAGGGGGACCTGAGGCCGGGGGCCTAAATAATCATTTTAACACTATAGTATCAGGAATACATGTTTATTATTATACATTATTATTATTGTTCTTAATCGTTGCTAGTGATGGGGCTTTGGGGGAGGAATCCCTGCATGTTTGACTATTCAGCCCTCGATCTCAAAAGCTAATAGAAGGGAAATGAAGATATTGGTGTTTTTTTTTTTTTTTACTCAAAGTAACTACCTGATACTACTTAGTGCGCCACCAGGCTACTAAGTAGGAGGGAGTGTTGCCCTCAGGTAACTTTTGGGAGAGGGTGCTGGAGAATATAACTTTAAGGCACACACCTCTATCAGGTAGGTAGCACGGCAGGATCACCTGGAATCCATGCCATGCATCGTGTTTGTTCCTGGCTATACTGTCATTGAGATCATGGAGAGTGTCAGTAGCATGCTTTTCATGGGTATCGACATAGAAAGACAGTGATATGTTATGACATCCCCACGTCTCTGTTAGAGTAGGGGTTATCAAGTTTTCTTTTGGGCACAAACCCCAGGTGTTTCTAGAACCTCACAACACCCCTGATATTGACATCTCTCTGATTGTTCTTCTTTTACTATTTTATTAAAGGGTAAACTCATGAAGGAACAGAAGTGGGGCTATTTCCGGAGTAAGTGGAACCTGCTGGAGTTGGCGATAATCATTATTAGCTGGAGCGCTCTCTCAGTGTTCGTGAAAAGGACAATCCTTGGCTCAAGGGACATCAGCCATTATCAGAAACACAAAAACGAGTAAATACCCAACATGTCTTTCTGTTTGTGGGGCTTCTATTCTCAACCCAATGACTACAAAAATAGTTGTCTGGTTTTAACTCAGTGATGACCAAGGAATAGCATAATTTGGCTTTATATTGAGTACCCTCCTCACCCTTCAGAGGACGGTACTCAATATAGAGGATAGTAGAGCTCCAAACACAAAGTCCACTGGTTTCAATTTATCAAAATAAACAGATGTATCATAATCTAGATAATCTAAATATAAAGGTTTAGACAGGAGAACAAGTAATACAGAACGGTATAGTTACGGTATAGCCGTACTGCCCCGCTACAGTCTGTAATGAATGCTGCCGCCAGGCTGATTTTCCTCTCCAGTCACTCCTTTTACTCCTCACCCCTCTGTCAGTCCTTACATTGGCTTCCTGTATCCTACAGGAGTCAATTCAAAATACTAATCCACACCTATAAAGCACTGAACAATTCTAGCCCTTCTTATATCTCTTCACAGATCCATAGTTATACCCCTCCTCGTTCCCTCCGCTCTGCCCATGACCTTCTCCTGTCCGCTGCTCACACACGTACGGCCAACTCGCGCTTGCAGGACTTCTTGTGGGTGGCTTCCTTCCTATGGAATCGCCTGCCTACCGCCACCAGACTGTCCCCTAGTCTTCAATTGTTCAAGAAGTGCTTTAAAACCCATCTGTTTAGGAAAGCTTATGGCCTCCCAGAGTGACCTATCCCTCATATACCTGTCTCTTGCTCTCTCCTAAAGGGCAGCACTCTACTCTCTCCTCAGGCTCTGCTTCACTCCCACCTTGTCTAATTTGTAATCTCCTGTCCTACTGTGTTTTACACCCCACCTCCTATCGACTGTAAGCTCGTTTCGGCAGGGTCCTCTTCAACCTATCGTTCCTGTAAGTTTTCTTATAATTGTTCTATTCATAGTTAAAACTCCCCCTCTTATAATATTGTAAAGCGCTGTTGGTGCCATATAAATGGCAATAATAATAGTTATAACATTAGACTCATATTTAACTTTATTAAAAGATAGCATAAAGACTGATTTAAAGTCAGAGAGGAAGGGGGGGGAGAGAAAAAAATCCAAGAATGTGTATTAAGAGGGTTTATTGGGCTTATAGCAAGTTGTAAATGCCGAGTGAGTGTGAGCGATGCTGAAATGAAGCGTTGTTACATTGCCAGTCGTTTCTAAGTGACTCTGCTAGGCCTGGGAAAGGCTGGTGGGTATCCACCTTCTAGATGCTGTATGCAGTTATGTGTGCATCTATCACAATTTATAGTCTATAGCATTTCTAGTGTTTACAAGGGACAAGGTTACCCTGATGAACCCCCAACATCTAAGGACTGAATTACAGTACACACTGCATTTTAAGCTGTAATGATACTTCTTCTTATAAACATTGCTCTCTATTAAAAGTCTAAACCTTAAGTGTGCATTTTAAAGTGAATGTATTGCTAAATAGGGTGATTGATTGTGCTCTGTAATTGAAACAAGTATCTCATATCACAGTCAGCTTTTTTTCTTCAACCAAAACAAATTCCTTTGAATGAAACACTTTAGCTGCAGAACATGCGCCGTGGTAATATATGAGGCCATCAGGTGGAATGGGTTTCCTGTGCTATACTGGATGTGGTAGTATTGAGAGTAAACGTCAGTTGTACGCTGTTTCTGCAGAAAAACTGGGCTTAATTTTAGCAACCATCATATTTTGTATATAAAGATCCTTTTAAAAAAAAAAAAATGCTTAAAATGGTCTCCAAATGTCATGGGCTGCTCCTACTGCAAGCACTGTCAGGCAAAGACTTTCAAAGACTTTGAAGCATTTAAAAAACGCAATCCTCAAGTTTCCATTTGACAAAATGCTCAGAGGATGGATATGACTCGTACAAGGTGACAGAAACCCCCGTCTGAATGTAAAGAATGTTCCCAGCATGCATTGTGATCTACTGTATTTGTTTGGAATGATGCCAACTACACCGTCGCCTTGAGACAGAGGAATCATTTTAAAGAGTAGAGAGGGACTGGAATTGCCTGGTTACCTAGGTTTCATAGATGTTTATTTATTTACAGTAAGTAGTCCCAGGAAAGTAGTTTTGCTAATCACTACCAAGCCATTTTTGGTTAAACATAAACATTGCAGCTTATTGTAGTGGCTATGCTGCTACAAGGGTACGCAAGATGCTCCATCGGTTTTTGTAAAATGATTTTCAGGTCTTGAAAAATACAACTGTGTCCGTTGAAACATTGTCATTCTAATACTTGTTGCTACATTCCAGGGATCTCCGTTTAGGTGAGAATATTTAAAAACCAAGTGATGCAAATACCACCAAAACAGTGTTTTGTTTGCTAGTGCCTTATGACTCACACAAATGAAAAAGTAAGCGGTAGCTTCTCAGATATCATACCAGACACGGGGTTACTTAGGGGTGCTCGATCTCTCTTCCAAGCAGCCTTCGTTACCCCAGATGTTGTGGATTATATCTCCCCTGATGCTTTGCTAACATTATGGCTGTAAGAGCATTATTGGAATTGTAGTGCAGAATATCTAGACTGCCAAAGGATGCTTACCCCTGATATAGGATAATGACATTTGAGTGGCATGTGCAACCAGAGATGTACATAATATTGAGATTTGGTCTTTTGCATTGAGATGTGAAAGTCAAGTGTGTTCATACAAGTCTCTGCCTGTTTTACTGTTGAGACAGAGGCTAAACAGTAAAAGTGTGCTTGAAGTGGCCAGATATGTCGGAGTAGGCAATTACTTGGTTTTGAAATATTATTTTCTATGTAATGTCACCGAACACAACACACACACACACACACACACACACACGCATTTCACAAAGATAAAATCTAGATGAAAGGCTCAAAAAGAGTATCGTAAGAGTTACCATAAGACAAGGTAGGTAGACTACTCAGTCTTATGGTAAATCCTCTAGTTTGTCATTGCCTCCTGTCGTCGCTAACAATGGCTAAAGGGAAAAGGTTATGGTCTCGCTCATCGCAAGACAAAATCTATGGAGGCTCCTGCAGAATCCTCCACAAGTGCTAGGGTTGTACTCTCATACATGTGCAAGAGTACAGCACTGATACGGACTCCTGGCAGATGATGTGCTAGGAACTGCACTCTACCCCTGAGCCACTACACCCCAATGTGGCAATGTCACCATCGTGGGTCTTTGCAAGAAAATCAAAGAACCCAGAAGGCAATAGAGCTCCTTAAATTGCCCCAGTGTTAACTTCTACCTACAAAACCAAACCAATAATGCATATATAAATCAGTATTTAAATATATTTTTAAGAGATTGTATGATATTGGGGTGGGTGGGGGGGCATGGAATTTCCATAGTAATTATTTGACATACATTATGAACAAAACTATATCAAGTCTCCTACCTCGGAAGTGATCAATGATTTTAATATGTGGAATTGGCAGAAAAAACTTTCAGAAACTCGTTATCTGTGTTCAAATTCAGAACTCTTTCAATATTAAGATCTTACATTATAATTATTTTCTGCATTGGATTCAGTTTGGGAATTTCATGTTCCAAAAACACTCATTTTCTAATCAGAGAAAAACCCATAAAAGTCACAGCATATCCATAAATTTCCCTTTTTTGTTGTCATCCTGATTACTTTTTGTTTTGTTTTTCATTTAAGGTTTGTAAGTTTTAATGAAACGGCTGTAACGGATGCAGCCCTGGGGTACCTGATTGCTTTTTTGGTGCTGTTGTCAACCATTAAGTTGTGGCATCTTCTCCGACTCAATCCCAAATTGAACATGATCACGGCAACGCTCCAGAGAGCCTGGGGCGACATATCTGGATTTATTATAGTTATTGTCATAATGTTCCTGGCCTATTCTGTTGCTGTAAGTAGATCTGGTTTTCTTTTTTACTTGTCTTTCTTGTGAATTCTTAAAATGTTGTTTTACTACAAACATGAAAACAAAATGGTGGTATGAAGTGTTGCTTTATCGATGAAAGAAGATGGGTAGTTACAATCAACATTAAGAAATTAAGGCCTTGATTTAAATTTGAATCGGAATCAGAAATTATTCTATTATGTTAGAACAAACTTTTAAAAATGATTTGGCTACAGAAGTCAGCATTAAAATCTATGGGAATTTTTGTAGATAAATAATTTGAAAAGCTTTATCAATCATTTCATATACTGATTTAAACTAATTAAATTGTGGCAAATGTACTTTGTAAATTTTAATTGATGGCAAACAGTTCCCAGATCAGAAAAAAAAATCACAAAAAGGCTGTAATTTCGACCATCTTTCTGTCTAGATAACCACGTGTCCATGTGGTTTCAAGATACTTTTTATCCTCTAATTCTAGTGCAATGTGATATTTGGTTGGAAGCTTCAGTCCTACAAAACGTTGTTCGATTCAGCAAAAACCATGGTCAGCCTTCAGTTGGGGATCTTCAACTATGAGGAGGTATACGTGACCGCTTGTTTCGGGGGTCGGGCACCGGTAATACGTGTCCGGTTACTGAATTCTTGTTTTCTTGTGTCAGGTCTTGGATTATAATCCTATTTTGGGCTCCTTCCTAGTTGGATCGTGCATCATTTTCATGACATTCGTGGTAATGAATCTCTTCATATCTGTTATACTGGTAGCGTTTACCGAAGAACAAAAACATCACCAGGTAAAATTACAGTCCCAATAATGTGTGCCACGGTACAAAACCATTAGATTATAATACAAATATCGATGCACAGGGCATTCCCGACTTGCCCCACAATTTCCCACTTTAACTCCATAACTTGCTTGTTGCCACTGTCTCTTTGTTTCACTAATGGACAATATTAAAAACACGTAAAATGTAGTGATATCAAAACTGTGCTAACTTTGTGGGTTTATGGTAAGCAAGGCAGCTGCTTTTGGGCTCAGAGGGATTAAGAGTACCTATTGTTTAGGTGAATTCCACAGAATTTGGAACCTGTTACTGGCTGCTTTTCAGCTACATTTGATTTGATAAGTCTAAAGCTAAGCATTGGCCAATTAATACTCTAGATAAAGCCACTGACTTTAAAGGAACTGTAGCGTTAGGAATGTAATGTCCCCAGATCTACAGAGGTTTCCCCCCGTTTGCTCTAAAAAATTGGAGAATAAAGAATTGACGTCCCTATTTTTAGCAATGCTCCATGCTGATCCAATCCAACGCTCCTCATAGAAAAGCATTAAGGACATAATGCGCATGTGTGGTGAGTGCCGCACACACATTCCAGCTTTCCCATAGGAAACCACTGTACTCAACGCTTTCCTATAGGCGCATCAAGTCTGTGCAGAAGAAGCCCCCTCTAGTGGCTGTTTTGGTCCACTGCTTAGCTCTATCCCTTTCATGGGACAATTTTAAAGAGATCCCTCACATCCTTAATTTTTTACAACAACACAGGGAATGAAAAATCTCAGTACGAGATAAAAGAAGCACTCCTGGGTGTACAAGTGCATCCTGCAACATTTAATTGTCATTCAGTTGGTGCTGAGTGATTTGTTTAGTCATTTTGTAAACTCTGATTATGGACTCTGAGTAATAAAACCTTGGGTGTGCACATTTTGGGTGTGCACATTACAAGTGCCGATCTGTTTTCTTTTGTATTTATATTTCTCCTGCGGTGCATATTTAACTTTAACAACATTGCTTGAATTTTTCTAGGCCTCAGACGAAGAGGAAATTGTTGACCTCATGCTGATGAAGATCTGCAGTTTTTTCGGACTTCGACATAAAAAGGAAGAAACAGATAAAGGAGAGAGTGCTTCGAAGGCCTCTGCCGGTGGCCAGGACAACTGAAAAAGCCTAGAAGAAATATAACGTATTCTTAGAAACATTGATTAGCTGTATTGTTGTAACATTGTATGTTACTGTTTTTCTGTTACAGGTATAAGGAATTGACTAACATGAAAATATATTTATTAAATGTGATAGTGCTCACTTTTGCAAGGTACTGATTAAATAATGCATCACAACATGGTTCTGTTGCCTTCTTATTAAGAAAAAGAAGTGCAGTTTCAGAGAATAACTGAAGGTTTTGATAACTTCATGTAGTTCCCATGCGTACATTCAAAAACAATTTTCATTTTAGCATTTTGAGCTTTTGGACAGACATCACCAATTTTTTTTTCTTCTTTTTCTATTACTTATTTTTCTTTCTTTTAATATAAGACTTTCGGTCTACTGCAAACGAAAATCCAGTTAAGCTGCTGAGTAGAAATTAGATAACCGTTAGAAATTTGCTTACTAAACTTTTTTGACATTCTTTATTTTTGTTGGGCCCAAGATTTAGCAAGACATGTCAGCAACAGTGTAACAATGGTCAAAGTGTGATAAACAGGACAAATAAGCAATACAGCACATTTTATAAAGTAAATTGATCAACATGTAAGGGTCAGTCAGCTGTTGTCGTGAGTGAGGTTAGAGCTTTAAAACCTCTGGGTAAACGGGGGAAGGGGGAGCTAGTAACGCTGCGGTACCTCTGCAACAGCCATATCTCCTGTCAGGTTATCAGTCTGCCTCTAAGAGGGGAATACTATAGTTGGGTATTGTCAGCAAGTATCATGCAGTAACTAACATATGACATCTGCTCGTTGTAAACAGGGCAGGTAGGTAGGGAGGGTGTCTAACACAACGACACAAATATAGCTATAACTTACTGAGCCAGATTAATTTTAGAAACAATAAAACGTGGCATAATAACGTTGTCAACAGTTATAAAGAAAAGTAAAATACGCTTGTAAAGAGCATCTAATGTAGGTTAGAGAAGGTGGCGCGATAGCTTTCATCACGGTGGCGAATCACTTGATCCCGGGGCAGGCTACTCTTGGGACAAATGAAGTTATCCGGTCAACTGACTACAAAGGATGTTGCGGTATGGAGAAGGGACCCTTAGGTGATCCCAGCTCCCGTAGTAGGTGATGCGCTTCGGAGAGGTGATTAAGTGAGTAGGTCTTGCCTCCCTTTTCAACTTGGAGCCTGTGTGTCAGGATCCTGTCCTTACAAGAAAGACTTTTGTTCTGTATATCCCGTTCCTTTAAAAAAAACAAGTTTCTGCATTGACTTTGTTTTACTACTAATGGCCTCCCTTGCCTCCAGTTTGACCACTCACTTTATCATGCTCACCTGCCTGGATTAACTTGGATTCCTACAAAAGGTAACGCCTTGACATTGAAGTTTAATGAGTGCCATGAGTTAACCTATTGATTTTCCTTATTGGCTACTTATCCTGCAATACCAACCTGCTCCAAACTTACCTGTACAACTCTTCATTCCTGCAGCAAACCTACCTGGACTTCCTATCTCCCTGCAGAACATCCAACTTGCTTAAATCAACACTGGACTTTAATTTACTTTGTGAATATCTGTTTACTCCTACATCAGATTTACTTATATTCCAATCTACTTTGCATCTATCACGAAGGGCCTACATCTACTATATAACCTCTTAACCAAAGAGACTGAACAACTACAACCCTATTTAAGTAATTATATTGTCTGTCTAGTTCTGTTTAGTTGTTTTCTTATATCCTGTTCTGGGGCATATTGCGTAAATCCTGTTTCCTATTTACCCTGTATATAGAACCTATAATCTCTCTTATAGGTTTATCGTCTATTATATTTCCTATAACTACAATTATAGGATATCTTGTGTTTACTAGTATGCCTAAGCTAGCAAATAAAGACCCTGCAATTAACCCCAGTTTGAGTCTCATCCCTGACCTGCACAAGATCATGACACTATGTATGCCCCATTTGTAAGGCACATTGCTTTCCCGTAAGTGCTGGGTGAGTTGTCAGAGAGCTTGCATCCAGGCAATAGTGTGACGGGATATATCCCTGTCGAAGGTTAGTTGGTGGCTTTCAAAGGCTGTGGTAAGGGAACCCTAGTCGCCACCAGAATGGTACCTCTAGTCCCGAACAAATTTAACCAGAATGTCTCTGGATGTCTCCGGGGGGGAGAGGGGGGGCTCTAGGCCTCCCCCTCCCCCCCCCCCCGGAGATGCATGTATGTGGTGTAGGCGTGTATGTTTAAGTTCCAGTGATACTCAAGGATGCGTTCCACCTAGTATCTCCTTTCAGTGCTAATCGCATGATTTTGATATTAACTCTTTGCTGTTGCTCGTTAATTGAATACTAAAAATTTCAAAAAACAAACATCTTTAAATCATCTCTCACAATTATTCTGACTGAGATACTTGTGAGACATCCAAAACAAGTATCCTTGTTTACACACAATTACTTTGTGACAAAATGTGAATAATTTTAAACAAAATTGCTAAAGTGAGGTGGAGTTTTTATACCAAATATGAGTTGGTGTAAGTGTGGTGTGTATATAAACGTGTGACTGTAGCAGCTTTTATAAGGAGGTTGAAGGAGGAATTGAATGGTAAAATGCGAGAAATGATGGACATCGGTTCATGTTGGCCACCATTTGTGATACAAGAATAAATGGCAATTGGCTTTGAGGAGTAATATTGTGCCTATGTGGACAGACAGAGAAAATAGAAAGAGGGGTATGATAAGTGAGGAAGAGAAAAAGTTGGCAATGTGTGAAAATCTAAAATCTAAAACTATTGAAAATCTTTGCATAGAGGTTCTACCACTGCTACAGAGATCCTCATCCTTATCTGGTATCTGTGGTTGTGGTGGATCCAGTGGTGAAGGCTACTGGGCAATTGCCCCAACCCCTTGAGAAAATAGGGTATTTTGATGCCTCTACTGAGTATGTGCAGTAGCACCATCGAAATAACCTAGCCTTCACTGCGCATGCGTACCACAATGCTGATGTGGTGCATGCACACACGCACCGTAAAAATACCCTACCCACTACTGTGTGCATGTGCTCTTTTGACGTCATGGTGGCACGCCCTCAACACCCGCATGTGCTGTACAAACCTTCCATCACCAGCACAGCGCACCAGAAGAATCACACAGGTAAGCCGACCTACAGCTGATTCGGCTGATTTCCAGTGTGGAAGTGGCGGGGGTAGGGAATTTTTATGGGGTAGGGAAATCACTTCCTCCCAGCTGTGCAGGAGGAGAAGCTGTGAGCTGAAAGGGGGGCAGCATGGGAGAGGACCAAGCCCCTAACTCCCAATAGCCACGGCCAGCAGAAGCCACCCTCCTGCACCTAAAAGTTAGGAAACTGAAGGGTGCCTAAAATTGTGACCTGTATGTGTGTGTGTGTGTCAATGTTTGTATCTGTGTATCTGTATGTGTGTCATTTTGTCTGTGCATCTGCATGTGTCAGTGTTTATATGTATATATATCTGTGGGTGTGTCCTTGTTTGTATCTGTGTGCCTGTTTATCTGTATGTGTGCCAGTGTTTGTATTAGTGTGTCTGCTGATCTGTATGTTTGTCACTGTGTATATGTTTGTGCATTTGCATGTGTCAGTGTTTGTATCTGTGTGTCTATACATCTGTATGTGTGTCAGTGTTTGTATCTGTGAGTCTTTATATCTGTATCTGTATGTGTCAGTGTTTCTATCTGTGTATCTGCTTGTGTGCCAGTGTGTGTTTCAGTGTGTCTTTGCAACTGCATGTGTGTCAGTGTTTGTATCTGTATATGTGTGTGTATCTGTATGTGTCAGTGTTTGTATCTGTGTAACTGTATGTGTGTCATTGTGTCTGTGCATCTGCATGTGTTATGGTTTGTATCTGTATGTTTGTAACTGTGGGTGTGTCAATATTTGTATCTGTGTGTCTGTTTATCTGTATGTGTGTCACTGTTTGTGTGTGTTTAGATGTGTATCTGCATGTGTCAGTGTTTGTATCTGTGTGTCTATACATCCGTACGTGTGTCAGTTTGTGTATTTCTATGTGTGCCAGTGTTTGTATCTGTATATCTGCTTGTGTGTCAGTATGTGTGTGTGTGTGTATCAGTGTGTCTGTGCAACTGCATGGGTGTCAGTGCTTGTATCAGTGAATCTGCATGTGTGTCAATATGTGTATATCTGTGTGTCTGTGCAACTGCATGTGTGTCAGTGTTTGTATCTGTGAGTCTGTATATCTGTATATGTGTCAGTATGTGTATATATGTGTTGGTATCTTTATGTGTCAGTGTGTGTGTATATGTGTATCTCTGTATGTATGTCAATGTTTGTATCTGTCCATCTGCATGTGTGTCATTGAATTTGTGTATCTATACATCTCTATGTGTATCAGTATGTATATATCTGTGTGTGTATCTGCATGTGTGTCAGTGTGTGTGACAATGTGTATATGCAACTGTATGTGAGTCACTGTTTGGCTGGTTGTTACTGTATGAATGTTAATTCATGGCCAGTTATTACTGGGTAATTATCTCATCGCCGGCTGTTATTACTCAGTATTTATCACACGGACAGTATTACTCTGTATTTATCACATGGCCAGTTATTATTTGGTATTTTTCACATCGCAGGTTGTTATTACATGGTAATTATTACATGGCTGGTTATTACTCTGTATTTATCACATGGCCGGTTATTACACAGCATTTATCACATTGTTGGTAGTTATTACTATGTATTTATCACATGGATGGTTATTACTTGGTATTTATCACATGGTTAGTTAGTTATGATTACACTGTATTTAGCTATCACATGGTTAGTTAGCTGTTCTTACACTGTATTTCGTTATAACATGGTTAGTTACACTGTATGTATCACATGTTAGTAGTTATTACACTGTATTTAGTTATTACATGGTTAGTTATGACACTGTATTTATCACATGGTAGGTTATTACATTGTATTTAGTTATTACATGGTTAGTTACACTGTATTTATCACATGTTAGTAGTTATAACACTGTATTTAGTTATTACACAGTTAGCTATTGCACTGTATTTAGTTATTAAACGGTTAGTTATTACACTGTATTTATCACATGGTTAGTTATTACACTGTATTTAGTTATGACATGGTTAGTTATTGCACTGTATTTATAACATGGTTAGTTATTACACTGTATTTAGTTATGACATGGTTAGTTATTACACTGTATTTATAACATGGTTAGTTATTACACTGTAGTTATTACATGGTTAGTTATTACACTGTATTTATCACATGGTTAGTTATTACACTGTATTTAGTTATGACATGGTTAGTTATTACACTGTATTTATAACATGGTTAGTTATTACACTGTATTTAGTTATGACATGGTTAGTTATTACACTGTATTTATAACATGGTTAGTTATTACACTGTATTTAGTTATGACATGGTTAGTTATTACACTGTATTTAGTTATTACATGGTTTGTTATTACACTGTATTTATCACATGGTTAGTTATTACACTGTATTTAGTTATCACATGGTTAGTTAGTTATTACACTGTATGTAGTTATCACATGGTCGGTAATCCCGGTCACACAGAGCCGCCCCCTATAACGCATGCGCGGTGCGGTCTAGTTGCTGTACTCGCTCTCTCTCTCTCTGTAAGATGGCGATGCGAGCTCTGAGCGGAGTGCGGCTCGGACTGAGGACCCTGGGAGCCCCGGCCTGCCGCCTGCCATGGAGGGCGAGCTCGGCACGGAGCCTGGCTACCGGATCACACTTACTGTCCGGTGAGTGACACTCCCACCACACACACTGCAACTTTTACTGCAACTCAAACTATGGAGCTCTGCACCTGTGTAATGCATGGAGCTCTGTACAAGGACATAGTGTATGGAGCTCTGCACCTGTGTAATGCATGGAGCTCTGTACAAGGACATAGTGTATGGAGCTCTGCACCTGTGTAATGCATGGAGCTCTGTACAAGGACATAGTGTATGGAGCTCTGCACCTGTGTAATGCATGGAGCTCTGTACAAGGACATAGTGTATGGAGCTCTGCACCTGTGTAATGCATGGAGCTCTGTACAAGGACATAGTGTATGGAGCTCTGCACCTGTGTAATGCATGGAGCTCTGTACAAGGACATAGTGTATGGAGCTCTGCACCTGTGTAATGCATGGAGCTCTGTACAAGGACATAGTGTATGGAGCTCTGCACCTGTGTAATGCATGGAGCTCTGTACAAGGACATAGTGTATGGAGCTCTGCACCTGTGTAATGCATGGAGCTCTGTTAATGGACAGAGTGATTGGAGCTCTGCCCCTGTTTAATGCATGGAGCTCTGTTAATGGACAGAGTGATTGGAGCTCTGCCCCTGTGTAAGGCATGGAGCTCTGTTAATGGACAGAGTGATTGGAGCTCTGCACCTGTGTAAGGCATGGAGCTCTGTTAATGGACAGAGTGATTGGAGCTCTGCACCTGTGTAATGCATGGAGCTCTGTTCGTGGACAGTGATTGGAGCTCTGCACCTGTGTAATGCATGGAGCTCTGTTCGTGGACAGAGTGATTGGAGCTCTGCACCTGTGTAATGCATGGAGCTCTGTTAATGGACAGTGATTGGAGCTCTGCGCCTGTGTAATGCATGGAGCTCTGTTCGTGGATAGAATGTTTGGAGCTCTGCGCCTGTGTGATGCATAGAGCTCTGTTAATGGACAGTGATTGGAGCTCTGCGCCTGTGTGATGCATAGAGCTCTGTTAATGGACAGTGATTGGAGCTCTGCGCCTGTGTAATGCATGGAGCTCTGTTAATGGACAGTGATTGGAGCTCTGCGCCTGTGTAATGCATGGAGCTCTGTTCGTGGACAGAATGTTTGGAGCTCTGCGCCTGTGTGATGCATGGAGCTCTGTTCGTGGACAGAATGTTTGGAGCTCTGACCTCAGCCAGGCACTGAATGGCATGGAGAGCGCTGTGTAATACTGTATTCAGTTTGTGTTTTATTTTTTAAGAAGCACTCTGCTCACCCTGAGAATACTTGCGGATTGCTGTGTCCGGACAATTGGAGAATATGTTTTTACATATAATAATATTACATGTGTTATTCACACACCTATCATTTCACATGTATTGACTGCAGAGCAGCATTGGATCCATTATCAGTACATATGAGTACCTTCTCTTCTGAATAACTGCTATACTCTGAAAATTTGTAAACAAAAAAACAAATTCTTTCTTGGCTGCACAGACTAAATGGCCCATTAGTTCTGAGTCATTGTACTAAATCTGTAACAATCACACTGTCTGCACCTTATAAATCTGGAACCATTTTCACCATAAATGTGAAGCAAGTAGCAGGGTTATTAATTAGTGTGAGCGTTCTGGAATTCAAAGTCCATTTCAAATTTTAGGCATTATCTGGCAGAAGCAAATCTTCAAGTTAGTTCTCAGTTTTACTGTTTTGGCCTAAAAGTTAATATCTAATTTAATACTTTGGGAGCACTCATTTGATGCAGTTAGGGATGAGTGAGAGTGTATATACTGCTTGCTCCATGCACTCCCTGTTCTGTATCCTTTAACCAGTGAGTGGCAGGACAGCACAGCCAATCTCTGGTCCTCCATTGCATTTTGTGATAATATTGAGCTTGTGTCTCTGAAACTGCTATGTTTTCAGCTGCAGGGTTAAAACTAGAGGGACCTGGCACCCAGACCACTTCATTGAGCTGAAGTGGCCTGGGTGCCTATAGTGGTCCTTTAAGCTGAAGTTGTTTTGGCGTTTATAGTATCCCTTTAAACCCTTCCCGCCACCATAATTTGTTTTGTAGCTCCCATTCACAAAACTGCATGAGAACCATGCATTAGCCCACTGTCTCAACCAGTTAGTGACACCCCTGTCCTCTCACCTGGCACTAGAGAGATGAGTTTGGGGTTAATTATTCATGAACGGTTTAGCACCTAAAGGAAAGACAGTGCCAGGGACCTTCTGGCACCATAACAACTTAATTCCGATTAAGTTATTCTGGTGCTCGGACTGTGTCCCTTTAAAAATGTAAACAAGGGGGGCGGGGCCTGACAGCCAAGATGGCTGGTTGCACATCCTAAGAGCTCTTGCAACAACCGGCATAAATGAGCTAAAACTGAGTGACATTCACGTTAGCAGCACAGGGGGACCGGGAACAGACGCAGGGCAACATGCCAAACAAAACGGTACCAGTCCGGCTCCGGTGCACCGCTGAAAAACCTCTACCGGCCATGCGGCCTAAACCAGAGCGAAGCCTGAGGTCCGGGGGAGGCGGACGATCTCCCGGCACGTGACAAGCTCACAAAAGAGAGCACACTACAGCCCTGCTGCCCGGACCGGCGGGGGACATCCCGGTCCTCGCTGGGGACGATTACCCCCATACCACCGCCTGAACAAGCAACAAAACCCTCAGCCAAATGGGACAAACAGGGCCTAGCCAAGATGGCGGCTCAGACGCAGCCTAAGACCAAGCGAACATCTATTAAGCCACCCAAGCACACATTGGAGTTCGTTGGCCGGCTATGCACCTACCTCTGGGCAAAGTTTAAAGCCCGAACACAGATCTACAAGCTAGCACTGAAGGAAGTGATGGGGTGGATCTGCCCGGCTACCCGGTGCCACCTGCAAGGAAACCGACCCTGTAACTCCCGAGTGACCTCCCGATGGAGACAAAGCCGAAGTTCATCATGGCGGGAACCGGCACCGGGGCCCTCGGACAGCAGCACTCACGACCCAAAGCTCCAGAAGAGGACCCACCGGCTCCCCGACCAACCTCCCACTCGGCGATTCCAACAACCCTCAACCAGCAAAGTGCAACACCGCACGTGGATGCACACACAGCCCGCTGCGACGTTGACCAGGAAGCAGCGAGGATGTCGGCAGGGGGACGAAACCAGCGGAAAGCCCTTCCACAGCTCACCAGAGAGGGAACCCCGATGGGGCACATACCCTGTCACGCAAGCAAAGCCACTAGAAAAGGCACCGGGTGACGCGAACCAGACTGATACACTCAGAGGCCCTGTTCGAGACGCGGGGATCATTACTTCACTCAGACGGAGATATAAAGTATCTCAGTGGCAACTTCACCAAGGACTCTGGACTATGGATAATCATAGATCATCATACACACGGACTCAGCAAGATCTTACAGGCTATCATAACACATCTTAGACCCACGCAGCAGTCACCCTGCTCGCCTGGACGGTCTCTCTCTCAAAGCCAGAGGTCCTCAGATTAACCTAGCCCGGATAGGAAGCACCCACTAGGCTCCTATTAAGCCACATCGTTTTAATGTGTTTTAAGCTATGTTTCCGTAGGGGTGCTTTGATTATCTTTGCCACAGAACTTGGCCTCACAAGGGTATTTACAACTTGCATTTCATAATAATTTTGCTAGCATATTATTATAGCCTGCAATATAGTAACCTGGCACCCCAGATTCAGACATCTTTAACTAAGCTAGTGTGCCATATTTGTGATAGAACCGATTTTGTTTAAGCTTGTGTACCACCTATCTACTTAACCTCTCATGCACTGTTAAAAGCATGTTACTAGCTATTTCAGCGTTTACACAAGAGAAAGTTCCTCTCCCAAGCAAGCTGTAAGCATACGGCCTCCTGAACCATGCCAGTAAAAATGCAAACAACTTAGGCACATCACCCTAAAATACTCGACTGTCTTAAACCTTGTTTATCACTGTTTATAGCATATCTTGACTCACTCATGTTCCTCTCGTGTTATAAAAACAAACAAAAAAAGTGCAACATCTCTCGATTACCTATGCAAACTGTTTCATGTGATGTATAGAACTCAACAAATAACTGCATATGCATGTACCTTACTCTGCACTCAAAAATAAAGAATAAATAAAAAAAAAATTAAAAAATTTCCTGTGAGAACTTTGCACAGTCGGACCAATTAGCAGGGCCTTAATCACTAATCCATTGTGATGTGGGAGATGGGGTCTTGCCAAGAATTGCTAGGGGCAGAGTGCAACTTTTGGAAACTCTATCCTGGTAGCTAGAACTTTGAAACTTCAAAAGCCAATCTAATCAGGGGTGGCCAAAAATGATGTAAAATGGGGCATTGTGTGTCTATAAATTGGGATAACTAAATAAATTGCTCTGTAGCAAGTGGCTAGCTTGGAAAAATAGAAATCTCAACAATGACAGTTTTACGTCTTGTGTATATTTTTCTGACTGTACTTTGCTATTTCAGTCGTGATCTGGTTTGAACCAGTGGCTTCTGCCAGAGACTGTGCAAGTTTTCTATTCTCTGCAAAATTCTGCTTCAATGCTTGCATCAGATGAAGTGATCCATTTGTAATTCAAACAGCAGATACGTCAACGCATCAGAGTTTGGGCCTTCTGTTTTGTTCTAGGGACAGATTAAAGTGTGTGAATAATATTTAATACATTTATTAAGTACTATATCTATCTGTAAGGTGCATTTTGTGTGTGTGTGTATGTGTGTATATATGTGTGTGTGTGTGTGTGTGTGTGTGTGTGTGTGTGTATATATATATATATATATTTATTTATTTATTTTTTTAATTTCCTTGTCTTGTATAAAGAAGAACCTGACTGTTTTCTGAAAACGTTAAAACATGTTAAATTAGTTTCTGTGATTCACCGAGAAAAATAAATCACAGTAATTTTTACATGCGGAGGAGGTAGGGCTACCGGTTTGAACTACTAAATCATGACAAGCATGTAGCACTCAGCATTTACCGAGCCACCAAACGCTTCCTGTGTGCCTTACATCATGGGCAAGAAGGCAAAGAAATCTAATGTTGATCCCGGCTCGGGTTCCCGAGACATCGGAGCTTTTATGCGCATGGCCACGTGGCCGGACCCGTGCAAGATGGCGCCGGCCGGGGCCTCTAGCTCACCTTCGTCAGACGACGAGAGCCCGACAGCCACTTACTCCCACCAAAGGTACAAGCAAAGCCCGCAACACCCACGGAGCTAGGTGACTCAGCTCCTTCCACGAAAACCGACCTAAAGGCTCTAGTAAAGGAAATACAAGCAATGTTCCATGCTGACATGGCGCTGATTAGGGAGGGAAATCTCCGTGCTCAAAGGATGGGTGAAGACAGTGGCAGAGGACCTCAAAAGTGCTGGGGTTGCCCAACTGCCACGGATGCAGCCCTGGGATCACTGCAAAAGCAGTCCAGCACCCTGACTTCACAACCAATAGTTTTATATATTATTATATTATACTATTCCTGAAAAGTCGGGATAAAATCCTCACTAATAGGAAATGATTAATTCGGGTTATGATGTATATTGCCAAAGCACCTGAAGTTATCTGGTATTAACAGAGCATACAACAACAAAATAATGAGCAGATAGTAAGTGATAGGCATACAGGATCACATATTCGATAATAAATCACTGAGAGTATTATATATATCTCTATCTCTGTGCAAAAAGGGAATTTAGACAAGACAGGATGATCAGCAGACAGTGGATGGAATACATAAAACATCAAATACTGAATCCTGGTTTACTGACAACCGGGGTTCTAAAAACATAGCATAATAATAAATATAAATGCAGACGCTAAGCTGTAACAGAGGAAGCTATAACTAGACTGTTAAAATGGTTCTAGCTCCTTGTTTAGGCCATTAGGTGCCATAGAATTAAGCTTAAAAATCCACATAGACTCAGCCTTAAAGGGCCACTATAGTGCCAGGAAAACATACTCGTTTTCCTGGCACTATAGTGCCCTGAGGGTGACCCCACCCTCAGGGTCCCCCTCCCGCCCGGCTCTGGGGAGAGGAAGGGGTTAAAACGTACCTTTTTTCCCAGTGCCAGGCGGGGAGCACTCCTCCTCCTCTCTGCCTCCGATCCTCCTCTTCGGCTGAATGCGCATGCGCGGCAGGAGCTGCGCGCGCATTCAGCCGGTCTCATAGGAAAGCATTTACAATGCTTTACTATGGACGCTTGCGTCTTCTCACTGTGATTTTCACAGTAAGAAGCACGCAAGCGTCTCTAGCGGCTGTCAATGAGACAGCCACTAGAGGATTTGGAGGCTGGATTAACCCTAACATAAACATAGCAGTTTCTCTGAAACTATGTTTATTTAAAAAAAGGGTTAATCCTAGAGGGACCTGGCACCCAGACCACTTCATTAAGCTGAAGTGGTTTGGGTGCCTAGAGTGGTCCTTTAATCAATTCCCTTTTTCTTTTTGCACCATCCTGATGTGGAGGAATATGAGCTATCCCCATTACTTTAATTCCAGAAGGATTCTTCTCATGAAAGATTTGGAAATGTCGGGCCACCGAGGACCTCGTATCATTATGAATTATTGCTGGTCTATGCTCACGAAACCTACATTTCAGTGGCCTGGTCATTTGACCCACATATTGCCGCCCACACGGGCAGGTTAGGAGATACACCACAAATGGGGTGCTACAGGTGATTTCAGATTGAACAGAAAAGGTTTCTAAACTATTGTAGGGACTAAACATAGAAATTTGCAGCTAACCAGCAACCTCCAGTTAATAGTTAATCTAACAGTTTGTGCAGTCATGAGGAATTTAAGCTAAATTATAAAATTGGGTGTATAGTAAACATGTGGTGTTGTTTTTGTTGAATAATGTTATCTCTGAATACCTTTTAATGCACACAATGTAACTTGTAGCAGTCTAGTGGTAAAACTATTACTCCCGTATTGGGTAGATTATGTGGTTCACCCTATCCAGCTCTTTGCTGAACAGATATAACAGATATATGGTGCAGGCTGTATCTTGTCCCCCTTCATTTTATACATTAAAGCGGCACTGTCATGCCGAATCCCGTTTTTTGTTGTTTTTTTTTAACCCGCCTCCACTACATCCAATTGACCCACTAGTCAATAGGGGGGGGACCTACTAAATTTACTAATACTAAGTAATCTTTACTTAGTATTAGTAAATTTGTCTGAAAGACCAATTTAGGTCTTTCAGCCTTTTAGTAGATAGCTCCCTGATACCGTGGGAATTAGGGAGTATCTACTAAGCGGCTGCCAGATGCAGCCGCGGCAATGAATAGGATCAGAGTTTCATTCCTTCGAATGAAATTCCGACACAAACAAAGTGCCGAATTGCGTTCTAAAAGAAACGAACATACTGTTCTCATTCAGTTAGAACGCAATTCGGCAGTTTTAGCTAAAATGACAGGAAGCATCGCGGGAACACAGAGGAAAGCTAGGGATCATGGGAAAATTGCTCTGACCAGCGGAAATGAAGCACACTTTGCTCCTCCGCTGGTCAGAGAAGGTCAAGCGGAGGAATCCTCCATACGGCAAAGAGTCCCTACTTTGTCTTATGATTTTAAAGAAAACTAAATATGACAGGAAGAAAAGAATAACAGATCCTGAGAGAGGGGGAGAAGAGGGAGAGATTGAGGAAAGGTAAGTTCGGCATGACAGTGCCGCTTTAAGTGCAGTGGTTTAGAATGTGATGTTTCCACTCTATAATGTGTGAATGCAATATTTCTCCATGATTGAGCAAATAGTTCATGCCATGTGTATGCTGAGGGTTTTTAAAGAAATGTTATTGATTTGTGTTTGCATTACGTACCTTCATTCACGTTATTTATTTATTTTGGGGGGGAGGGGGTGTGCATACGCAGTTTCCCCCTTGAATGACTGCTTTTTACTTTTAATCTAATTAGAGGAGAAGAATGGCTGGCTGAACTCAGCCACTTCCTGGTCTTTGTAGAAATGTTTGTTTACAACCACCAGGGGCCGTTCAGAGAGGAGTCTATATTTGTATTAGTTTCTTTAGACTTGCCGGGGCTCATTTGACTTGTATTTCTAAAATACTTTACTATTTAGGCCACCCCTGCTCTAACCATTGTTTTAGAATGGTTTGACTTCTCACCTGGGTTTTGCGAGGCACTGCACCCTGCTGAGAGCTTCTGGCTACAATGGTAGCAGAGAGCAGTGCCTAGTGCAGTGTGCTGTAGTGGTTATGGTGCTCGGAATGAACTTTTATTAGTGCACCAGTGTTGCTCAATGTGCTTTAACCTACTATGCAATTTAAATGGTGTTCTTGCCCTGTCAGAAATTTTGTGTGCGTTAAATTAAATAATTGTGCCTCCTCAGTAAGAATATAAAGTGGTGTGTGTGTGTGTGTGTCCCAAAAATATGTAATTTTCCATAATAATTTTTTTTTTTTTTTAAACTTTGTGTATCTCTATAATGCTGCTTGAGAAGCCTGAATTAAATGCATTATAATTTTGGTATAATGCAGAATGTATGATCATTTTACCACTTTCATTGCAGCTCGCAAGTTCACAGACAAACATGAATGGATTTTAGTTGAAAATGGAGTTGGGACAGTTGGAATCAGTAAATTTGCTCAGGTATCGATCTGTGTATGTCTGTCGAGTGATCTTTGAAATCTGTATCTGATTAAATTAGCTCTAGCAGTCACTGCATACCTCAGTGTTGGTCTGTTTTGGACTTTGTCTTTTTTTGATGAGGCCATTGACATTCTTTCGGTCATCAGTTAATCATGGAATGTCTTCATATTCAAGTACAAACAATGCAAATGGAATTTATAGGGCATGCATGGATAACTTTGGCACTGCACGTTTCTGTGAACTACAGTTCCCATAATTCTCAGCAAGCTTCAGAAAAAATAAAATTCACAAGCCATTCGCATGTTAGCCATCACTATTAAAATACATTTGATTGTGCCCACCAAATGCTCCTAGGTCCCCTGTAACCCTTCATTTAACCTCTTTCTTTTTTTTTTTTTTATTCTCTGGATCGATGGCCCAGGCACGCCATCTTTGTGTTCCCAGATGACATGTCCCGCATGGGCTTCATCTGCCCACACTAGTCTGGCAGATTTTAACCTCCCTTATTTACTAATATTTATTTTTAGACAATCTTTATTTATAGAATTTAAGTAGGACACAACATGGCAGGCATACCACAGAGAAAGAGAAAAAACAATATGCAGTGTATACGTTGATGTATTAATCAAACCTTTATACATGTGAGTAAACTGTGTTTTTATATATCATGACCTTCCTGTTGTGGAATATGCTCCAAGCACGTGATGGCATAGGTCTAGCATGGACATAAAGTATTAGTGCTGTGGACATTTCCCATTTTCTACTTCCAGCATTAATCATTTATTCATTCAATATGGTCTTAACAATAGTATAGTATAGGGCCAACCGAAATCTGTTGGCTCAATCTGGCTAGCTTCCTTTGGTCTCCTGAATGTCGAAACATGCAGTAGAAGCGGTATACCCACCACGGTCCCTGACCCACTGTATAAGGCTAGTCTGGCTTCCGTTCCCATCCACAGCAAGCGACCAACTTGCTTAAGTCAAGCTCACCTATGTCCAGCCAGTTTGGCAGTCATAGCGTTAACCAGCCTGGAGTAACCATTAGAGTGGGCTAGCATTCCACCAATATCTCTTGTCTCCCAGGGTCACTGGGGTGTGCTTTGGGCTATGTACTGAGGCCATTCTCTTGCCCCATAAGTTTCTGTCAGTGTCATCGATCCTCCGTCATGGGAACTAACTGTTCTATCCTACTACGGATATCCGCTTTACAGCCACCACGACAATGAATCCAGCAACTGGGTTACCCGGGGACAGTGGACCGCTATTCAGGGGCAGATCTAGTATCTCCTGTCCTCTTCCACTTCAATTTCACTTGTGACAGAGGCCGTGCGAGTTCTTATCCTGTGAGAGAGAAAATCTCTCCAGGGTGCTCACAAGTATTTTTTACTTGGTATTAATAAAGTTGGCTGAAAGACCAATTTAGTTTTTTTAGCTTTTTAGTAGATTGCCATTATATGGCAATCCCACAGGGTACCACTTCAGAGGGTATCTACTAAACAAGTGCAAGATGCAGCTGCGGCACAAATCGGAATTTCATTCTTCCAAATGAAGTTCTGAACCAAAAAAAACCTTAAATTTCATCTGAAAGCGAATGGACAAACTGTCGACATTCTGTTTGGACAAAATTCGGTAATTTCGCCCGTGCCCTGTCTACATGACAGGACATTCGGAATCGCAAAAGGAAGTAATGCAAAAATACGGACGTAGGGTGAGTATTGTGGGAAAAGCTCCTCCTTGTGTCAAAGTCAAGCGTACGAAAAATACATTGTCTTGTGTTTTAAAGAGAACTAGTCAAAAATAAAAGTGCAGATTCCGAAAGAGGAAGAGAAGAGGAAGCAGTTGGGAAAAGGTACGTTTGGCGTGACAGTGCTGCTTTAAATCCATCGTGTTGGCTAAATGGCTAGCGAATGTACTAACTAGGTTTCTATTTTAACTTGATTTGAGCTGTTTTCACTATGTTGTATAGGGACTCTATAGTTCTCAGAACCAGTACAGCTTAGTGTAGTTGTTTTGGTGTCTATAGTCTGTTCCTGCAGGGTGTTTAATGTAAACCATGCCTTTTCATAGAAGCTACCTGTAGTAGCAGTCACTCCGACGGCCACTAGAGGTGCTCCCTTGATTCAATGCATCTCTAGGAGGTGATGCTGATTGGTGCAGTGTTTTGCTGCGCATGCACAATATCCTCCCAATCAACAAGATTGATTCTCAGCCTTGGAGGCAGGGCCCAGCCACGGCTAGACCAGTGCGGCATGGGGAAATAAGGGGAGTTAAATTACACTATCATTGCCCTGATTGGGGGGACCTATATAGCGACACAGGCACTATAGTGTCAGGAATACACGTTTATATCCCTGGTCCTATAGTGTTCCTTTAAATACAAAGGGAGGAATGCTAGACTATCTTCTGTGCATATTCATACTAGATATGTGAGAGGCAGGGTAAATGTACAATCTACAAATGACGCTTTGTAGATAAATGTGAATGTTGTAATTATGTAAATATACACAATCTTTATTTTAAGTTATTTGTTCATGCTTTACTACAATATTTGGGAAATGAAAAGCTTTAGACTGCATACAGTGTCCTTTATCTTGCAATATTTCACACAGGGTCTGAAATGTCAAAGTATAAAAATGCTATTTTATCACATACAGTAGGTGTGACAAAATAAATAAAATGGTTAAATAACTTGTTTAGATGTATTTGGGAGAACCCTGAATGCATTAATAGCAGTATAGCTTACTGAAAATGTAAAAAACAAAATACAGTAAAGCCGTTAAATCCTGATTTTTTTTTTTATAATATATGAGGATCTATGGACTAAATTTTATTCTGCAAAATGCATGAATTTAAAAATGTTTATACTCTTTTGGTAGTGAAGTAGTTAAACTGGAGATTGTCTTACTGATTAGTTCTATAAATCAATGTGACTTTAATCAAGGCTGTCATGATTTGCAACTACATAGAATTAGTATGTGCTGTATTTTTAATTTCTTTATTTCCTATACAAATGCACAAATAGAGCTTATTCTAATTCAACTGACCTGCTTCTGCTCTCCATAATTCTCATAAATTAGATTTTGTAGTTTTAAAAGTTTTTTTTTTGTCACAAATTGTGTTTGTATTTTACATGATTTTACAATGTTCCTCCCTTTTTATTAAGGAATCATTAGGAGACGTGGTTTACTGTGGTCTTCCAGAAGTTGGAACTAAATTGAAAAAATTGGGTATGTATGGTATTTGTGTGTTGGATACAATCAGGGATGCAATTCAGTGTGAATTCTCTGAGAAGGGGCAAAAGCTTAGAGAAACTCTGTATCTTTTTATTTTCTATTTATTTTTTTGTAAATTTGTATTTTTGTAGTGTTGAAGAGTATACAATCACCTGCTTTGTCCCAACAACATTAGATAACACAATCATACAGGTAGCATAAAGACATTAGTGGTACGTGGAGATAAGTAATGTACAATTGTGATGGAACAGCACAACATTTTTTAGTGTAAAGAGTAGAAAAAAGGAGTTATATCAGGTAGACACATAACTGGAGTATCAAAGCGTGGCAAGGTTAACTCCACAGCTAGACTGCCACAGTGTTATAATGTTAAGATAAATAATTGCAGGCTAGTCCGTCAGGATACGGTTACTGTGGAATAAACATGCTAAGAACTGTGTATATCAAGCTAGACATTCTTGAAAAGATTAATATTAATTTTTAAGAGTGGATTCCACCGAAAGTAAGTCACTTTAGTTCCCCACGATCTGTTTTGCCTGAGCGGTATGTCAGGTCAGTGTAATGCTTGGGGCGTTCCCCAGGCTGGACCTCATCAGCGTTGCTATCTGGAGTGTTATTATCCAGTCAAGCAGGTGTTATGAGTGGGGAAACACTGCTTGGCAATTATCACAGCCATCTTCTAATATTTGGTGCGAGAAATAGTTGTACTATAGGCAAGGATCGTGGTAAAGAGATCACTGAGATTCAGCAGACTATCTCCCTCCCTTCACATTGAAAGCTCTGCGAGTTAACTTAAACCAAACAGCAAAAATAATACAAGAAAAAAAATCTTGGTGTGTCAGCATGTATGGGCAAAACAGTGTTCAGTAGCTGCAACAAGGATATGCAAGAGAGGCAGCATCTGGAAATACCGGTTTAGTGTTCACAGTCATCCAATGCCTAGGTTCGTCAATGAAACGGCGGGGAGACGGAGGATCCATATGTCAACAGCAAAGTGCGGGCGGCATGGGTCCTCTCTCCAGGCCCAGGCCTGTTGGAAGGTCCACATATCTGGTCCACAGACTCTGGTGCGCTGTGTGGCCGGGTCTTTTCCTTTGCAGGCGCTGCGGAAGGCATTGATGTTCTGTCGCCGCCAGCAGCAGGTGGTCTTCCGGCATGGGTGGGTGCCTTCAGCCTGGGTTGGCAGGCAGCGTGGGTGGCGTGTGCTCTGTGCTGGATTCTGCACGAGTGAGGCCTGCTTGGCCCTTTATCACCATCCCTCCTCACCTCCTTCACAGATTTTGGTGATTGAGGTGGCAGGGGTTGTTCCAGCTGTTACCAGAATCGCTGAAATGTCTTGTCCAGACATTGTAGGGTGCGCTCAACCATCTCACCGCCGGGGTCCGCATGTGTTGGTGACGGTTGTGGTAAGGCCTGGTGCCAATCGCGGGCAGTGAGAGTCTGTGAATGAGCGTGCATCATGTTGGTCCACAGGGGGAGGGAACGGGTGCCCTTGCTGAAAATCTCCGCTGTTTGCTACGATGGGAGAGTAGCCGTCTCTCCCACACCGGCCATGCTTGTAGGCGCAGAAGTCGCTTGGACGAAACCAGCAGGTTAGTCTGCATATTTGGTATCGGCATGTAGGGCTTATTGTCCCCTTTTACCCGGCAGCAGTTATTGGATCAGTGGTCTCTTGGTATTGTCGGTAATCTGTGAAATCTGCTACCGTGAGCCAGGAACTGCAGTAGCATACGACTGCTCTGCTCCATGGTCAGGTCCCAGGTCCCACTCCGTATCTTGCCCTTTAACGTAGTCCCTGCTATGATCTCAAAAATGTTTTTGCTCACTTGTGCCATTATAGAGAGAGCATATACTATTTGCAGATCAGACTGATCCTACCCAAGACATCGCCCAGAGCCAAAACGATCGTCCGAGTTGCTGTGTCTCTCACACAGAGGGAACTTACTGACATTTTTTAATCTGGAGAGGATCAGTCTGATATACAAATGGTACAGGTTCTCTCTGTAACGGCATAAGTGCCCAAAAAACATTTTTGTGATCTGAGTGGGTTCTTTGTTTTTTGCACCTCACTGTGTGTGTGTGTCTGTGTGTACCACTAACAGTGGGTAGCACTTTTTTGTTACTTTAAATGCAGTCTTAGTTACCTGAGGGCTAGTTGGATCAGGTAGGCACTGGTGGGAATCCCACGGTGCTGAGGTACCTAGGGTCTGTTTGTTTGGCTAGGATTGTGAGGCTTATGCTTTCTCTCCCCTCCCTCATATAGCAATCACCATATGTATTCCCCAGGTACCACGGATCTCTCTGAGCCTAATTTACCCTTCCTGTTTGGCAACCCTGTACATACCTGTTAAGGCTTTTTCTCCTCTGGTATTAGTGTACTTATTTATTTTTTGTGGTTTAAGTTAAATGTAACTCATGTTATACAATAAATGTTGCTTTGATATTCACTGCCTTCCCCTCCCGAAGTGCCTTAGTACACGTCCCTGGTGTTTCCTGTTTTGGTTCTATAAGTGGTCAGTGTTTACATTACAGATTAAGGATACCTCCAGTGGCCACTCCTCACATGGCTGCTATAGGTGCTTCCTGGGGCAGTGCTGCACAGTGTGCAGCACTGACATTCAGTCTCTCCACCCTCTGCATGCAGACACTGAACTTTACTCACAGATTCATTTAATCTCTATGAGCAGATGCTGACTGGTCATGGTGGCCTTTGGCTAATCCATTAGTTAATACTATAGAGTCCTCTGCAACCCATCCCTTATGTGCTACAGGTGCTGTTAGCCTGAGCAGTAATGGACAGCTGTTATTGGCTGAGAGTGTCAGCTGACTGCTTTCAGCCTATCAGAGTGCCCATTGCTGGTATGAATTGGTATCGTGTGTAATATCTACCACAGCCATACCTTTATTTAGGGCTGGGCTTTGGGTGGCCAGTGACAATTATTCAGTGTTCTTATTAAGTTTAAACTAAATAGATTAATATAGGGAAAGCGCCAGAAGACTATAACTAATGCAATGAGATGAAATTAAGTGCCTACAGCGTCCCTTAAAATATAGTGGATTCATGATCTGCTTTTCTGTTAATTCATAAAGTCTTATATACAGAGTTACAAAACCTAAATTAAAAACTTGCTCCTAAATGGACTGCAGACTTGAACAAAGCTTGAAGGCACACAATCTGAATATCATATTTTTATTTGCCTCTTAAGCCAATTGTGTGTGTATTCCAATTTAACTCCTGAATAAACAAATATTGTTGTACGTGGGCACATCATTATTGTCACACTAGTTATATTATTATTTTGTATTACATGCCGACTCCTGCATTTCACCAATTTGTTTTCCTGGTATTGTTTTACAGAGGAGTTTGGGACTTTAGAAAGTGTTAAAGCTGCTAGTGAACTTTTTTCTCCATTGACGGGACAAGTCACGGAAATAAACGTTGCGCTGGCGGACAATCCAGGCTTGGTAAACCAGTCGTGCTATGACGAAGGTAAATTTCTGCTTTGTGTAAATGTTTGTTCCAGATCACCCATCGTCTATTAATACAGTTCCCACAACGGACATGCCGGAGCTCTTTTCTGCTAGAAATTTTGTCTTTTTCTCAAAGTGATAGTCTCTCCAGATTTCTGTAGACAAAATGTTGGACCATTGCATGCAGTGGTTGAACTAAAGTAGAGAGGGCCCTAGTGTAAAAAAAAATATATTTTGCAAGGATGGAAAAAAGTAAACTGATCCCAATCTGTCGTACATCTCCCATAATGTTTTCCCAGCTGGGGATCTACTACTTGCCTGTCCTTGCAGGGCTTTATTCTGCATGTTTTTGTATGGAGTGTGTGAATGTAGGGGTGTATTTGTGTGTTCTGTTGCCATTTAAAAGGTTTACTTGTTTTATAGTGTTTGCTTGGAATGTAGGGTTGTGTCTGTAGTGTTGATGTTTGAATGTTGCGATGTATGTACATATACATCTAAACTACCACACTGACACTTATACAGATACACTTACAGACACAGGTGCAAAATGTACACATTTTAAGCCACCCTCCTGTTTCCTACCTTTTGGGTGCAGGATGGTAGCTTCCCTGGGTCCAGTTGGCTAGCTGGGGTTGTTTCGAGCAAGAGACATGTAACCTATAGTTTGTGCTGGGGCAGATGCCACACTAACATTATTTAAACATTGCTTTCTCTCTCACTGTGGTGGCTGGGACTGTCTCTAACTGAGGCACGTTGGGCAAAATAGATTTGGTGGGCCAAAGCACTTTCTGACTGCATGCATTTTGGGGTATATATGATGAACTTTAATTTATTAATCAAATACAATGTATCAATGTAATTTTATTTTATTTTTTTTAAATTACATGGTACTGCTTTTAAGTCGTGTACAATGTAGATTATTTCTGAGTTATGTGAATTGTTTGAATGTTGTCTTGTGCAATCATTCTATATATATTTATATATTTATATATATATTTATATATATATTTATATATATATATATATTTATATATATATATATATATATATTTATATATATATATATATTTCAAAGAGATGGTATGAGATGAGTGACAATGTGATGTAACCCTGTTTTGTTTTTGATTCATTAGGATGGTTAATCAAGCTGACTGTGGATGAGCCCTCTGAACTGGATGACCTGCTGACTGAAGATGCATACAAGAAATACGTCAAATCACTTGAAGAGTGAGCTCTTTGTAGACTGTGTCCCAGGTAGAAAGTCTTGTATAGGTGCAGAGTAACAGTTAATGGACGGTCTCCAACTTGCTGCCAGTGGAAATGTCATACCACCACCAATAACTCCTTTATTTTTTTTAAACCAACTCTCCCTCAACAGTATCTCGTGTTAAAAAAAAAAGACATTTGAAAAGTTGCAGGACTGTCCTGCCTAACACTTTGCACACCTGCAACTTTTTTTTTTCATGACTTCAATTTACAGTAAAAAAACTAAACTAACCTTTTATAAACCTTCATTTTTGCAACTTTTTTCTGCTGCTAGCATTGGCGACAGAAGGATTTGCCTGGATGGCTTTGAAGCAAGCCACAAATGAAGGCTAGTCCTTGTGTGCTGGACTTGATTACTTTCAGATACAAATGTTCTCCCACTATTGGAAATCTGTGTCAACACTAATTAAGGTTTAGAAACATTGTATTTCTTGCTGATGTTTCCAAGGATAATACTTTATAATAAATACAAATGTATCAACAATTTGTGCTGTAGAGCTGGGATTTATATATTTTGATGAGTACTTCACAACAGTAACTGGTATTGGATTGGCAATGTTCTGCCATCAGACATTTTGAGGCCCCTACAGGGGCTGCCCTCTTACAGACATTAAGAGCTGTGGCATGTAATGTGTGTGTTTAGGGAATATAGGGGATTTTGTTTGTATACTGGATGCAACGTGTGTATGTGATGGTGTCTGTAAGAGATGCAGTATGTAGATTGCAAGTTTGTTTGGGCAGGGCCCTCTGTATGTTATACAAATTTTGTTTCCTGTTAGACAGCGCTATAACAATAAATTTGTGTACATCTGCCTGCCTTTGTGGGATGTGATAGGGGCTGTTATCTGTGGGTGACAGGTTGTTTTTTTTTTTTGTTTGTTTTTTTTCTCTTTTATGATTCTGCCCATTCCATGCCTATTACATGTGCCAGGGAGAGGAGACACTCATTCCTTGGTGGTCCAATGAGCGCTGTTTGCACTCTGCCAGCTGCCTAGGATATTTATGCTGTTTGAATAGCGACAATGTAGGCTAAAATAGCAGAGTTTAGTCAATATCTTGTTTAACAAAAAGCAGGAGGCCTGCACTTGATGCTTTTGATTTCTCAAGGACACGTCGGAAATATTCAGTGATGATTCCCTTTTATTCCAGAAGTTGTCCTTAAGGGGTTAAGTGTTCTTTGCTACACCCCCTCTTTGAAAGGGGTATACAGACTTTTTCAATAAAGTGCAGCATGTGAGAAGCTTTAGTATCTGTGCTGCCTCCCTAGTGGTAGAAACTAGTATAACAGGCCATGAAGATTTTATATTTTTCTTTACTACTTCATCCTAAGCTAAAACTTTATATAGGGATAATTAATATTTTTAAAAGAATTTGAGCAGTTATTTTTGTGTAACTCCAATACCAACTCACACCACTACGTTAATGTTTTGTAAAATTACAGCTGAGATGAAAAAGAATCAGATTTATGGTTAAAAACTTAGTATTTTAGTTATTTACAAATACTTTACCTACAATAAATATTCTTTTAGATTAAAAGAAATAAAAAGAAAAGTGTGGCACATCTGTCAATTGGCAAGATGGAAATAAGCCGGTGGGATAACTGTGAAGGAGTCACTTTTTGTGGTTCTTCGGCTCTTGTTTTTGTTTTCCTTGGGCAGAGGGAGACCCTCCAAAAGCCTGGTAGTCCGCTCTCGTCTGTCATACATCTGAGCCACCTCATTAATGGTGCTTGCTGTGAAATGCCTTTCATTCATGTAAGCAATGGTCTCATCACGCTTGCGACCTACGTACCCTTTAAGCACAGTGTTGTATGGATTGTCCTTTGCAGAGGGCTGCAAAGTCTTGTATTTGAACTCCTTTCGGGTGATAACAGGCAACAGGAAGCAACCAGTTTGGTTCTTGATGACATCTCCACCTGAATGTCCCAAAGTTGAGGCTAGAAGATGATCTGGGATGGGTATCATGTCACATCCAGAAAACTCATCTATATATTCCACATGTTTCTGACGAACTTCAACAACATCTTTTAGTGACTGTTCCCGACGTTCTTCTAAATCCATAACTAATCGATGGGGGTAGTTTTCCCCTAGAATTACACCTGCCAAAAAAAAACAGAATTAGAGTTGTCTCATTAAGTGAACATAGTGTGCTTAAACTGACCATTAATAGAATAAATACTTCTAGTAAACTTTAATAGAATGCCACACAAAAAACTGCACCATGACAATTTAACGGGTCAGAAGACCCTGCACAGAGTGATGTAGTCTGCCCTTCCATGGCTTGGGTACAAAGGTGGAGTTTGTACTTTGCGCTGTCAGTTTTATGAGCAGTTACATAGAGTGGAACTACAACTGAGAAAATTGAGAACTAGGATCCCATGTAAAGAGCTGTCACTTTCTGGTCTCTAAAGTAGTTACAGGATTGCAGCAAACTGGAAATTACCATTTCAGTCCAGAGTAAGTAGTCAAACTGTTTGCCAATTTACCCAAGGAATACTGGGTGCCATCATCACCTGCACCCCAGTAGCTGCAACACCAAGTTAAGACTGGGAGTGCAGAGCTTAGCCCAGGTGCCACCCAGACAAAGTGGTGACTAATACCTGGTGGACCTCTGGTAGGTTGTCCAACTGTTCATAAACAATCTGACTAATACTTGGAGGGTGCCCATATATTGACACCATAACCACTACAGCAGTCCCTAGTGCAGTCTTACCTTAAGGAGTTAAGCTGTTAAATAACAGTTTAAACCCAAAATCTGAAAGCTGACTCCCAAATGTTCTGCCCCTCTGATTCTTCTGAATGCATGAGGCTTCAATAAGGAAGAACCTGACCATGCACTGCTGATCACTAGCTCCCCTTTTAGAAAAATGATGGGAGAGGCAGAGTTTACTCTCAACTGAATGGAAAGCTAGTGACACTGGGTCCAAGGCACAGGCTTGCAGATTTTGGTGTTAACTGTCCATTAACAGTTTAACCCCTTGCGGTAAGATGGTGCGCTTTGGACCTCCTTGCACCATAACCACTGCTTCACAATAAACTTGTTATGGTTCCTGGTGTGACCATGTAAAGAATTCCTTTTAAGTATGAGTCCATATGTATATTATATGGCCAGTCATGACACCAATGGAATATTCTGTGCACATCTAGTAAATTCCTTTTTAATATTAGGCTACATTAAAAGGGTCACTCTAAGCACCATCTCAGCTTTGCATTACTGCAAATTTTAAAAGATACTTGGAGCACCCCAAACCTACTTAACTCAGAGTGGTTCGGAACTACAGTGGTTTTAAAAACTAAACACTGTAGCCCTAAGGCATTCCATCACAACTGTCAATTAGGCAGTAACAAAGCTTTGTATGAAATGAACATTGGGAAGCTGAAACAAAGTTTGGGCTCCGTGTTTCCACACAACTTTGGCTGAGTTTTTCCCCCTCCTCAGAGACAGCTGAGGTATGGACTGAGGCTCTGCTGATAATTGCAAACCCATAAACCAGAGTGTGTTAAAGGAGCACTATAGGGTCAGGAACACAAACATATATTCCTGACCCTATAGGGTTAAAACCACCATCTAGTCCCTGTGGCCCCCTCATGCCTCACTAAATATAGTAAAATCTTACTTGTATTCAAGTTTGCAGCTGCATGCTTTGTCCCTGTTTCCTTTAGACCTGCCCACTGACATCAGCAGAAGTGGTAGCCTGATCCAATCACAATGTTTCCCCATAGTATTGGCTGAGACTGACAAAGAGGCAGAGCCAGCACAATTCAAACACAGCCCTGGCCAATCAGCATCTCCTCTTAGAGATTAATTGAATCAGTGAATCTCTATGAGGAAAGTTCAGTGTCTGCATGCAGAGGGAGGAGATACTCAATGTTTGGATGCATTTTAGGCAGCCATGACCCGGGAAGGATCTCTAACAGCCATCTGAGGAGTGGCCAGTGATGTTATAACTCGGCTGTAATGTAAACACTGCATTTTCTCTGAAAAGACAGTGTTTACAGCAAAAAGCCTGAAGGTAATGATTCTACTCACCAGAACAAATTCAATAAGCTGGAGTTGTTCTGGTGACTATAGTGTCTCTTAAATGATCTGAAGTAGAAAAAACAACCTGCATTAGAAGGAGCATGAGCCACATGGCCAGGGCTTATGGTGCAGCATTTTGAAAAACATTTAAGTTTTGTTTGTGTATAAACACCACATATTTGAGCATTCAAAACATAGCATGAGGAATAAATCTATGAAATATATTGGTGCCCAGAGTGTCCATTTTAAGGCCATTGGTGCTGAACTGAAAGCATAGGTGACCAACAGAATTTTTCAGTTAGGCTATTTTGACCTTAAATTTGAAATTCATTTTGAATTATCACTTTAGTGAACAACCCTGTTTAGTGTGAATTTTTATAAGCTGAACGTAAACTGTGAATTGATTGCTTTGCTATACTTCTAAACAATCTGTCTTACCTGCCCTTCGAAGGTGAGCAGGGGGGCATTTCCAGGGCTTATGGATGTAGTCATTGGGTAACCCTGCAAGCTCTGGGCACCACTTCCTTGTATAGGTTCCATATGGGTCACAGGTCAGGGCAGCATCAACAGGGTGCATCACAAAATTCCAGTGATCAAGTCCGGACATGCCCCCATTCTGCCACATCATGGCATTGATGGCAACATCTGCATCCACAAGGGTATCCTACATGGAAAGACAAGGGCAAGCTGGAAGTGTATATTATGCTTCACCTTCACTAACCTGGCTCTGGTTATGCTTTAAATCACTGCTATCTTCAGGTTAGCCATGTTCCAAGTTCATTATTTACTTTGGGTGGGTGAGGGGGGGGGAGGGGGTTTGTTTTAGGTTTAAGCCTCTGGTGTTTCTAATGTGAAGATCAAAAACCTTTGCATCAAAGACAACTAAAGGCACACTATAGTCCCCAAAACAACGTTAGATTAATGAAGTTGTTTTGGTGTATAGATCATACCCCTGCAGTTGTACTGCTCAATTCACTGCCATTTAGGAGTTAAATCACTTGTGTTTCTGTTTTGCAGCCCTAGCCACATCTCCCCTGGCTGTGACTGACACAGCCTGCATTAAAAAACTAAATGGTTTCACTTTCAATCAGATGTTAACTTACTTTAAAAGTATTTATCTTACTCTTATCTTACTCTTTATATTGAACTTTAATTACACACAAGGAGGCTCCTGCAAGGCCTAGCAAACTATTAACAGAGAAAGAGATAAGAAATTATAATTTAAACAGAATTTGCAATAAAGGATATCTCTTCACAGGAATAGTTTAGGAAGACTGTGTAAATCACATGCAGGGTGGTATGATTACATAAACAAAGCAATTTACCTCGTAAATGGCACTGAATTGAGCAGTGAGACCACAGGGGCATGATCTATACACAAAAATTGCTTTATTAAGCTAAAGTTGTTTGGGAGACTACAGGGTCTCATAGTTTTACGATAAATTCATATCTACCATTTCCATGGAGTTACTGACCTAAAAATGAACATGACATCTGGATTCCAACACTATAACTAGCCCTTCTTCTAAAACATGGGGTAAATAAATAGTTGACGAGTGCCCTGGTCATTAAAGAATGTCATAGTGGAAGTTTATAAACTCTCCCGCCCACCACCACAAAAATACACACACACTTAAAAATATACATTTTGCTATTCAGTTAATAAACCTCTCACTGTATACAGAAAACGGTTATCATCACAGCGTTCATGACGGAAAGCAAACTATGGAGCTTGTTCTCTAAAAGGTGAGTGAAGGTAAACTGATGCCAATTTGGAGAGGAAAAAATAGGCAAAAGTTAAACAAATTGAAACTGAGCAAAGTAAATATGGACCAATGCATTGCAACTCACATTTGTGGAAAAATATAGAATTAAAAAATGCTTTCTAGTTCTAAAAATGGAACTGAGAATGCTAAAAGAAAAAGCCCCTAAAATATCATTTCTATTCAGACCAAGGAAACCAGTGAAATATATTGAAAATTATAAATCAAATTATGGCTGATAAGATTCTAAAATAGAGCTCCTTAATCCGTATAGAACATTGACACTCACCTGGAACCATCTGTAGCCGTGAACCCAGTGAATATGCAGGTAAGCAACCAGGAAGGATGCCACCACGTGCCTTGAGTAGTTATTCATCCAACCAGTTAACCACAGCTCTCTCATAGCGGCATCCACCAGAGGATAACCGGTCTTCCCCTTCTGCCAGGCTTCTAAGTATATCTGGTTACTGCACCAACGTTGACTCTGAAGGAACAATGTTAAATCGAGGCCTGATAAAAAGTTTGGATCTTTGGGAACCACAGATAGAATACTGTACGCCAACCCTTTTAAAAATCTATATTTTTTTCATTTACAGTGCCCTGTTGGGTATTAGAAAGAAACAGATTACTTTATAAAATGTGATGGGCTGCACTCCCTATGTATGCCACCATGTGGAGGCACTGAAAAAAATCAATAAAAACAACGAGAATAATTTCTGACTTACAAGTAATGTACTATAAGACTTATTCAGCATCACAGAAGAGCAAAAATGTGGCGTGAAATGGGAACTTTTTCAAACTTGACAAATGTACATAGCCTAAGATACACTCCGTCTGTGAGCGGAAATAAAGGTCTCACGGGATCATCCATAGACCTCAATACTGAATGCGCAAGAATACAGCACTGAACTAGAGTGGATAGACGAGAATAGCCGAGCCTGTAAGGAACAGGTTCAGGTAAATAAACGTTTCCCTGCACCCCATAGCCACCAGAACACCAGTGGTGACATCACAGATGGGGGCCTTAGAAAATTATGCAAAGTCCCCAGACAGTGACAGAGCCACTTAAGAGACTCGTGGCCTTTAGAAACCTTGAGTAGCTGCTAAGGCCTGTCCCTTAGAGACAGGCCTTAAAATCAACAACAGACTACTTTTTAAATTAACAATTGATTTCTATTCATTGTAAAAACTGAACAGAGCCACTGATGATGGTCTTGGGACATAATTTTATTAGACCAGCTTATGTTCCCTAAACATTAATTCTCCAATGAATAATTCCGTACCTTATATGCAGGTCTGACTGGTTCGGTGGGCATTTCA